GTTTAACCCTGGCATCCTGGCCAAATTTGCCCACTGGCCTCTGCCCATTATGGCCTCCTAACCCTCCCCATATCATAATTGGCTTCATCAGTGTGTCTCCTCTCCACCAATCAGCTGGTGTGTGGTCTGGTGCAAAATGGCTACCATCGCGTCATTCAAGGAAGATGCTGCACACTGGTGGTGGATAAGGAGATTCCCCCCAATGTGTAAAGCGCTTTGAGTGCCCAGAAAAGCCCTACTGTATATAAATGTAAGGAATAATAATAATAATTATTATTATTATTAAAAATCTTTTTTTTTTTTTTTTTTTTTTGATAAAACAGATCTAAAAAAGCCATTGTATTGTGATCAAGGACTACACAAATATACATAAAACACAAATACACTTCATTGAACTAGTGCACATAGATATCACCCCTATACTATGTAACTGTATGCTAACTATGTTTGTATATAATAAGTTTAACTCTTAAAAGCTTTTAGTTACTAGTTAGTTAGTTATTGGCAACTAATAAATTTTGGTAACTAATAATACCTTTAACTATTCAGAATTTGATGGTAATGCCATAATGGGCACCTTTTGTAAAGCTGCTTTGGAACAATATTTATTGTGAAACCGCTATATAAATAAACTTGAATTGAATAGACGGATCATGATGGATGTGGAATAATGTTTTAAATAGATTTCTATTTACATTTTCAGAAATAAAAGTATTTCGTTTCTCTGAATGTACTGTACTCTTGTGTGTGTTTGCTTTAGGGAGAGGTGGAGTTTGCTCGGATCATGATGCTGGTGGATCCAAATGCTTCAGGCAATGTGTCGTTCCAGTCCTTCATTGATTTCATGACTAGAGAGACAGCAGACACAGACACAGCTGAACAGGTCATTGCCTCCTTCAAGATCCTCGCTGCAGACAAGGTGTGTGCTACACTGTTTACCTAACCCCTCAGAGTTTCTCTACAGAATAGGCTTTAGCACATGAAAAACTCCTATAAAACCTTTTTTTGTGTCTGTGTGTTTTGTACAGCCGTATATTCTGTCAGATGAGTTGAGGCGAGAGCTTCCTCCAGACCAGGCCGAGTACTGTATCAGTCGAATGCCTCCTTACTGTGGCCCCGGGGCCCTGCCTGGAGCCTTGGACTACACCGCCTTCTCCACCGCCCTATATGGAGAAAGTGACCTTTAACCCTGTCAACACGTCTGACCTTTATAATCCCATCCCACTTGTTAACCAAGTAACCTTTTAACCTTTTAACACCAAGATATGAAAACATAATAAAGAGAACAAAGCCTAACTTTTAATCTGTTGATGTATTTTGATGAACAGCTGATTTGAAATGTTTAACGTCTCTTTATCAGAAGAATGCAATACATATTTTGTGACAGGGAAAAAGTATTTATCCTCATCAACGCATAAAATGGTTTGAATTTTAGAATCACAATAGAACTTGTCACTCTTGAAGTGGTTAAACCTGGGTCTTGCTTAAATCTGGTATTCCCACTACTCGTAATTTACCCAGGGTATTAATAAATTCGCTTTTCTCAATGTAGAACCTAAACCCAGGCTTAAGGTTGGATATTTGTTGCGTCAGTGATTGGATGAACACTTTACATGGCTTGTTGACATAAATTCCTAGATAGTGCATTTTAAATCTATCAAATACAGTTCATATTTTTCCAACTGCTTTAAAGTTTTCCTGAATAGACTTGTTGGACTGTAATGTGTTGGTAAAAAAGTTAAATGTTTGACATTTTCCTCTTTAATACTGTTTAAACAGTTCAGAGAAAAATGATTACTCTACTTGTGAAATGTGTATTCTTTTTCAAATATTTGTCAAAAATTAAGCAGCAAGGAAATTTTCGTATTATTAACTATAATATTTCTTTATTTTAGAGAAAGTTTAATTTCTTTTAGTTTGGCTGAAATAAAGCTGTTTAAAAATTAAAGGCAATAATATTAGCCTCCTTAAGAAATATACAGTTGAAGTCAAAATTATTAGCCCACAGCATGTCTGATCATTTTTTTCTTCTGGTGAAAGACTTATTTGTTTTATTTCGGCTAGAATAGAAGCAGTTTTGAATTTTATAAAAAAAAAACATTTTAGAGACAAAATGATTAGTCCCTTTAAGCTATATATTTTTTCGATAGTCTACAGAACAAACCATTGTTATACAATGACTTGCAAAATTACCCTAATCAGCCTAGTTAGCCTAATTAACCTAGTTAAGCCTTTAAATGTTACTTTAAGATGAATACTATTATCTTGAAAAATATCTAGTAAAATATTATTTACTGTCATCATGTCAAAGATAAATTAAATCAGTTATTAGAAATGTGTTATTAAAACTATTATGTTTAGAAATGTGCTGATTTTTTTTTCTCTCCGTTAAACAGAAATTGGGAAAAAAATAAATATGGGGGCCAATAATTCTGACTTTAAATGTACATTTTTTTCAATTTGCTACAGAACAAACCACTGTTGTCCTATGACTTGGTTAATTATCCCAACTTGCGTAATTAACCTAGTTAAGCCTTTAAATATCTTTTTAAGCTGAAATAGCCTCTTGCAAGATAACTAGTAAAATATGATCCACTGTCATCCTGGCGAAGACAAATTAGTTATTAAAACCATTATGTATAAAATGAGTTGGATATTTTTTAAACAGCAGTTGGGAAATATATGAAAAATAGTTAAGTTTTTGCAGGAGAGCTAATAAAGCATGAGAATATGAGGCACATGATTCTGTTACTTTACTGAAGTTAAATACAGATAATTATTTTGTATTTTATGCATTTATTGATCTTTTCCAGTTCCATTTTTCCAAGCACAAAATCTGTTTTGTGTGTTAGTGTTAAACCTACAGTATGTAAGATTTTGCACATTTGAAACATCACCAAATTGAGAAAGCTTTCTCGTTATTCCTTTCATATTATTCCTTTGTTTGTAAGGCTACTTACTACTTCCACAGCATGATTATCGCCTGAAATCCTTATATACCGATAGTGCCTGATTTACATTCAGTATAGAGTAATGGCTTGTACAAAAACAGAAAAGGTAATCTTTCATTCTCATTTGTTAGTTACAGGTTCTATATATTTCAATTGCATGCACATCAGTTTGATGACCGTAAGAGGACAACAGGGCTTGTTAAATATGAATAGCAACACCAGAAATGATGATAAAATACTGAACTTAGAGTTGCAGAAAGTAAGTAAACTGTTTAGAATGGAATGATTCTGCATAACACAGTGGCTTTCTTGTTTCTGCTGAGACAGCATAGAAACATTCACAATGAAGAGAGGAAAATTCTGTGAATCCTTAGACTTTTCACCCAGTCTACTTTTCAACAGTAATTTGGGATTGATTGTCTTCATTTCATAAATGTTTTGGGTGTTATTCAGGCTGGTTTTCATGACTACAGCAGTTCAGCTGGCCTCTCTTGTTCGTTGTTCATTGACGGAAGGAAAATTTGCTAACACCTCAAATCAGTTATAACAAAAAAAGTTTTTGTTCTTGAAAGATTTGTGAATGTTTGGTGTTGAATTATATGAACAGGAAAATAAAATGTGTTTTACAGTGACATAAATCAATTGCCCAAGTCTCTTCTTTTGTTCATGTTTTAAACAGTCTGTTATTAATATTAGCCTCTATACCAGGTGTGTCCAAACTCTTGGAGGGGTGTCTTGGAGGGCCGGTATCCTGCATATTTTAGTTCCAACCCCAATTAATCACACCTGAACCAGTTAATCAACCTGTTTGTAGGTATACTAGAAACTTACCGGCAGGTTTGTTGAAGGAAGTTGGAGCTAAATTATGCAGTACACCGGCCTTCCAGGACCGAGTTTGGACACCCCTGCTCTTTACGGATGCATATACAATATCTTACACAATTTTTTTTTTTTACATATGTATCTGCCATTTATGTAATATTGAAAGTTAAATGTTATATTAATTAAGAGATTACACTCAAAAAACACTCAAAGATTTAATGGCTTATTTAAAATGTGGGGAATTAACACAATTCTTCGGTTTTATGGGACACAACTTTGTTGATTTATGTACAATCCATTTAAATTTGTTCAAACAATTAAGTGAATGAACTGTAATAAGTGACTAGTTACTTAATGCGAGTTAACCAATTACCTTAAAAGCAACAAGTTGACTTTACAAAAATAATGTAAGTAAACCTATTGTAACTTGGAGCAGTCAAGTTGACAGAATTTTTATAATTATGCTAATTGTACTCACTTTAAAAAAAGAAAAAAAAAGCAATCACTTTTTTTTCCCAATACACCCATATTGGTTTTTTTTCAAGCTTTTCCGTATTTTGTAAAATGACATACAGTATAATAAATCTGCTCTTCCATACTCCAGTGTGTCTTCTAAAGTCCATACAGACTACAATTGTAGACTTTATTGACTTCATGAAGCACCAAATATGTAATATTACAGTAATTATTTGAAAACAGACGTGCTAAAATAGTCTGACACTGTAAAAAGGGAGTTGACTTGTGAAAAAGTGAGTACAATTAGCATAATTTTAAAAATTAGGTCTACTTAACAGTTTCAAGTTACAATGAATTAACTTACTTTATTTTTGTAATGTCAACTTGTTGCTTTGGTTTACTTGTTTATTAGCTTTAAGTAATTAATAACTTGTTCAAACTACTTATGGAAATAAGTTGAAACTTCACAATTCTTGAGTTTTTTTTAAAAACAATTTAATTGTCTTATGTTCAATCTACTTCATTTGTAAAGAAAGAAAAAAAGAAATTGAATCAATTTGTTTTCGGGGAATTATGTGGAGCTCATCATCTTTTACAGTGTATTCTCATTATTTATCTTCTTTATGCTTGTGTTTTCTCTCTAATTTTTCCTCATTGCTTGCTTGTTTTCTCCATTGTAACTGACCAAATATGGAGAAGGCCGTTCTTTCCCACTTTACCTTTATCAGATGGCAGCACATTATATCATGATGGGTGGTATGGTGGCCTCTCTCTGTCCCGGGATGAGTTCAGCACCTGTGGCTGTGTGAGTGAAGCTCTTCTCTGCTTTACACAAACACAGTTCCTTGTACAAACCGCATCCAAATTCTCTGAACATGGATATAGGAGAAGCGGAGGACGAAATCCAGTTTCTGCGAACTGTAAGTAAAATGCAATATATTATGATGCATTCACTGTGCCTTTTCTTTATAGTAGAAAAAGTGTTAATTATTACTCTAAAGTTTAATTTGTTGTTAGATTGATGTAATTGGTCATTAATTAGCTTCTTGAACATACGTTTTAGATTGCTTTAGAAAAGATGCTTTAGAAAAGATTTTTAGAGATATTTTCGTATGTATGCGCACACATGTTTCCAGCATATCTGAAGTTGCTTCACAGATATTATTGTAAATATATTTTTTATTATTTAATGCAATATCACGTGTTCACTTAAGCAGTTGCTTACAATATTGTGCATAATTGGGGCTATTCTTATATATACAGTTACAGTGCAGGGATTTACAGTGTTTAAAATCACATTTGAGAGAGTTGACCCATATCACTGTTGTCTATTTTTACTGTGTTATCAGTAACAGAGGAACTGGAGAGTGTGTGTGAGCTCCATATCTCCAAAACGGATATAAATGGGACACTCTGCTCTCTCTCTCTCTCTCGCTCTCTCTCTCTCTCTCTCTCTCTAATGCACACACACACACAAACTTAATTCACTGCTTCTCTTGATGTCTTTTAGCACAATGATTTATAACTGCAAAATCATTCTTTTTCAAATCTAATAATAGCTTAATAATAGAAGTGATACAGCTGTCAGACGGTGTGTGTTTGTGAGCCGCTGCTGATCACTGAAACTCTGATGACAAGCTAGAGGTGTTGGAATTCTCCATTCACAGACTGATATGCTGAGATTCTGTCCATATAAGGCTGCACTGTAACGGTACAACACACTCTAAAATATGGGATCTATCATATGGGGGTTTTATTTGTTTATAATTTTTTTTTTATGAATGTTATTTGTTTTATAAATCACAGGTACTAAAAATGTAAACAATGTTTTGATTTGATTTCTTTTATTACTTTTATTACAAGTTTTTGATTAAAACGTTTATTCTTTTATGTATAGTTCAGGTCAGAATAAGTGCAAAAATATAGCTTTTATGCTAAATGACAATTAAACTTTTAGTCATCTTAAATTTTGACCTTTGTTTTGCACACATGTTGTTTACAAAAAAGTAGATGCTTTGTTTGCACTTTAATATATATATATATATATATATATATATATATATATATATATATATATATATATATATATATATATATATATATATATATATATATATATATATATATATACATACATATAAAACTTGCTTTAACTACAGACTGTCAGCTTTAATTTGAGGGTATTTACATCCAAATCAGGTGAACGCTGTAGGAATTACAAAGGTTTGCATACAGTATGTGCCTCCCACCTGTTAAGGGTCCAAAAGTAATTGGACAGTTGGCTTCTAAGCTGTTCTTTGACCAGGTGTGTGCTATTCTCCCATGACTCCAATTACAATGAGCAGATAAATGGTCAAGAGTTCATTTCAAGTGTGCTCTTTACATTTAGAATCTTTTACTGTCAACTCTCAAGATGAGATCCAAAGAGCTGTCACGTATTCAAGCAAGCCATCATTAAGCTGAAAAAACAAAACAAACCCACCAGAGAGATCGCAAAAACATTAAACATGGCCAAAACAATTATTTGAAACATTCTTAAAAAGAAGGAATGCACCAGTGAGCTCAGCAACACCAAAAGACCTGGAAGACCACGGAAAACAACTGTGGTGGACAACCAAAGAATTCTTGGTGAAGAAAACACCATTCACAACAGTTGGCCAGATCAAGAACACTCTCCAGGAGGTAGGTGTTTCTATGTCAGAGAGTCAACAATCAAGAGAAGACTTCAACAGAGTGAATACAGGGATGTATTTACCACAAGATGTAAACCATTGGTGAGCCTCAAAACAGGAAAACTAGATTAGAGTTCTAAAAAAAACCTTCACAGTGCTGGAACAACATCCTGTAGACTAAAGAGACCAAGATCCCCTTGTATCAGTGTGATGGGAAGAGAAGAGTATGGAGAAGGAAAGGAAGAATTGAGCAGTGGTGGCATGGTGGTAGTAGTGACATGGCGGGGGCCATGTTGTCAATGGAACTGGTTTTCTAATATTTATTGATAATGTGACTGCTGACAAAAGCAGCAGGATGATTTCTGAAGTGTTTCAACCTATATTTTCTGCTCATATTAAGCCAAAGGCTTCAGAACTCATTAGATGGTGCTTCACAGTGCAGATGGAAAATGACACAAAGCACACTGCAAAAGCAACCAAAGAGTGTTTGAAGGAAAAGAAGTGGAATGTTATGCAATGGCCAAGTCAATCACCTGACCTGAATTTGATTGAGCATGCATTTAACTTGCTGAAGACAAAACTGAAGAGGAAATGTCCCAAGAACATGCAGAAACTTTAGACAGTTGCTGTAGAGCCCTAGCAGAGCACCACCAGAAATGAAACCCAGCGGTCTGGTGATGTTTATGCGTTGCAGACTTCAGGCTGTAATTGACTGCAAAGGATTTGCGAGCAAGTATTAAAAAGGGAAAGTTTGATTTATGATTATTATTCTGTCCAATTACTTTTAGACCCTAAACAAGTGAAATGCACAAATGCAAACTGTTGTAATTCCTACAGTGTTCACCTTATTTGGATGTAAATACCCTCAAATGAAACCTGACTGTCTGTAGTTAAGGCACATCTTGTTCGTTTCATTTCAGATCCATTGTGTTGGTGTATAAAGCCAAAAATGTCAGAATTGTGTCGATGTACAAATGTTTATAGACCTAACTGTGTAAAATATGTAAATATACGCATATATAAAATAACTTTTTAAAAATTTTGTTTAATTCCAAAATAAGAAAAGTGTCCTCTTTGGCCCATAGGCCACACATTGCTTACTATTTCTATAAACTATTACTTAAGTTTCATGCCAACTTTAATCACTGATAGGAATTTTAATGAATGTTTATTTTTGTCACCATTAATGAGGTTTTTGTATGTAGTGTGCACTTGCATGTGCATTTATACAAAGCCTTTGAAATTGTGCAGATTTGAATGTTCACTTTCTCAGAAATGTAATTAAAAATAATTACAAGATGAAGTCTGAATTATTGATTATCTCAAATTATCCTTTGAGTCTTTTTGACACTATTTGATCTGCTTGCATTTTTAAGCTTCAACCAAAACCCCTGCTTTTGAGTTATATATTGAAGTAAATGTTGAGTTTAAAGAGCCCATATTATACATGAAATAGGGTCATATCTTGGTTTTAAGGGTCTCCAACAACAGTCTAATATGCATGCAAGGTCAAAAAACACTTTCATGGTCTTATAATCTGCATTTATTTTTACCTAATTATCCCAGCGACTCCCGTATGAATCGTCCAGTGATAAATTTGTTCCCAAACCCGTCCTTAGCGCGAAGCTAATCTGCGCTGATTGGACCGATGACAGTCTGTCGCGATTGGTCGACTGCCTTCAGTAAGAGAGTGAAATGCACACAAACACACATATTGCCCTCGTCCTTGCGCGCGCGCACACACACACACACACACACAAACACACCTCCGGACGACAACGCTCCCGCTTCCGCCCGCACCCGCCAGTTTTTAGCCTGAACCCGACCGCTCCCGCTAATATTAAGAATTTGTTGTCCCGGTGCCCGACCCGCCCCGTTTTCTGCCCGCCGCGCCCGATCCCGCTAAAGAGCGGGGGAGAACATAACCGAAAATCACCCAGCTAAACAGTCCAGACAGCCAAGCTGTCTGTATAAACACACACACAAGCACTAAGCAGACACACAGGCAAAGCTCTCTCTCTCTCTCATTCGCATAGCAATATCCGCGATATTGCTAGACAGCCCGCTCCCGTCCCAAATTAAACCTGTTACCGACCGCTCCCGCGATTTATTCGGAAAATTATTACCGCGCCGCAGAAATCTGGTCGGGTCCCGCAGCGGGAATGCAGACCTCTACCACGGAGCTCCGTAAACAAAGCAGCACGCGTCGCGTTTTTAACGTGGCTTTGCACGTGATAAGAGTATATAGCCAGTTAACCTGATACAGTACACGCGGTTACAAGTAATAAATCACAACTAAATACATTTGCAAGCTAGAGTCAACTAGGCAACAACTTTAATCGCACGTACTTACACTTGAGAAATGGAGGAAGAAACCCATCCTGACGTTCATCAGTAAGTTACTCTTTACTGATCCTTCCTTTAACAAACGCCGATGAAGTGTTCTTTTTAGCATGTAGTTTCCAGAAGTTTCCAGTAGTTTCCAACTGCTTGGTTATAATGCTGAGGTTTCATCTTTGGGTAGATTCGATAATATGCATCTGCAGTGTGACTTCAATCGACCGGCATGTTTGTGTGTGTGTGTGTGTGTCTGCGTTTCTGCGTCAGAGGGCGGGGCCTCAGGTTTGAAATCTCCTGGGTTTGCGCGTGCACGTGAATAACTTGGTTTCGTTCGTACTTCATGGCGAAACACCTAATGACTCGGTATCAAGGCGACTCGTTTGAAGCACTATGAGTCGACTCTTTAATAGATGAATCAACCGTTTTAAACACTGTACTCTTACAGATTTAAGCCTTAGCTGGATACTTCACTTCACTTAGAGCTGTGTTACACACTACATGGAGGAGAATTTTCAAAAACCCATAATATGGGCTCTTTAAGTTAATATAATATAATAATGTGCTTTTATTATGTAAGGTGAGATATTAGTGTAAACTGTGTTCTCTGTTGTAGTGAGTGAAGTACACCTGTAATATGAATGTGTTTTTCAGAGGGATGAGTTAGTGTTGAGGTGCTGCTCATCAGGCCCTCATCAGCAGAAATTGTGTTTAGCTGCAGAAGGTTTTGGTGAGCGCCTCTGTTTTCTCGAGTCCACCTCCAACTCAAAGGTCAGATGCTCAGTTACTTCATGTTTTCAAAACTGGTCACTATTTTCTGTTAACGGTTTGGGAATTATCACACTCTTCAGGAAAACAACCTCCCAGAAAGCTTTCATACTATCTGTCTTTGTTTCACAGAATGTTCCAGCAGATCTGTGTGTGTGTGTGTTTGTTCTGGACCAGTGTCTGTCTGTCCGAGCGCTGCAGGAGATGCTAGCCAATCGTGAAGATCTTTGTACAGCGGTGGGTAATGTGGAAAAAGACTTCAGAAATTAGCAATATTGAACATCTATCAGTTTAGTGGATGAACTTTCTTTTTTTCATCTGTTCAAATGTACCCTGCTGGCACAGAATGTCAACATGACGTCATGGGGACATTGGATTTTGTTGAAAATGAAAAACGCATTGACGTCAGAACCCAACATCAAGCCGACATCAATGTCCAACGTCCAACCTAAAACCAGCCAAATATCAATGTCTAATCATGCTAGACCCTGACGTTGTGTGGACGTTACCACTATGACATCTATCAGACGTTGGATTTTGGTCACTTTCCAACACAACCTAAAACTAACCAAATATCAACGTCTAATCGTGCTAGACCTTGACGTTGTGTGGACGTTACCACTATGACATCTATCAGATGTTAGAATTTGGTCACTTTCCAACACAACCTGAAATCAACCAAATATCAACGATATTTGACGTCATTATTGGACGTCAAAAACGTTGTCCTTAGACACCGGTTAGACATTGAATTTTGGTCACCTGATGTCATGACCTAAATCTAACCTAATATTAACGTCTTATGATGTTGTGTGCCAACCGGGAATGGGGTCAGTAAATTTTTTGGTTCATTGAAGGTGCTTTAAATTGGCCTTAAGTAAGAATGAAGATATTTATGAAGTTACAAAATATTTTTCTTTGATTTTCACAATGCAGAAAACGTGGATGGAATTGCAGAATCCAGTTATTAAAAGGAATTCACTGTATAAAACTGGATTTTGGTGGCGCACACATTTAAAAAAAAAACAGAACTGTTTTGAAAGAAATAGTGAGTTAATAACAAAGAAATAGAGAAGAATAACTGTTGTAAAATTATATGAATACAATTATTATTGAATTCAGTTAAATAGACAAGAGCTTAACAACAAAGAGTCAAGAAAAATAAAACAAATGGAAAAATGGATGTCTAAAGTGTAAATGGAATAATTTAGAAAAAAAAAAATTAAAACTAAAACTGATTTCTTAAGGCATTACAATTCTGTTCTTTGGGTATTTCAGCCAACCAACCAACCAACATTATAGTCTGCAAGTGCATTATAGTCTGTTTACAGTTATGAAAAAAATATAATAGTATTTACTTTTACTAATTTGCTGTATTTTTATTAGATAAGTGCTACCAGAAAATAAAATCTAACCTGCTCCAAACCTTTAAACATTTGTCTGAAGAAATGTTGTAAAGAAATGTCACAATTTGTGTCAGTCAACAACTTTTGAATTGCTAAATAAATCATAGGTACAATAATAAAACAACTGCTTTTGTTTCAGTCACATGAGGCGGCTGGTCGTCGTACTCTGCTTTATGGTCAGGCTGTGCTGTTTCGGCATGCCTATAGTGACATGGTAAGAGGCCACCGAGGCAAAGCTTTTAAAATGTTTCTTTTTTTATTCATTAGTGGCTTCCATATTTGTACTAAAAAGTGTAAACCTTAAGCCCTGTGCATCTTTGTCTTGCAGTATCTTTGCTGTCTGTCTACATCAGGGCTCTCCTCTGACAAACTGGCTTTCGATGTCGGTTTGCAGGAGGACACCAAAGGTAAGTTCACACTCTCCTATGGTATACTGTGAAATTAATGTTCTCGTCTTCTAGCATGATGAGGAACAATTCTGCCATATTTTTTGATGTTGCATTGTATGGTTTCAGGTGAGGTGTGCTGGTGGACGGTTCACCCTGCTTCCAAACAGAGGTCAGAGGGTGAGAAAGTGCGAGTGGGTGATGACCTCATCTTAGTTAGTGTTTCCTCAGAGAGATACCTAGTGAGTGGATCATTCATACGTCTGTCTGTTGATCTACAGTGCATTCCACTAATATTACTGTCCTTGGTAAATATGAGCAAAGAAGGCTGTAATAAATGTCTTTATTGCTTTACCTTTGATCTTTTCCCTAAAATATTAACACAGTAGAGGCTTATTTGTTAATAATGAGCGATTATGTTAATAATGCCACTTCTAAGTATTGGAAACTTTCTGACCAAAATAATTATTTAACTTCTGCAATTCTCCAGCCATGTTTCTTGGAGCTTTTTGGCCTACCCTCTTCCTAACAAATGCCCACTTTCAGGCTGATTTATAACATTTACAGCTGGAATTTTGTTGTTCTTGAAGATTCTACAATGATAGCGGAAAAGGACATTTTTAGTGTTTTTCTATTTTTTTATAGCCACTTCCAATTTTGTGAAGCTCAAGAGGATTTGCTGCAAATTGCAGCACTTATTTTTTTTTTTTGGATCGGGTTTGGTCTTTATCTACAACCCTGTGAAACAGCAGGTCATGGTTGAACAATTTTCTTTTCCTCATCACACAGGTGTACAAAAAATATATTTAAAATATCAGTGGAAATATTGTTCAACAATACTTTTTTCATATGAATTCATGCAGGTGTCTGTAAATTTGTGTAGTAAATTAATTTAACAAAATATTTTCAGATTTTTCTGAGATTGCCATTGTTTTTGCTAATAATTTAAGTGAAAGATTAAAAGCAATAAAGACATTTTTGTCGTAGCTTTCGTTGCTTATATTTTCCAGGGGTGCCATTTTAGTATTTGGTTGTATTACATACAATGTGACACCTGTCTCTCTCTTTGCAGCATGTGTCGTGGACTAACGGTGAAGGGAATGACAGTGGTGTTGGCCGAGTGGATGCAGCCTTCCAGCAGACGCTGTGGAGTGTGGCCCCTGTTTCCTCTGGGACTGTGAAAACACAGGGTAAATGAAGTCACACATTAGTAATCTCTAGAAATCGCTGAAGGAGCCTGCTAAACAAATTATGTCGGTCTTGTGATTGAACAAAAGATTGTGAAGGTGCTGTGTGTAAGTTTTTGACTCTTCTACAGCATAAAAATACTGTAATATGTTTGCAGATATTTAAGAAACATGCCAAGTGAACATTCTTGTTTATTTGTAAAACAATGCTGAAGACAGATATTATGCTACGAAAATGGGTTTTCCGTGCCAGAACTCTCTCTTTGTATATGTTCTTTTAACCAGCTAGTTTAGGCAATTATATTTCACTACTCCAGGTTGCCTTGGTGGAAAACCCAAGTGGCAACCTCCCGCTCTCCCTCAGGAAGCCAAAACAGAAGTAACTGAAGCTGCAATTCATCGAAATTCTACTAGTCCTTGCTCCATATGGAGCAAATTTCTATTGAGCCCATTGTTAGAATGGCCAACTTTACAACAGAAAAAATGGCGTTTACAGCCTGGTACAAAGAACGATTTTGGATCATATTGCTAATATTACCCTTCATGACAACTGTGAGGGGTTGAATTTTTTATATAACTCATGTGTTTCCTTTATATTAGGTTATATTAAGTTTGCATAATTAAGTGCTTGGCTACTTGAGTGACAGCTCGGTCTTGCTGGTCACCCTCACTTTACCTCAGCTGACTCTGGCTGATTAGCTTTCGGCATGTTGAACTCGCCATATTCATTGTATTTTTGTGTTGTTTTATGTGGCTTTACACAGTCAATTGCATTTTGGAATTATTTCTTACAATTACTAGATGATATAACATGCTGTGTGCACTTGTGCTCACAAACCATCACAAATCATTTCCCAGGTGAGTTTGAAATTATGAAAATTCTATAAATTATGAAATTTTATACTTATATCATCTCTATAAATGTGTATGTTTTATTTAAGATAGTTTATCATTTATAATTTTCTTTAGACCAGTAATGCACTCCAGAATCTAACAGATTGATTAGCTGTAGGCTCTTGAACAGTAATCTGAAGCGCTGTCATACAGTGTTATGCTTGGATTTCATAAATAGCTTTGCATTTACCAACACACACAGATTTTATCTGAAGTGTTTGGAGTAATTCACACTTTCCTCCTGTTGAAAAACATCATAAGAACAATGTTTAGTGGCTGAATGTATTACAACAGTGTTTTTAAAAGTCTAAACACTTTATTGATATAGTGTTCAACCAGGCACATTTGGTCAGTTTCAGAACACAAACGAGTCACAGGTAATGAAGTATTAAGCTACTTCTGTTTGTTTTGATCAGGAGTGCAATACCTAGTTCAACCACTGGGTGTCAAACTTACATACTGCACCTTTAAAGGGCCATGAAACCCTTGTGTTTCAGCAGGGTGTTTTCACACTCATAGTTTGGAAAAAGTCAGGAAAGTGGGTGTGTCTAGCTCTGTTTAGGTGGGAGTGTCGGGGGAGGGAAAGAGGGAAGGATTTGAATGGGAGTTTTCCATTTAGGCACGCGCTGATATTCACAGAGGCAAAAGAAACACACAGATGCAGAGGAGAAAGACTGTGACTGTGTTTAATGACAGCGGGATGTTTGACACTGCACTTCATATAAGAGAAAAAACCTCTGCATTTCTCGGTAACTCGGATGCACTCGGTAGGTCAGAATCTGTAGAGACAGGACTATCAACATCAACTGGAGCTGCATCTTTTTTAAAAGGAGACGAGCAGCAAATACGGATTTCCAGATACGAAAATCATGTTCCGTACAAACGTATTTCTGCCGCGTGACGCGGGCACTGATCCATACGTTAGTCCAGTTGCGCTCTCATAGCTGGAAAATGAAAACAAAACCTTTGTTTTATATATACTTTTAATGCATATAAATTCACGCTTTTTTATTTGTTTTTTTTTTGTAAAGAATGGCTTTTTAACTACTGTAGCTCTGCCAAATGACTAAAAAGTTACTAGTATGATGGTGAAAACTGTACATGTCTATTCAAACCATCCTTCTGCAGTCTTATACCAAAAACGGAAATAAGGGTAGCATTAATAGCTAAAAATGTGGGAGAGTGTTGCTTTTGTGTGATTGTATTGTATTGCACTATGGAGCAATTAAGTGTTGATGTTAAATCAAGAGTAATTTACAAATACTTGGAAATGACAATAATTTTCAAGGGTTACAAATGAATTACTTAAAAACAACTGTATAAAATAATAAAACATATAATGATATAAACATATAAAATTAATTGTACGCAGCTTAAATGTAAAACAAAGTTACCTGAAAGAGAGAGAGAGAGAGAGAGAGAGAGAGAGAGAGAGAGACAGGGGAGGGTAAGACAGAGAAAGATAGGCCCCGAAGATAGCCTAATAGCAGTAGAGTTATAGATAGAGAGTCCAGGGCTGGAGAGGAGCAGAGCAGGTAAAGCGCAGAGCAGGAAAAAAGACGGAGCAAAGTTTACCACCTATTTTGTGTCTTTCTCGATCTTGTGACCAAAACCCAAATACTGAGACTGAGACTAATACTTAATGATTACAAACTGACTAATCAACATGAGACCACATCGTAAAACCCCCCAAAGTCCACACACTAGGCCCTATTCAGTATCACACCTATATCTATTCAGTATCTGCCTTTGGAGCCAGCATATCTGTTTTGTTGTGGACACCAAAATAGGACATCTCATCTTTAACCCATATATATGCTTTCATTATTTTTTTGTAAATGTTAAAAATAAAACACAAACTAAACAAAAAAAATTATAAACAAAAAAAGGTTATTCAATTCTTTAAAGGTGTTCATGTCTACTGCTTTAATAAACTTATGTTAAAAACCTACTAAAATGAGTTTTTATTTTTACATTTACATTAATCATGTTAATATTGATATGAATTCAATATTTTGTTCATTATCTATGGAATATCGTTTTTTTATCCGTCTTAAAAACATTAGGAGTCTTGTAATATATATGTCATCTTACATCGACTTTGAACAGGTCATGTGAGAGGAGGTGACACTGTTCGTTTGCTACATGGACACACAGATGAGTGTTTGACCATCCGTGCAGCCAAACACAAACCAGACCAGCACAGGTCAGAGAGGTCATCTTAACTATAGGACATAAATTAATGACATTTATTACATCATATTTCACCCTTCCCCCACTCTGTCTTCAGGTCTGTGCATTTTGAAGGAGGCTTGGTCTCTCTTCAGGCTCGATCTTTATGGAGGCTTGAGACATTACATGTTGTGTAGGTGTTTCAGTTGGTTGAAAGTGCACGTTTATTCCTTCTGCATTGGTCAGACTCTATTAGTGATTGTTTATTTGTAGATGGAGCGGTAGTCATATTCACTGGGGTCAACCGTTTCGTCTGCGTCACCTCACAACTGGATCATTCCTGGGACTGATCCACGATCAGGGACTACAGCTGGTGGAAAGAGACAGAGCTGATGTTAAATGTACAGCTTTCGCCTTTCGAGCCTCAAAGGTGTGATGATATCAGATGCATTAATAAAATAGCCAGATGAACAATAGTATTATGTATAATTAGTAATCATCCAGTTTTTGTGCGCTTTTGATGTTTAATACAAGTTTTTTTTTTAAATGTTGTATATTTATAGGAGGAGATCGCTGAGAGCTCAGATTATGTTAAGAGGAGAGATGGCATGGGCGCACCTGAGATTAAATATGGCGACTCTCTCTGCTTCATTCAGCATGTGGGCACAGGGCTTTGGCTCACATATCAGACCACTGACTCTAAGAGACAGAAGGAAAGCGTGTCGCAGAGACAGGTAAACAAACAGAGCGATTTATAGAATAATTTAAGGTCTTTAAATCATGATGATGAAGATGAAGAAGATTTGTTCTGTTCAAATATTTGTAGTTGGACAATGTTTGGTTTATAAAAGTCACCAGCATTTATCTATTCACAAATACAGTAAAGCAAGAACACTGGGGAATCTTTTTAGTTTAACATAACATTAACATAAATTAACATAAAACATTCTTTTGCATACATTTGAAATGCCATTTTTACTTTCAATACACTCTCTATCAACATTAAAGTTTTTAAATGTTCTCTACATATTTCTCATCTACAAATAAACGTCAAACTTAAAAACACATTTTAAAAAGGTAAAATGATATTGTCAAATTCAATAAAATGTTTATGATCATTATGAACAACAACAATTTTGCAGATATACAACAACAAAAATATATTTTGTACGCATAAAATTTGACTTGGGCGACGCAGTGGCGCAGTGGGTAGCACGTTCGCCTCACAGCAAGAAGGTCGCTGGGTCGCTGGTTCGATCCTCGGCTCAGTAGGCGTTTCTGTGTGGAGTTTGCATGTTCTCCCTGCGTTCGCATGGGTTTCCTCCGGGTACTCCGGTTTCCCCCACAGTCCAAAAACATGTGGTACAGGTGAATTGGGTAGGCTAAATTGTCCGTAGTATGAGTGTGTGTGTGTGTGTCTGTGTGGATGTTTCCCAGAGATGGGTTGCGGCTGGAAGGGCATCCGCTGCATAAAAAACTTGCTGGATAAGTTGCTGGTTCATTCCGCTGTGGCGACCCCAGATTTATAAATGGACTAAGCCGACAAGAAAATGAATGAAAATTTGACTTTGGCATGCTAAAATTACTTCATTTAGATTTGGTGTTATGTCCACATACCTCCTTATTCATTTAACTTCTTGTGTGTTGTATGTCAGGGGTTTCCAAACTTTTCAGCCCACTACCCCAACAAATGCCAATGACTGGCGACCCCACTATTTTTGGAGGTGGTTATAATCATACAAAAGTTGCACACAATGGCTCACACACACCCACACACCAATACTCCTATATAAACACAAACATACTGACAACACAGTTTTTTTATGATCAAATTTTAATATTAACTTCACCTAATGACACTGGTAAACACAATGATTGGGTTACATCCAAAGTCTTTTCTTGGTTTAATTTTGAAGACCGTCACTCTGAGATCATCCTCCCTGTTCAGTCGTGGCCTGTTTTTATTTTAAATGTACGTTAATGCCATAAAGGTGTCAGAAAGCTTAGGCTGGTGCCATAAAATCAATCTGCTGCTACTGATGCTGTTGCTGTGTCGTTGATCTGTTGATCTAACATAAAAACCCCAGAGGTTGCAATGCAATGGAAAAAAAAAAATCGTAAGGCTGAATGATTTTAATTTGCATGTTGTATTTTTAATGTAACTATTTTTATGTTTTGAAGGGATTATCCTACAGTTATGGATTAACAATGGTAATTTTAAAAGTTGATTCAAATTTATTTGATTTTTGAAAAATCACCAAGTGACCCCATCCCATTGTCATGAGACCCTCACTTTTGGCAACCACTGTTGAATATGACCTTGCTCAATGAGCATGAGCAAATGGGTTATGGTTTCATAATGTCGAATTGCAATTAGTTTTTATTTTACATGACTTTTCACGGTTCAACACTCAAGATTTACCACATTTTTCTCTAGCCACACCAAAAATAAATGCATAAAAATTAAATAATTCTTAGCCCAATATAACTGTAAGCAAAAGAAAGCAGGTGAAAAACAGCATGTGTATTAATGAAAGGATGATTAAGTGCACACAGTTAGTTTTAGGCCCATTGATAATCTGTTCAAAGAATGGTAAAGCGAAAGCAGCCACTGCTGCATTAAAAAGATATTTTCCAATGCCTGTTTTAAAGCTGTTTTAAGCTTTGGAGGAATAAAACATGAAAACTGCATAAAATAGCATTCCCAGTAATTGTGACAGTTACAAATGGTGACATTTTGCAACTAAACATTCTCTTTTGAATACCTCTGTTTACTTTGTTCACACTACAATGTGAGAACCACATATTCAAATTTATCCACTTAGAAGAGCATTTTTAAGAAGTTCAGTGGTCACAAGACAAAACTGTCTCATTGTGGATGGAAGGCCAAAATTGATATTTTAATGATTATTTATTTATTAATGTAAACAGCCTTAGTTAATGCTTTCTGTCTGAAATAAATCCTGCTTCAAAGGCATGATATTGTCTTTGTCACAGGCTGTTCTTCAAGCAGAAGGTCACATGGATGATGGCATCACTCTGTCCCGCTCTCAGAGGGAGGAGTCACAAGCTGCGTGTCTCATTCGAAGCTCAGTCCTTCTCTTCTCACAATTCATTAGGTAAATGTAGAAAACAATGCATTAGTAGAAGACCATCAAAATGTTTAAAGGTACATCATGTAGAGTACGTCACATAAAAAACAGATTCTTTTAAACCCTCCTAAACAAAAATGTCTTTTTTGATTCATGTCTTATGACCCAGTCAGTACACTCCTCAGAATGATTTGGGAAAGAGTGATTGGGGTGGATATTTTACATGGAAGATGGTTTGGTCTCTAGCCATTGAGCTCTCAGTCTGGCATAGGGCAGGAGCTGTTCACAAGGCTTCTACACAGAATACACATTAGACAACATTTAGGACATTAACACAATGCTATTCACGAATCTCTCTTTCCTTCAATGTAAATCCAATATAGGACATTATATTCATTGTACATGGGAGTTTCATGTGATCCAGACCTACTGGTTTAGAATTATAGCTAATTTAAACAGCATCTTAAGTCTAGTCTTTGATATGGACCCTCTGTCACTTCTACTGGGTTTTAGCAACAAGCATATACAACAATAAACACTATTTGTTCTGCCTATTAACTTTCGTTCTCAGGAAGAACTTTTTTAACGTCATGGATCAGTGATAAACCCCCTTCCATAAAAGGATGGCATGTGATTATTAGTGAAACTATTTTTCTGGAACTTCCAACAGGTCTCATTCACTCCACAACTGACAATTTTATTCACATTTGGACTCCATATCTGGAAAGTATAAATGCCTCTGTGTGTGATATTTTATATTTGGAATGACATAATGTATACAGGGGTATCCATTTGTCTTCTTTTTCCCCAAATTTTTTTCTGTTGGTCCTGCTGTTTTGCTTGTGGTGAAATGCTCTATGGATATTACCATTCGTACACTTTTGTTTCAGGAATTTCATGTTAATGTGTAGTTTTGGTTCATGTTTGTTAAAGAGCCCATATTATACATGAAATAAGGCCATATCTTGGTTGTAAGGGTCTCCAACAACAGTCTAATATGCATGCAAGGTCAAAAAACACTTTCATGGTCTTATAATCTGCATTTATTTTTACCTAATTATCCCAGCGACTCCCGTATAATTCGTCCAGTGATTCATTTGTTCCCAAACCCCTCCTTAGCGCGAAGCTAATCTGCGCTGATTGGACCAATGACAGTCTGTTGTGATTGGTCGACTGCCTTCAGTCAGAGAGTGAAATGCCAAACAGCTAATCAGCAATATAAAAGTAATCACAGTTCATACACGCTCGATAGTGTAGGCGTGGATTTTAGCTGCCAGTGGGTCAATGTAAATACAGACTATGGACTTGAAAATACAGACGACTAACTATTTTATTGAGCAAAAACTCCAAAAACAGTTGAGGAGATCTCCTAGCTTCTCACTCTGCTCTTTTCACAGACACACACACACACATATTGCACACACACACACACTTAACCCTGCTCCGGACGACACCGCGCGCGCGCACACACACACACACACACACACACACACACACCTCCGGACGACAGCGCGCACACACGCACACACAGACACACACACTACTCCTCGCCCACGGAGCTCCGTTAACAAAGCAGCACGCGTCGCGTTTTTAACGTGACTTTGCACGCGATAAGAGAATATAGCCAGTTAACCTGATACAGTACACGCGGTTACAAGTAACAAATCACAACTAAATACATTTGCAAGCTAGAGTCAACGAGGCAACTTTAGGCAAGTTTATTTATATAGCACATTTCATACACAATGGCAATTCAAAGTGCTTTACATAAACAAGAATAAAAGAAACAAGTAAAAAAATAAATAAAAATAAAAACAAATAATAAAAATGCATAAAAACAAAACAAAACATAAAAACAGGTAAAATGTGATATAAAAGAATGAAGAAGAAGAGAAAAACATGATAGTGCAATCTGTCGGACGCAGCACAGTGCTCATTCAGTAAAGGCACAGCTAAACAGATGTGTTTTCAGTCTTGATTTGAATGTGCCTAATGTTGGAGCACATCTGATCATTTCTGGAAGCTGATTCCAGCAGCGAGGGGCGTAGTGGCTAAAAGCCGATTCACCCTGCTTTGACTGAACTCTTGGAACTTCTAGTTTATATGATCCTAAAGATCTGAGTGATCTGTTAGGTTTGTATTGAGTGAGCATATCTGTGATGTATTTAGGTCCTAGGCCATTTAGTGATTTATAGACCAGTAATAATACTTTAAAATCTATTCTGAATGTAACTGGCAGCCAGTGTAAAGACCTGAGGACAGGTGTGATGTGCTCTGATTTTCTGGTTCTGGTTAGAATTCTGGCTGCAGTGTTCTGGATGAGCTGCAACTGTCTGACTGTCTTTTTAGGAAGGCCAGTGAGGAGTCCATTACAGTAATCCACCCTGCTGCTGATAAAAGCATGAACAAGTTTTTCTAAATCTTCACTAGAAACAAAGCATCTGATTCTTGCTATGTTTTTGAGATGATAGTATGCTGATTTACTGACTGCTTTGACATGACTGTTGAAACTCAGATCTGACTCCAGAGTCACACCAAGATTCTTGACCTTATTTTTTGTCGTTTGACCTTTAGTGTCAAGGTACGCATTTACCTTGAGAACCTCATCTTTGTTTCCAAACACAATAATTTCAGTTTTCTCTTTGTTTAACTGAAGAAAGTTTTGGCACATCCAATTGCTCATTTCATCAATGCATTGGCAGAGGGTGTCAATGGGGCTGTAGTCATTAGGCAGTAAGGCTAGGTAGATCTGAGTGTCATCAGCATAGCTGTGGTAGGAGATTTGGTTCTTTCTCATTATTTGGCTTAGAGGGAGCATGTAAAGGTTGAACAGGAGAGGTGCAAGAATCGAGCCTTGTGGGACTCCACACGTCATGGGTGTCCACCTCGACCTATGGTCACCTATACTGACATGGTAACCTCTACCTTCTAGGTAAGATCTAAACCATTTGAGGACCGTGCCAGATAGCCCGACCCAGTTTTCCAGCCTATCCAGAAGTATGCTGTGATCGACAGTGTCAAATGCAGCACTGAGATCCAACAATACCAGCACTGTTATTTTACCTGAATCTGTATTTAGGCGTATATCATTGATTATCTTTATAAGAGCGCTCTCTGTACTGTGATGTGCTCTGAACCCCGATTGAAAATTGTCTAAACACCCCCTGAAGTTTAAGAACTTGTTAACCTGGTTAAAAACAACTTTTTCAATGATTTTGCCAATGAAAGGGAGATTTGAGATTGGCCTGTAATTGCTCAATAGGGTGTTATCCAGGTTGCTCTTCTTCAAGAGGGGTTTAACAACTGCAGTTTTAAGTGAGGTTGGAAAAACCCCTGATAGAAGTGAAGCATTTACCACTTTTAGAAGATCCATTTCTAAACATGTAAACACCGTTTTGAAGAATGATGTGGGGAGCGTGTCAAGACTGCAGGTTGATGTTTTCATAACTTGCACAGTCTCTTCTAAGATTTTGCTGTTAATTGCCATGAAATCAGACATAGTGTCTGATTTCTTAAGTTGTGGTTGAGCTTGTTTGATATCGACACAACTTGGTTGATTGGATGAGCTGATTGCCTTTCTGATATTATTAATCTTATCAGTGAAGAAATGAGCAAACTCATTACATTTGCTTTCAGAGAGGAGCTCACTGGGAATCTGACTGGGGGGGTTTGTGAGTCTCTCTATCGTTGCAAAGAGTGTACGAGCATTATTTAAGTTGCTGTTTATAAGGCTTGAAAAGAAAGTCTGTCTAGCAGTGTTTAGTTCCATATTAAAGGCATGAAGACTGTCTTTATAGATGTTATAATGGACTACTAGTTTCGTTTTTCTCCACATACGCTCAGCTTTTCTGCACTGTCTTTTCATCATTTGTACTTTCGGTGACCTTGTCCAAGATCCCTTTTGCCTGCCAGTCATCTTCTTGACTTTAACAGGAGCGATGTCATTTATGACATTCTCAATTTTCGAATTGAATAAATCAAGGAGAGAATCAACAGAATCTGCAGATATACTTGGTGCTAGTGATATGGCCTTCATAAACTGCTCACTAGTGTTCTCATTTATGCATCTCTTTCTGACAGAGACTGATCTGTCTTTAATAGCTGGAGTGATCAATATATCAAAAAAGATACAGAAATGATCAGATAGTGCCACATCCTTAACAACAGTTGATGAAATGTGTAAACCCTTAGTTATAAGTAGATCAAGAGTGTGTCCACGATTGTGTGTGGGTCCTTGAACATGCTGAGTCAGATCAAAAGTGTTAAAAACAGTCATCAGTTCTTTTACAGCATTGATTTCTGGATTATCAATGTGAATATTAAAATCCCCAGCAATACTAAAATAATCAAATTCAGAGGTTACTATTGATAACAGCTCTGTAAAATCCTCAATAAAAGCTGGAGAATATTTTGGAGGTCTGTAGATAATGATTAGTAAGATGCGTGGAGCACCTTTTAGTGCTATACTCAGATATTCAAAAGACAGATAGTCACCAAATGACACTTGTTTACATTCATACACATCTTTAAACAGGGCAGCGATGCCTCCACCTCTCCTATTAGCTCTGCAAACACTCAAAAAGTCAAAGTTTAAAGGAGCTGCTTCATTCAGAACTGCTGCGCTACAACTGTCATCTAGCCAAGTTTCAGTTAAAAGCATAAAATCAAGGCAATTTGTGTTGATAAAATCATTGACTAAAAGAGACTTATTGTTGAGCGATCTGATGTTTAAAAGCGCTAACTTAACAGTTTTAGCTGTTTTTTCTATAGTAGTCTCAGATCTACATTTAATAGACACCAGATTTGAATGATTTGCTAAACGGCCTGATGAAGTCTTTGGTTTTCTGTCACTTAACACAACACATATCTGCTTAGAGAAAGCTACAGACACACTGGGTTCCTGCTTGTTCTGAAAACATTTGATAAAGACACTGTTATCTAAGCAGGTCCCCGACACACATCACAGAGAGCTCTTGTGTTCACCAGCTGAAGATGGGGCGTTGTTGTTTGGGCCCTGGCGGTGTGATCGGAGGGCTCTTCCAGGTGGGCTCATAGGTGGTTGTGGAGCAGGCCGCTTTTTGGTTGGTAACTGGGGGCTTGCGGCAATGGAGTGTGAAAGTTTAGTTCCAGCATATACCAGTTCCTCCATCTTTTTTGAAAAACCCAAGAGTGGTGAACATTGTGACAATGAGAACGTGTCCGGTGACAGAGGCTGTGCATCTGGAGATTCTGTCTGCAGAAATATGTTTTCCTGAGGATCATTTTTGAGTGACGAGACTTGATGCTGTTCTGATGCGTCACAGTCTGCCTGTGTTGAGCAGAGGGCAACTGATAGTGTCTCTATCAACATTGGGTGTTTTGGCTGCGTGGCATTATCACTGTCCTTGGGTGATTCGTCAGCCACAAGTCCACTCAGGAGCTGATTTGAAGTCCTGTGGTCATCCGAACATTTGCTAGGTGTGTGTTTGCAATTCAGTTCAGTGGCATACACAGCTGATGGATGATTGAGGGAGAAAAAAATATTGTCCTTTAGCACCTTTGCACCAAGTTTGTTTGGATGAAGGCCATCTGATGTAAACAGCTGTCTTTGGTTCCAGAAGAGATTGAAGTTGTCGATGAAATTCAGTCCTTTCTTGTTACATGTTTTCTGTAGCCATACATTTAGACCAAGAAGCCGTGAAAACATATTTGTCCCTCTTGCAGGGAGTGGTCCACTTATGAACGCCTGAACCTTCAATCTTTCAGCTGTTTCCAAGAGCTCACAGAAATCTTTCTTGAGTAGTTCTGACTGTTCTTTCCGAATATCATTCTTCCCCACATGGATGATAATCCGTTTTGCCGTCTTGTGCTTTTTCAGAATTTCCTCAAGCTCTTTGTTTACATCAGAAACTGTTGCATGAGGAAAGCAGTATGTCATTGTAGATCTGCTCCTGAAATTCTTGATTATTGAATCTCCTACGACTAGTGTTCTTATCTCAGGTGTGATCGGAGCAGAATGCCGCTGTCTAGTCGGCCTTGAGCCTCTGTTCCATGCAGAATTAGTTGCTGAATCATGCGATCTCTGTCTGACTACATTTGGGGATTCTTCACCCATATTACTCAAAACTTCATATCTGTTCTGAAGCTGTATTTGAGTCCGAGCTGTATTTGGGGTAGAAGACGCTAATGCGGCAGCGTATGATCTGACCCCTCGAGTACCCTTTGGTCTCGCACCTTGTTTATGCCAATGCTCATTTTCAACAGTTCTTTTCTGTTTTTCTGTGCTCAAAACAGTAGCAGGAACAGATTTATGGGACTCACCGGCTGTGTGCTGAGAGAATCCACAATGAAGCTGAAGTTCTGGTCGGATCGCAAGCAACTTCGTTTCAAGAACTGCAATCTTTTGTAGAAGTTTGTGGCAGTTTGTACAGCAGTGAGAATCTGAATTAATCCGATCCAGAGGCATTTTCACAGTCGTGTCTTCCCGTCTCCGGAATGTAAGCAGCTGATAGCTGGTAGCAGGAGGATTGTTTAGACGGTAATTCCTTTCTTGTTAGTAAAGCTATATTCCAGAAAGTTTGTAGAATCGATGCTGATCTTCAAGCCGTGTTGTTTGAGCACTGTGCTGATAGGCTCAAGTTAAAATTAGGGTATAAGATACAAAAGCAAGAGTGCGAAGAGCGGAGCAGTGGGCAAAGACGTCCGAACAGTAGCAAAGCAGGAAGTGCAATTAATCGCACGTACTTACACTTGAGAAATGGAGGAAGAAAAATCCATCCTGAAGTCCATCAGTAAGTTACTCTTTACTGATCCTTCCTTTACCAAACGCTGATGAAGTATACTTTGTAGCATGTAGTTTCCAGAAGTTTCCAACTGCTTGGCTATAATGCTGAGGTTTCATCTTTGGGTAGAGACTCAATATATCCATCTGCAGTGTGACTTCAATCGACCGCATGTTTGTGTGTGTGTGTGTGTTTGTGGGTGTGTGTGTGTATCTGGGTTTCTGCGTCAGAGGGCGGGGCCTCAGGTTTGAAATCTCCCGGGTTTGCGCGTGCACGTGAATAACTTGGTTTCATTCGTACGTCATGGCGAAACACCTAATGAATCGGTATCAAGGCGACTCGTTTGAAGCACTATGAGTCGACTCTTTTATAGATGAATCAACAGTTTTAAACACTGTACACTAACAGATTTAAGCCTTAGCTGGATACTTCACTTCACTTAGAGCTGTGTTACACACTACATGGAGGGGAATTTTCAAAAACCCATAATATGGGCTCTTTAAAATAAAAGCAAATGAAAAAGATTTTCACAGACATCTTAGGAAGTAAGGGAAAGTAAGGTTCTCATATTTTATGATAATGCTTATACTTTTATAAGGCCTAACATGTTCAAAGAATTATATTTTATCATTTCTTTTTCATTTTTGCTTTTTTAAAGCAGACTAGATGATGTCACCCAGAAAGAAAACATCACCAATTTCAATCTTCCGATTGAGATGATCCGTCTAACCCTCCAAGATTTGCTTGGTTATTTTCATTGTCCTGAAAAGGGGCAAGACCACAAGATCAGGCAGGGAGACATTGGAGCGCTGAAGAACAGACAAAATCTCTTTCAAGATGAGGTAATAACCTCAAAACAAAAAAAAAAACTCACATATCAAGCCAAATGCCACATTAGTATTTTCATTATTTCTTTAATTATTTTCTTTATAATGATTTTTATTCCTTGTGGTTGTTTAAGGGTATAATCCTTCTAGTGCTGGACTGCATTGACCACCTGCATGTGTACAACAGTGCAGCTCATTTTGCTGAGGCTGTTGGAAAAGAGGCAGGAGAGTGTTGGGAAGGGGTCTTGAATGCTTTTTATGAGCTGTTAGGTATAGGATGATTTGTGTTTCTTTACATAATTATATAATAATATAATATTATATATAATTATATAATAATAATAATATACAAATAGTTTTGCTCTAACTGACATACTTCTCACAGCTGCTCTTATCCGGGGTAATCGGAATAATTGTGCCCAGTTTTCTGGCTCTTTGGACTGGCTGGTCAGCAGGCTGGAGAGGCTAGAGGCTTCCTCTGGTAAATGTCCTACAGGATTATTTCTTTCATGATGTGAACTCAAAAGCTGATTTGAATTTTCTCTTGTTACCTATTTTATTTGTTTGATTGTTTTTTAGGAATATTGGAAGTGTTACACTGCGTGTTGGTAGAAAGTCCTGAAGCTTTGAATGTTATTAAGGAAAGTCACATAAGAACTATCATCTCGCTTCTGGACAAACATGGAAGAAACCATAAGGTAAACATTTACTGTACCTTTTTAAAAATTTGCCATCTGTTTTGGTTTCTTTCAAAAAAATTTTAAAAGTATTTTACTATATGCCTACCAATAGATTTATTTGGTCAAAGGACAGCATAACTGTAATATCTTAAATATTATAATGGATATTGCTGAAAGAACACAATTTTTGAGTTTATTTGGGACAACTTGTTTTATGTTAAATCCACTTACATTTGTAAAAAAACTAGTAAGTTAACTTACAGTAATTCAGTCATGTTATTTCAACACAAATTAATGGCGTGGAAGCCAGCATTTTTTACAATGTTTATATCATTTAAGGGCTTGCTGACTTCATTTTTGAACAGACCTTTGATTGTGATCAGTATTGTTTAGATTTGACAACTTTCAGCATGTGTTTGTGTGTTGATTTCATTTGCAGATATTAGACGTGTTGTGTTCACTCTGTGTGTGTCATGGGATGGCTGTCCGCTCTAATCAGCATTTGATTTGTGACACACTGCTGCCTGAAAGAGACCTGCTGCTGCAGACAAGACTGATTAACCAAGTTTCCAGGTGACCTGTTATCAAAACACCCAACAATTTATAACTCCTACATCACAAAATAATGATTACACCTAACAACTGGTTTAGTTTGTTATTATATAGATTATGAGTATAATAAATAAAAAAAACATGTTGGTTGTCTGTTTAGTGTACGTCCAAACATCTTTCTGTGTACAAGAGATGACAGCGCCCAGTACAAAAAGTGGTATTATGAGGTTGTAGTTGAGAAAGCGGAGCCGTTTGTGACAGCAGAGCCTACTCATCTGCGAGTGGGATGGGCCAGCACTGAAGGGTACCGTCCTTCACCCACTGGGGGTCACGACTGGGGATCTAACGGTGTTGGAGATGACCTCTGCTCTTATGGCTTTGATGGACTCCAGCTTTGGACAGGTATCAGGTTTTTTTTTCACTAAGCACCTCTAATAACATTCAGAAGGTATGTTAAAATATATAATTATATATATATATTTAGGAGGTGTAGGTCGCCGAGTTAGCTCACCCAATCAGCACTTGCTAAGGGAAGATGATGTCATTAGTTGTTGCCTTGACCTCAGTGCAACCTGCATCTCCTTCCGGGTCAATGGACAGCCAGTTCAAGGCATGCTAGAGAACTTCTGCGTGGATGGACTGCTGTTTCCAGTGGTCAGCTTCTCAGCTGGAGTGCAGTGAGTTACCTTCAGATATATTTTGATTTAGCAAGTTGATTTTTGCAAGTGCTGTTGTTTGGTTTGATGACCAGATTTCTGATTTACACAACGGGACCTTTTCTAGTTCAGTGGTCAAAATATGCATTTTAATATTTTACTTATGGTTATGATTGTGTTAAGAAAATGAGGACTATCCATTTTGTATTTTTTATTGTTAACTAAAACTTCCTGTTGGGGACAAAAACCAAGATACATTTGGTTACCTTACTGACTCTCTTAATCTTTCCTCAAGAATCAGTCGATTCCTTGGCTATCAGGAGTCACCACAGTGGAACGAACCACTAATGTCTCTGGCATATGATTACAGAGCATTTTCTATTTAATTATGAGATTTAAATAATGCATTTTGGTTACATTATAAGCACAATTTTGATGGTCACTATAAGCACACTTTTTGATGTACCAAAAATAGTTTCAGAAGATTTACAATAAAGAAATGTGAAAAATACTTACGTTACATCATATATCATTAAAAATAATAAGAATCTGTTAATTTTTTTAATTAAAAACTGTGGCCTAATGTTATTTATTTAAATGAATAACAAACTGGCCAGCACATTCAAGTCCTCAGTCAGAATTTGGACATTTAAATGATAAAAATTTCAAACATAACATTAATAATAGTAATATTAATAATGTAGAGTGTTAAGATTTTTCTAGCCTTGTAAAAAATTGTAATAAATTTTAATATGGGCCGCTTTTGATGCTTCACACCTTTTTATTGGTCCTTTTTTGCTTCAAGAATAAGGTCAAAGGTTTAGAATAAAAGTTACTTATAAAATACTTTCTTTATTTAAAAAACAATACAGTAGCGGAAGATGATGTCACTTACATCAGCATGTATGTTTTCTTGCACAGCTGGATGTTGGACTCATAAAAAATATGCTTGCATTGGCCAAAACGGATTAGCTGAAATCACAACGAAGTGACAGCCAACAGAGGATTCTGCTTGGTCTTAAAACCTTTTTCAATAGTTTTTTTTCAGTATTTATGATGGCATAGCAGTAAAATTAAGACAAATGAGCTCATCTGTGGGACAAATTCTGGACCTTTGTCAGTGAGGGATGGGTCTTTCAAAAAGGTCTAGCCCCCCCCCCCCCCCCCCCCCCCCCCCCAAAATAATTATTGTGAAAAGTGCTATACAAATTAACTTGAAACTTGAACTTATGAGGAGAACTTCACACAGAAATGCCACCTGGTCCAGCAGGAACTCGAACCAGGAGCATTCTTGATTTTAGCCAACCGTGCTAACAACTTAGCCACCGAGCTACCATAATGTTTCCCACAAATAGATAAAAAAAATCCAAATTCAATCTTACTAAATCAATATTTTGACCTGCATATCCTAAAATAGATGGCTGGTTTTATTTTCCATCAGGGTGCGCATGCTGTTTGGAGGTCGACAGGGGGAGTTCAGGTTTCTTCCTCCTGCTGGATTCTCTCCATGTGCTGAAGCTCTTCTCCCCAAAACACGCTGCAAGCTGGAGCTGTGTCACGAACTCACTCGTAATCACACTGAAACCCAGCGTGACCTCTTAGGCCCTGTGGTACCTATTAACCCAGTGACCTTCACACCCGTTCCTGTGGATTCCAGCCAGGTACTCATTCAATTTTAATTACGCTGTGATTAATTTAAATGTAGCATCAGTGCAGTACAGTTGTTTAAAGAAATCTGTTTTACATCAACTTTTCTGACTTTTCTCTCACATCTGTTCTCAACTCTTTATCTATTCAGGTTGAATATCCTCCACAGCTGGAGCAGATCAGAGAACGATTAGCTGAAAATCTTCATGAGCTCTGGCTTATTGACAAAATAGAGCAGGGCTGGACCTACGGACCTGTGAGTATCAGAGGGAGTTTTTACACTTGAATTGTTTGTTGTTTTGTTTCAGAATCCTTCGTGTTTGGGTCATTTAAACATAAATGAATTACTTTAGAGCAGTTGGTTCTAGTGAAAAGAAACTCGGACCCAAAGCATCAATCAAACCAAGTTGTTTTATAATTCATAATGACTATAGCTGATCTATTTCCAAGGTTTGACATATTGTGCATTCAGAGATGACAACAGATCAGTTTTGTCATTCTACTCTGGCCTTTGGCTTTAACAAGTTGTTTACACCTACAGAACTGCTCAATCAATATTTATTCTTTCTTTAGACCATTCTCTGGTATCCCTAGAGATAAACATCCCAGTAGATTTACAGTATTTCTGAAATATTCAGACCAGCCTGTCTGGCACCAACAACCTCGCCACATTCAAAATCACTTGACATTTTTATCCCATATGTCTTACACGAATACATTTAGATACACTTTGAAATGTTCTCTTGACAAAATGAACTGATACAAGAGGAAAATAAAGAATTATGCATTTAAGTACTTGATCTGCATGTCTGAAAATGCCCTTACTTAACATCCATTAAGTAGCCTAATTTGTTCTGGAGTATATTGAAAAGTGCATTGCTTTTTCTAGGTTAAAGATGAAGGTAAAAAAGTACATTCATGCCTAGTTGAGTTCTCCAAACTCCCAGATCAAGAGCGAATCCACAGCCTTCAGTCATCTGAGGACATTCTGAGGTATAAATCATTTTACTGTAAGTAATAAACCATTAATAAGCTGCCGATTTTAATCATGCTTGTCTTTGTGTCATTGAAGAACTCTTCTGGCTTTTGGGGTTCATATTGGACTCTCTGATGAACATGCCGAAGAGAATGTCAAATATGTTCGCCTTTCAAATAAGTAAACATTTTTATTACTGTTAATACAAAAATACACAACTGTACATTAAAAATTGTTGCTAAAGTGTTTAATGAATTCATATTACATCACATGTTCAGGTATGAGCTATGGAATGGATATAAACCAGCCCCTGTGGATCAGTCCCGGGTTGTGCTAACAGATGCTCAGGGAGAGCTGGTGGAATATCTGGCTGAAAATGAACACAACATCTGGGCCAGAGAGCGCATCAGGCAGGGCTGGAGCTATGGCCCACAGCAGGTGAATATTAAAGCAATGCCAGTTGTGTGAACATAAAAAGACTGCTGACTTTCTATGTGTGCTTTTAGAAAGTTGTATAGCTCAATCTAACAAGGCATTACTGATCATGCATGTGTTTTGTTTGTTGTTACGAGTATCCAAAACACATCTGTAATAGCTCCACTTTCTTCTGCAAACGAGGTGGGAGCAGCAGCTCATTTACATTTAAAGAAACACACACACATACACAAATTGTGTTTCTTTGTCTTATTCCACCTAAAGCAGACTCATTCCAGGGACACCTGAGGCTTTTATTGCATCTTGCGAATGGGGTATAACAGCACCTCTTCAGAACAAACAATAAATGTGAACTTTATGATCACTGGAATGCAAAAATTGCATGGAATGGCAAAATTGTCCATGTGACCATCTGTAGCACTTGCAGATTGCATTTACTCCAACTTCAATATGTTTTCTTTTTTTGTCTCTTTGTGTTTGAGGGATGTTTAATAGGTTTAAATGTACAATATATGTCTATGTTTTAGGATGTAAAGTTTAAGAGAAGTACCCAACTAGTGCCATTTTATCTGCTGGATGAGAGGTACAAACAGGCTGGTAGAGATGCCATGAGAGATGCACTGGGCACCCTTCTTGGGTTTGGATACACTGTGGAACCGCTGGAGAAAGAGCATGGTGGGAAAATGATCCCTTTTTACAGTATAGTCTTAAGAAGGCACATTTGGACAACTGATTACATTTCAAAATTAAACCAAGTTTACTTTACTCACTAAGGCATTTTAAATGTAATCTTACTTTCAGCAAAATGCTACAATTAAATTATGTGGAGTCAGTAAGAATTTTTTTTTATTGTAATATGTTGGTCAAATTTGCAGTAAAGGCTTCTTAAATAATTTTAAACCAAACTAAAATATTTTAAATAGGGATGCACAATGTATCGGCGGCCATATCATTATCGGCCAATAAATGCTATTGTTAAGGTTATCGTTATCAGTCCAATGTCAAAAATAGGCCGATATATTTAATTTATATTTTTATAAATATAAATTTATAATTTATATTTTATTTAATTTATATTTACATGTGTTCAAAATAATCTGAAACGCCAAATAGGACGAATTTATGCCACATTTCGCTCGTAAGGTGGCTCTGAACGGTCAAAACATAAAACGCCTTTTCGGATGTTCTATATTTCTACATTTTTACATTACTGTAACACGTTGTATTCGTGTTTCTTCGCCATGGGAAAAAAGGAAATTATTTATTTTTGGCATGCTATAAAATCATGAATATAGGTCTATATAATCACCTTCCAATTTTGAAATTATAGCTTTTTTGCTTTAAGTAGGCTATTCAGTTCATAATATCAGGTGAAACTTTTATGAAACTTTAAAAATAAAATCAGTTGTTCACTGTATATAAAAAAAAAACATTTAAAATTTTTTATTTGAGTATCGGCTAAAGTATATCAGCTATCGGCCTCCAAATCTTAAGAGTTATCGGTTATCGATATTGACACTAATGACTTGAATGTTAGCAAATGATAAATATGTTTGTTTTTCTCCCCCCCATAGCTTCAAGTAGTAGTGTCAAGTCTGTGGGTGCAGAGAGATTTCGTATTTTCCGTCTGGAGCAGCTCTTTGCGGTGCATTCTGGTAAATGGTACTTTGAGTTTGAGGCTGTAACTGATGGAGAGATGAGAGTAGGCTGGGCTCGACCTGGATGTAAACCTGATGTGGATCTCGGGTCAGATGATCAGGCCTTCGTGTTTGATGGCTCCAAGGTATTGCAATTAATATATCAAAGCAAATTGTATTAAAATCGTATACTATTAAGTATGAGTTTACAGTACAAAAAATATATGTAATGTAATATACGATTGTTTATGTTTTAGGGGCAGTGGTGGCATGGTGGGGCAGAGCGATTGGGTGGCTGCTGGAAGAGAGGGGATGTTATTGGATGTTTGCTGGATCTGACAACTGACACTATGATGATCACTCTTAATGGAGAGCTACTGCTAAACAGTCATGGTTCTGAATTTGCTGTGAAAGACTTAATTAAATCTGATGGTGAGCTGTCTGTGATGGTTTCCATTTTATTTCAGCCAATACTGCTATGTATTCATCTTTCATCGTCTTCTCTTTGAATCCTAGGTTTTCTGCCTGTTTGTAGTATAGGTATTAATCAGGTGGGTCGTCTGAATTTGGGTTGCCAGATTGAGTCACTGAAATTTTTCAATGTTTGTGGCCTACAAGAGGGATATCAGCCTTTTGGTCTGAACATGAGTAAAGATCTACCACTGTGGATGAGCTGGAGAGCGCCTTTGTTCATTCCTATACAAGATAACCATCCTAACATACAGGTTAGTTCATTTGTAGATAAAAGGAGAAGATTGATAATGAAACACTTGTTTTTACTTTATTTTATATTGAAAATATGTCTTGGAAAAACATACAGTTATTAGCCCCCTGTTTATTTTTTCCCCGTTTTCTGTTTAATAGAGAAGATTTTTTCAACACATTTCTAAACATAATAGTTTTAATAACTTATCTCTATTAACAGTTTTGCTATATCTTTGCTATGATGACAGCACATAATATTTGACTAGATATTTTTCAAGACACTTCTATACAGCTTACAGTGACATTTAAAGGCTTAACTTGGTTATTTAGGTTAACTAGGCAGGTTAAGGTAATTAGGCAAGTTATTGTATAATTATGGTTTGTTCTGAAGACTATTGAAAAAAAATTGCCTAAAGGGGCTAATGATTTTTTCCTTAAATTGTGTTTAAAAAATAACTGCTTTTATTCTAGTCGAAATAAAACAAATAAAAAATATTATCAGACATTCTGTAAAAATGTCCTTGCTCTGTTAAACATCATTTGGGAAATATTTAAAAAAGAGAAAAAATTCAAAGGGGGGCTAATAATTCTGACTTCAACTGTAAATAGTTGGATTTTATTTACAATTACTCTTGGAGACAAATATATAAATTATATGTTTTTTTTATCTGATATATTAATCTGATTATGATATATTTGTAACTAACAAGACATATGCAAATATTATATTATAAAAAATTAAATGTCCTGAACACAAATACACAATATTGGTAAAAATGTTTTGCTTCAAATAGATATACGTCACATATTTGGTTAAATAAAGTGTTAAAAATAACCGGTGTTCACATTTTTAAATCATTTATTACATAATATTGATATCCTCTGTTTAGAGCAAACCACCACTGTGTTACCGATTGTTTTGGAGCGTCCTCAAAAATTTCATGGTTTCTTAATATTTTCAATACTTCAAATTTCTACTCAGGTGCTCCGCGTTGATGGAACCGTCAACAACACCCCATGTCTAAAAGTAACTAAGAGGGTTTTTGGACATGAAGAAAGAGGCTCAGGCAGCGTTGGATTTTACCGTCTCAGTATGCCGATAGAGTGTGCGCAGGTTTTCTGCGGTCCTGGTGACGCTTCTGTGCCTACCAGCAGTGCTGCGATCTGTCATCTCAGAGATCCAGAGGACGGTGAAGTCGATTCTGACTTTGAGCTGCTAATGAAAGCTCACAGATATGCAGGATCCAGAGATGAACTCAATAATCACAAAGACCACAGTCAGGAGAAGCCATCCAGACTCAAACAGAGGTGAATTAAAGAAACAGTTTACTTAAAAATCAACATTTACTCAAGTAGTTACAAACATTTATGAGTTTCTGTTGACTTCCATAGTTGGAAATATATAAGTTAATAGCTACTATTTTCCAACATTCTTCAGATTACCTTCCTTTGTGTTTAACAGAAAAAAACAATAATTAAAATATGTTTGGAAAATGTAGAGTATTCATTTTCATTTCTGGGTGAACTAACCCTTTGATATAATGTCCTCTTGTACAACTTTGCCTCTTGAAACCCAATACGCCAGCTATTGACTGGAACTTTCTTTATTATTTATGTACTTGATTTTTTGGCTGTAGGTTTATGCTGAAGAAGAAACAGGAGTTAAACACCAGCCACTCATCAGCACGTCTTCTGGAGGAAGTTCTAGCTATTGAGAAAAATGAAGAAAACCGCCTTGTTCGTTGCACTACGGTAAGCAATAATTTGCTTCTTATTGACCTGTTTTTTGCTAGATCACTGCATGAAAGGTTTGATAAGGGCAGTACTGAGTTTGAGTAGGTTTGTCATTATTTAGTCTCTCTCGTTGCAGTATTATTACTCTGTGAGAATCCCCTTCAGTCAGGAGCCCTCTTGTGTTTGGGTGGGCTGGGTGACCTCTAAATTCAGCCACCATGATGTGAGCTTTGACCTAGACAGCATTTGCACCGTTACAGTCACTCTTGGGGATGAATGGGGCAAAGTTCATGAGAGGTAAGACTTACGTATGCTTTGTCTGTGTGTGAAAAAGTGTCACGGGCACACAAATATATACACAATTTATTTATTTATTAATTTATTGTATTATCAAATAATTTTGGTAAGTAATGTGCTGGGGCGACATGGTGGCTCAGTAGGTAGAACTGTTAAACTGTAAAAAAAATGCGTGGTTTATGTATATATTATTTTTAATTCTTTATTTTTTAATATTCAAAATAAAGTTGAATTAAATATATATTGAAATTATGCACACAATAAACAGAGTTTATTTGTTTTTATTTATTTGTAATTTTCTGAGGTATATGAATGTTTTTATTTATTTTTCTTTATTTGTAATTTTATGAGGTAAATGTATGTGCTTATTTATTTTTATTTATTTGTAATTATTTATAATTATTATTTATTTAATTTGTAGTTATGACATTTACAAATAATGTTCTGAAATAAAAAGTCAAAAAATGTCACACCACAGTCGACACACATAAATATGTACCATACTGTGCTATTACATTTCAACAATATATGATGTAAACCTAAAAATGTATATGCAGACATAAAATAGATATGTTATTCTAAATCTATCATTTGTATTATTTCAAATAAAGTTGAATTAAATTCTAAACATCAGATGAAAAACGTTGCACTGTTAACTAACTAAAATTAATATTTATGTGGGAAATTCAAAGAATAAAGTTGCAATATAAGAAAATATTTCCCCCATAAACTAATAAAATTGTCATAAAACAGAATAAAAATGTTCAAATATTCTACACATGCTCTAAATAATGATATGTATGTAATTGGTTCTTGTAAATGAACTGTGTGCTGTTAGTGTGAAGCGGAGCAGCTGTTACATGGTTTGTGCAGCAGAGGGCAGTAGTTTATCCCACAGTCGCAGCAGCAATGGACTGGAGATTGGATGTCTGGTCGACACAGCCACAGGCCTTCTGACATTTACTGCAAACGGCAAGGAGATCACAACATACTACCAGGTAAACATTCAGTTGACTCTGAAGTGGAGACGCTGATGGTCAGATATTTATTTCATATATATTTTTGCACCATTAAGGTTATTTACTGTTGTTATTTATTGGTGTGATAACATAATCAGTACATAATAAAAATTCATGGAAAAGATCATGGTTTTAGCCTTAACGTTACACAAACAATTTTTATACATAGATATTTTATTTGATAAAATTCTCCTCATTCGTTTTCCTTGTTTAGACATTTATGTTACTTTATTTCAACTTCAGCAAAGTCTCTTCATCTGTAGGTGGAACCAGGCACCAAGCTTTTCCCTGCGGTATTTGCTAAAGCCACCAGTTCTAATGTCTTCCAGTTTGAGCTCGGCTGTATCAAGGTAAACCCAACACATCAGTTTTGTTCTTTATGGCTAGACCAAATAAATCTCCAAAACGTGCTTTTTTCAGCCCAATGGCTGTCCTTGTAAACTTGCAAAAAATACATTCAGCTGCCAGAAATGCTCAGGCATTAATAAATAAAAAATTAGAAAGAACTATATATCTTTCTTTAAAAAGGACTCCATTTTGGCTGAGCAAAAGCACAGAGGTACAGATCATAATCAAAACAAGACTTTTCTTGCGCACTTATATACTCCATCTTGGCATCTACAGTACAAATATGATGCAAAAATATAGATTTAATACACAAATAATGCACAAATACAATTAATAAAAGTGATTTTATACACATAGAAAGTGTATTAAATGTTGTATTTCAAGTAACTTGAAATGTAAAAAAATGTACCGTTGTCATACAGCGTAACAAATTTATTCAAAAATAAACATCAACATTATTGTTAACAACATACTTTTTAAATTAATACTCATTCATTCATTCATTCATTCATTCATTCATTTATTCATCCATCCATTCATTTTCTTTTCACTTATTCACTTTATTAATCCGGGGTCGCCACAGTGTAATGAACCGCCAACTTATCCAGCACGTTTTAAGCAGCGGATGCCCTTCCAGCCGCAACCCATCTCCTGGAAACATCAACACACACACTCATTCACACTCATACACCACGGACAATTTAGCCTACCCAATTCACCTGTACCTCATGTCTTTGGACTGTGGGTGAAACCGGAGCACCCGGAGGAATTAAATTAATATAAGTAAAATAATAATTGATTGTAATACAAATGAATATAAACATATTGGTGAAAAATAAGTGCAACTTAAAGTGGTTGAAAGATAGTGGTTTAATGTACAGATTAAAACTGATAGTTATTTTGGTATTTTAGGGTTGCACTGATCTTCTTTAGAGTTCTAACATGGCGTCATTAAATTTTTTGTTTTTAAATATACCTGACAACATTGTTGACATATCAATTATTGTTACACTGCATGTCATTTTAGTGGATGTCTTCTTCTGATATAATGGAAACATGGCCTGCACATAAATGCAACATCAAATGAATTGAGCTTTTGTTCTATATTTCATATATCATATTTGCTGCAGTCTGAAAATTTGTACTGTCACCCCCACAGAATGTGATGCCATTATCAGCGGGAGTTTTTCGGAGTGAGAGAAGAAATGCGAATCCTCAGTGTCCTCCTAGACTGTGTGTTCAGCACCTAACACATACACGGTGGACTCGAGTACCAGATCACACACAGTCTGTGGAAATGAGCCGTCTGGAGGAGAGATATGGCTGGAGAGCTCAATGTTCTCACATCCAGCAGATCATGACGCTGTACATTCCTGAAGAGAGCAGGTCAGAGGTCGCATGATGCTCACAGTGTATACATTTCTCAACATTTAATGGATCTAGAACAAAATTTTGATTTATCAGTTAAATTCTAGATATGTTGTTTAACAATATGAAATTTTGATGCATTTTTAATTTTGAATTAGTTTTCTAATACTTATCTTTAACCACGATTAATAAAATAGATTTTGTTTGATGTTTAGTGTTTTTCCCCTATAACCTTTGTTTTCCCTTATTTGACATTTGTCTTAGTTTTGACTCTTTAATCTAATTTTCCCTAAATCTGCTGTTTAAAAATACAAATTGATAAAATTTGTTTTTGGAATTTAGATGTGTGTAATAATAAAAAGTTCTACAAAGGTTAGAATTGCAGACACATGACATTTAATAAAATGGGATTTCATAATTTTCTAAATAAAAAAATGTATATGTCACAGCAACAAAATAGGTTTTATGGTGTATTTTAAAATTTATAATTTTGATTTTTTAAATATATTTAATATTTAAACCATAAAAACAAAACTGAAATGTTTTAAGGCTTATTCATCGAATTTGTAATTAACAGCAAATAAACAGCAGTTTTATTTTTTTGTTTCAAAAATGACTGTCTGCTTTAGATTTTGCTGAATTGTGAAACTATTTTTAGTCATTTAAATCACAATTAGTATTGTAAGAAAAAATGTTGAACACTTTACAATAAGACTCTTATAATGTTAATTAATATATCTACTGAAATGAATTGAGAATGAAAATTATTGCACATCATTTATTAATAATAATTAACATTTCCTAATGCATTATTAAAATCCTAAACTGTGCTTCTTAACATTAGTAATGCACTCTAAGTTAACAAGAACAAAAATGATCAAATTTAATTTCATTTTCTAATGAATATGAATAAATACTGTATTAAATGTATTGTTCATTTTTTGTTAATGTTAGTAAATACATTGATATTGACAAATTAAGCCTTATGTTAATGTGTTAGCAAAAAATGGTCTTTGCGTGTTATAAAATAGTATTTTCAAATCACAGTGTTTTTTTTTCCAATAATCTTTATTTTATTTTCTTCCTGACCCTTGCACTTTGGTCTTTTTAGTACAATCATTTGCTCATGCATTGTAATGTTTCCAGGTAATTCCCCCATGAACTAAAATTAGGAAATAAATATAACTGTCACGATCACCACCGATCTAGACCTTGCGGATTCCTGGAAAGCATCACGCGGACTACAAATCTGCCCCTACAAATCCCATCATTCCCCGCACTCACACACCTGTGCCAGATCCCCCTTGATTGTAAACACATAACTGAAGCTTGTGCGGACTGATTACCCAGACTATAAACACAGCTCACACACATCTTTGCTGAGTCCTGTTGAACTGAAAGTGAGCATTGCATTTCCTTGTCTTGCTTTGCCTGCCGTGGTTTTTGACCTTTGTTTTGTTTATTGTTTGGGTAATCAGTTCTCACAAGTTTCAGCTGTGTGTTTGCAATCAAGAGGAATCTAGGACAGGTGTGTGAGAATAGGGAATAAAAGAATTTGTAGTTTATTTCAGTGGCAGAATTGTAGTCCTGGTGATAGCGCATGTTTTCCACCAATCTGCAAGGTCTAGATTGCTGGCGATCGTGACAAATGTTTTCCAAGCTGCATAAAAAAGATCCCCTTCTCCTTCTTCCAGGTGTGTGGACATTCTGGAACTCTCCGAATCACATGATCTCCTCAAATTCCATAACCACACCCTCCTCCTTTACTCTGCCCTCTCAGCTCATGGAAACACACACGTAAGCCACGCCCTCTGCAGCCACGTGGACCAGTCACAGCTCTTATTTGCCTTGCAGTGCTCCAGAATGCCAGGCCACCTGCGAACCAGCTATTACAACCTCCTCATCAACATCCACCTAGACGCCCACGCCAGTGCCAGGCAGACCATGAATCATGAATACATTGTGCCAATGACAAACACACAATCCATAACCCTCTACAAAAGCAATGAAAAGGTGGAGAGGTTTCCAGGGAGTGACCGCAGCACTTCGTTATGGCCCAAAATGCACTTCACATCACCTTGCTTCATCAGGTCTAATAATAAAATTGATCTGGTGGATGGAGACGAAGGCAGGGTTTTGTGGAGTAGTTTGCGCCAGGACAGTCCAGAGATCCCATTGGATGTTTTGAAGGCTGTTGTGATTGCAATGCTAAAGGAAGCAGTGATGGTGGTGGGACAGGGTGTGAGGGATCCCACAGGGGGAAGTGTTGAGCTCCTGCTGGTTCCTCTGCTGAACTTGATTCACACTCTCCTTCTAATGGGTGTGTATCAGGGGGCCGATCTGGAGGCTGTGTTTAGTCTCATCCTGCCGAGCGAGTACATGAGAGCAACACAGAGAACAGAAGAGACAGATGAGCTTGGAGAAAGAGATGGAGGTGCAGAGGAAAAAGAGAAAGGAGATTGGAAATATGATGTGCTTCTTCAGATGAAGCTGCCAGAAGCTGTCAAGTTACAGGTCAGCATAGATCATTCAATGAGAGAGAACATCACCAAATCAAAGTTTAGGTTGAGATGACCAAGGAAAAGTGTCGCAATTTACCTGAATTTACATAGTTGTCAGATGCTTAGAAGATATTTAAAAAAAGTCTCTTATGCTCACACTTCTGTTTTCTTGATATTCATAAGATTTCAAAGAAAATAATCTTACAATTCTTACAAATCTTTAAAAATAATCAATTTCTCTGTATTTTTATTTAATATGGGTTTGAGTAACATATAAGTTATTTACATTTCTTTTAAATATAAAATATAAATGCTGTCATTTAAACCATTTGCATAAAATAACAAAAAAAAATCAGATTCAGATTGTGTTTTTATTTAACACATTATCAATATTTTATTCTTAAAAGAGTTTAGAAGCCGCATTTTTATTTACAGCAAATTGGTGGGTAAAGTATTTGCTATTCTGAACATAGTTTTTCAAAAGAGAAAAAAAGATGCTCTAAATAACAATATTTTATTAGACATTTTGAAGAAATGTTACCAGACCTTTATACATTGAAACAAACAACATTTTACTTAAACTTATACCTAATAAACAGAGTAAACTAGAGAAACTGAGACTTTTCAAATGGTCTCTTAATTTTTCCATAGCTACAAAGAGAACTAATATAATATGTTTATAGTATAAAATGTACTATATTCCTGTCATGGCCAATTTGTTATTCCTACCCCTAATAGTGTTATTCCTTTATTAAGCAATCTATAATGGTGAATTATTGCTTGAATATTATTCATTATTAATATTGCTTAATTGTTATTACTTTTTAAATATGTTTCTAATAATTTCTGTCTGGGTTCAAATCTATTCAAAAGCATTTGAAACTGAAATCCCTGAAAAAATGTATAGTGCTCAGCATAATTGAGGTCAGTCTATTTTGAAAATGAATATTTTTATTAATTTCTCAGTAAATATAGGCAATTTATTTTGGTTTATTTATACAAAACAGATATATTTATTAAAACAATATTTTAGTCACCAAACATATTTAGAAATTGAAAGATAATACAATTAAATTCAAGCAAAATATTGCAAATCAAATAAAACCTACAAAATTTCTACAAAATTTTTCTCTTTTTTTCTTCTCTGATTTTTCTTTATTTATAAATTTGTATTTAATATTTTTCTATAACATAACATAGCTTCCTATTAAACTATTAATTTAACATTTTGGAAGTATGAAGTTGTGGAATGTGAACTGGTGCTTGATTAGAATTCTTTTTTTTTTTTTTTTTTTTTTTTTTTTTTTTTTTTTTAAATAAGGATTATTATTTAACTCAGATTTTTCCCTAAACCTGTCTGGGGTAAGTTTTGGGTATTGGAGTTTGAATTATTGTAAAATCTTGAAAAAAAAAAACCCTCAAAGACATGATATACAAAAAAAACCTATTAATTTAAAAGATAGATTTGTCAGGGGTGTATTCATATATGCTGAGCACTGTAGGTGTTTTTTTTTGCTGTAATTTTTTATCAATTGAATGAATTCTTGCTGAATGAATTAAATTGACATATGAACGAGTGCCCTTATCTGACGCCATTCTGTCTCTTTTTATGTCTATCTTTCTCTCTTTGTCGTCATCAGGTTTGCCAACTTTTGAAGTACTTGTGTGACTGCCAAGTTCGTCACAGAGTCGAAGCGGTGATATCATTCTCCGGTGACTTTGTAGGTCATCTTCAAGAGGACCAGCGCTTCCGCTACAATGAAGTTGTGGATGCGCTCAACATGTCCGCTGCTCTCACTGCTCGCAAAACCAAAGAGTTTCGTTCCCCACCTCAAGAACAGGTCAGAGGCTGACTGGATTGAACTGTAGACTTCTGTCATCAACTGTTTTCATGATTTTACAGACCTGTATGAGCACAAAAGAAAAGATTTAGAGATGTGCATCAGCTGTAAGTCAGTTTGGTTCAAATATTGTTGTTACTCCACCATTTTTCTAAATTTTTTATCTTGGGCTCTACACGAGAAAATCAGATTTAAGTGATTTTTGGATGATTTTGTAATCATGATCACTTATAAACGATCATAAACCAGTATCATGCAGATTATCATCTACATTATTATCATTGTTGATTTACTTAAATGTTTATAGTTGAACTACTGTTCATGCTTATCTGTTTATTGAGATCTTCATTGGTAGGTATTATTTCTGGGGTCCTTTTAAAAAAGCTAAATTTACATTAGATCATAACAATTGAATGCCAATACAAAAACCAAATAAAAAGACAAATTTAGATTTGAACAAAGTGCAAGCTGACATTTAATGTGTCACTCATTTTGCATAAAACAAACAAAAACTAGTCTTGAGAGTCCAAGAGCATTGAGTGTGAATGTTGAATAACTTTATATTTCAAATTCTGAAAGTCAAAAGTATCCCTGCATGGGTTTTTCTACATTTTTTATACTTGTAAGATATAAAAAAATATAAGATAAAAATATCACACATGCAAGATCATTATTTTTTCAGAATATCACCATGTAAGCACTAACACAAATGTGATATTATCAGGGCTTAATTTGTGGCGGAACACATCGGATCCGGATCTGGCACCTCTGAAATCTGATCCTACAACTCTTTTTATTGATCCGCCTCCTCAACCGCCCTCCTCCCCCATCGGCTGTTCACTTTTTTCCGCGACTCCCCAACCCTCTTCACTTTCGTCCGCAACAACCCCCTGCTCTTCACTTTCGTCCGCGACAACGCCCTGCTCTTTACTTTCGTCCTTTATCCACAACACTTCTCCATCCATGCGTAACATGCTGGATCCATTACCCCGATTTGTTGCGGGACCTCGCAATTCACAAATTAAGCACTGGATATTATATTCATAAAGCAGTTCGACAAGAAGTTTGTTTTACCATCAAAACTACTTTCTAAAAATAACCTCTGCTGCTTTTTTGAACTACTTATTTAAAATGAGTTGAAATTACACAATTCTTAAGTGTTTTTTTTGTAGGACAACTTAACGCCCCATTCACATGGGCCGTCGGTGTCAACGCTTCCCATTTACTATGAATAGGTGATGATAGACTGAATTGTGTATCCGTCGCTTGCTGTAGAAGTTGGGAACTTTTCAAGCGCCAACGAAAGCGTCAGTTATCTGATAGCTTTATGCAAATAGCAAAGCTCAGGCAATAGCCGATAGCGGACTAACTTCATTGGTGAAGCGTTCACGATGAAGCCCCGTGTGAATCAGGTGTAGTTGTTTTATGTTCAATCTACTTGTATTTGTAAAAACAATTAAGTTAATTGATTTGTTTTGGGACAACTTACTTGTGTGGAGCTCTGCATTTTTTAAAGTGTGGGTCCAAACAAAGCCAGAATAGCTGTTTCATCTTCAAATGAATCTATTTTTCAACTAATCAAAAAACACAGTAAATAGTCATTTCACTGTCCCTAATAATCCTTCTTTTTTGTTCAGATAAACATGATGCTGAGCTTTCGCGAGGACTGTCTGGAATGTCCTTGCCCAGAGGACATCCAAGATCTGATGTGGGAATTCCATCAGGATCTAATGAGCCACTGTGGTAGGCAGACAATTAGGACAATCGGTGGCATAATTGTCCAGCATCTCGACCTCTCATGCGTGAAGCATTTATTCCCGTGTCTTTGTTTAATCAGGAATTGAGATAGAGAGTGGTTCAGAGAATGAGAATGAGGATGACCTGTCAATCAGGAATCATCTCCACGGCCTAGTGGATAAAATAATGCATTTAAAGAGGAGAATGTCAGGCCTGCCTGAGGAGATAGCGAGCAAACCTGGTAGGAAAGCCTCTTTTTGGCTTTCATAAATGATCTTTTTCATTATACTGGGATCACGTTGTTATGTTATGAACCTGTATTCATAAAACTGTACAGGTTATTTCAATTACACGCCAGATGAGCGAATGCAAGCTGAACCAGACGTCTCTTTTTTTCCAGTGTCTCTGCAGCAGCTGATATCAGAAACCATGCTGCACTGGGCTCAGGAGGAGACGATTGAAGACCCAGATTTGGTGCGCGCTGTTTTCAGTCTGCTGCATCAACAGTATGCCGGTCTGCATGGCCAGATGTCTGCGCCGCTACAGAAGGCTTACTGTATCAGCCAGACATCTGTGGAAGACACTCTTCACCTTCAGTGGGCTCTAGCATGCATCCGTTCATTGCTCAAGGCCAGGATGGGCAAAGAAGAAGAGGAATGCATGATCAGAGGACTGGGGTGAGAGCGGATGACTGTGTTTGGAGTGGAATGCTGTACTGTACTTGTTGCATAGTGTACAGCAGGGGCTCTCAAAGTCTCAATTCAAAGGTCCAAATATGAGTTTTCCTCAGTTTCATAGGTCTAATAAAACTTGTTTTTAATATGCACATTTAATAAAAAGACATGAGTGGCTTTTGCTTTTTTAAATGCATAAATAACAAGTGCAAAAGTGGCAAAATGACACTGTCAGCATTTTTTAAATGAAAAAAACAACCAGAGGCAGTCTAAATACGAAGCAGTGCAAGGTGAGAAATGTATTCCAACAGCTGCCTAAATGTTTGTTTCATTGTTTTGTAGACATTTCCACACTTCAAAACTCTAACTGTCTCATTAAAAATCAAACAGAACAGTTTTGTGCTAGATTGAAGAAACTTCTCTGACCCATCATCTTTGAAAGCTGTTTTCTTTGTCAGCTTTTTCTTTTTGGAACTGACATCCTCATTCATTCAAATGCTTTCTGCCGTGAATAGTGTCGCCTGATTACTGACCGCTGAATAAGACATACAATACTAACAAGATTACAGGTTTGACACGCTTATTAAAACAATGCCTTAATTTGAATCCCTTACACACAAATAATGCACATAAAATATAAAACAGAGCAGGGTTCAGATTTAATTATCTCTAGATCTGGATTTTTGACAAGCACCAGTGTGTAGTAAATGTATATGTTTAATTTTATGTTTTATTTAGTTCAGGCAGTACTACACTTTTTATTTGAGATATGATCAAATGTCGTGAGTAGAATGATTTTGTATTTATATTTAAATTGTATGTAAAATATCACATGATAAAATTACAAATGTTATTTATAACTTAGTGGAAATGAAATTTTAGCTTATAAATGTTTAAGTTTAAACGGTCATATAACCCCACATAGTCATATTTACACTTCTTGAACACCCAAAGCATTATAAAAAATAAAATGCAATATATATGACATATTTAGACATTAATTAAAGTTTGGGGTCAGTAAAAAAAAAGTCAGTTAAAAAAAAAGAAATTAATTATTAAGCAAGAATTCATAAAAAAATGGATGTTTTAAAAAATTCTGTTCATCAAAAAAAAAAAATAATAATAATTTAAATTGTACACAAAAAAAGTAATTGTAAATAAAATTGGTCCTGTATATTTTTTTGCACCAAATTATAAAATTAGATTTTTTTAAAAATCACGTGATACTAAAATATATAGGCTTTACCCAATATTGTATCCTTGGTAAATGTAAGAGCTTCTTTTAAAACCAACTTATGATGATAATTCATTGTAAAGTTATTTTACAATGAATTATTACAATGAACTTCATTACCATTAAAAGTCTAGAATTACTTCATCACAATTGATGAAATCAAGCCACAAAACGATACACTACAATTTTGGACACATTGCTTAAAGAGGTGACACTTCAGTGATTCAATGTTTTTGATGGACTGTCGTGCTCAAACCAGTCTTATCCTCTATTTGACACCTGTGTTTTCTCTTATGTAGTGACATCATGAACAATAAAGTTTTCTATCAGCATCCTAATTTAATGAGAGCTCTGGGGATGCACGAGACTGTCATGGAGGTGATGGTGAACGTCCTTGATGCTAGAGAATCCAAGGTAATCATAATTAGATCAAATACTTGTGCTTCATTATAATTCATTACTGAAGTCAAAAGTCAATTGAGTAATTGACCCTCATAAATTAGACTGAAATCATTAAATCATGTGTGTTTTTTCACTCTCTTGCTCCTCTGCTATCAAGGAAATCATATTCCCTAAGATGGTTGCGCACTGCTGTCGTTTCTTGTGTTATTTCTGTCGAATCAGTCGCCAGAACCAGAAGGCCATGTTTGATCATCTCAGCTACCTGCTGGACAATGGCAATGTTGGACTTGGTATGTGATTTAATTCCAAAGGGTTATATGCACCGAGACTTTTCATTTTCTGTCAGCCAGACCAAGCACTTTTGGTGAACTGTTGTGCCATTACAAAATGACCTATTGATTTCTTTAAAAATCAGCAATCTTCACTGCCTGATACAATATAAAGTGGGTCTCAGAGTGGACAAGAAGCACTGCATTAAATTCAATTTTTCTATCTTTAAAATATGCAAATGTATTTTTACCCCAGTATTATATAGGAGTTTCTGCGCTCGCCTGCTTCTACTGATGTCTTCATCTGGTTTTACGCTTGAACAACTAAATGAATGCTTAAGTCTGTTTAACTGATTGTATTTCAATTACAATAGAACATCAGTGCTGTACAAGACACCTTATGAAATTGAAAATAGTCACATAAACCTTTCATTGGAAGTTTATCATTGTCTGAAAACACTAGCTGTGCATAGAGCGCATTAACATGGAGTCTGAACATTTTTAAGGAAGTAGACAAAAGTAAATGTGATCTTTCTTGTCAGCATCTCCCTCCATGCGAGGATCAACTCCTCTGGATGTGGCGGCTGCTTCAGTCATGGACAACAACGAGCTGGCGCTTTCTCTTACAGAGGCGGACCTGGAGAAAGTAAGTTTCACTCATCTCCTTTCCACATTCCTTCTGATTTTTGCAATAATGAACTGGACTGGTCTTTCTCAATGTGTTTGTACAGGTCGTGCAGTATTTGGGAGGCTGTGGTTTGCGTAGTTGTGCTCTGCTGGTTTCTAAAGGGTATCCAGATATTGGCTGGAATCCTGTAGAGGGAGAACGCTACCTGGACTTCCTGCGATTTGCAGTATTTTGCAATGGTAATGTTTGGTTTTAGGGTGTGTTTGCTTGATAATGATGTAATAAAAATTAAAAGATTTTCTGTCTGATTTAAAAACTTTGCCTGACCATAAATCTTTTCTGTTAAAAAAAATGTCTAAAGTTCTGTATTTTGCATGCCAGGCCAGTTGTTGATAATTTATTTTTGCACATACTGTATGGCAGTGTTTCTTAACCATGTTCACGGAGAACCATCAGCTTTGCACCTTTTCCATGTCTCCTTAACCAAACACACCTGATTCAGATCATCAGCAGAGACTAGAAGACCTGTTATAGGTGTAACAGACAAAAGAGATCTCCAAAACATGCAGTGTTGGTGGTCCTTCAGGAATGTGGTTAAGAAACACTGCTCTAGGGTGATCATACATCCTCTTTTCCCAGACTTGTCCTATTTGGAACTAACAAAATGCATCTGACCGGTTTTCTACATTTTCTAAAACCTACTACCTCTTGGCCACACCTTGTTGCACGCCCAATTAATCGGTCCTGTACCTATGTAAAAAATAAAAGTTCAGTAACAGTTTTATTGTTGTGAACTCTCCAGCACCACCCTCACCCCCCCCCCCCCCCTTTTTTTGAAAACTACAATATGGTCACTCTAACATACAAGTATTTGTGCAATTCAATAAAATGAGCTCAATGCATAAAAAGCTTTATCTTTTCCCTTTAACTTATTCTTTAATGACCATATAAAATAATGCCCTACTAATATTTTATTTGCTTAATTTATCCTTTTCTCTTTAATTTTTATTTGTATATATTTATTATTATTATTATAATTATTATTCATTCATTTATTCATTCATTCATTCATTCATTTATTCATTCGTTTTCGGCTTAGTCCCTTTATTAATCAGGGTTCACCACAGCGGAATGAACTGCCAACTTATTCAGCATATGTTTTACTCAGCGGATGCTATTTCAGCCGCAACCCAACACTGTGAAACACCCATATACTCTTACATCCACACACACATACTACATCCAATTTAGCGTATTCAATTCACCTATAGCGCATGTCTTTAGACTTGTGGGGGAAACCGGAGCACCCGTAGGAAACCCACGCCAACACGGGGAGAACATGCAAACTCCACACAGAAATGCCAACTGCCAAGCTGGGCTTTAGCTGGGGCTCGAACCAGTGACCTTCTTGTTGTGAGGCGATCGTGATTTTTTTATTGTTTCTCTTTTTATTTATTTATTTATTTATTTATTTATTATTATTATTATTATTATTATTATTATTATTATTATTATTATTATTATGTCTCTCCAAGAATCTTTTTCAGCATTCAATTTCAGTTTGAAGTAACTGACAGCTAGAAAAGTATTGTAAGTTCTATTCTGGAAAAGGCCTGTGAGGTTTGTGAATGTGTGTACTTAAAAATAATCTATAAAATATAATAAAACCAAAATTATTCTTATATAAACATATCCTTAAACTGGAACACTGAACCACTAAAGCCTAATTAAGCACTTCTGGTTGGTTCCCATTGGTTGTTCTTCTCCTACAGGTGAGAGCGTTGAGGAAAACGCTTACGTGGTGGTTAGGCTTCTGATTCGCCGACCCGAGTGCTTTGGCCCTGCCCTTCGAGGGGAGGGGGCAAATGGTCTCCTAGCAACCATGGAGGAAGCCATCAGGATATCCAACCAGCAAGATGGAACCACTGCACACAGTTCCAGCAGGACACTGTGAGTTATGTGCGTCAATTTAATCTTGTCAGAGCTTGTTCTCACTCAATGCTTATGCCTTATTCTGCACCCACCTGCACTCTTAGTGACACACTCGATGAAGATGATCATGACGTCATCCACATGGGACATGCCATAATGACCTTCTACTCTGCTCTGATTGATCTGTTGGGTCGCTGCGCCCCTGAGACGCATGTAAGTGTTTCGGGGACCCGCTGGGAAAGCTAGATAAGAGCCATGTAATGTGTTTGAAGGATTGAGTTGGAAAGGGCTTATTGGTTTTATCTACTTTTCAAGGTGCAGTCAGTTTTCATTAAAGGTTTTAAAGGCTCTTCAAGGTTTGCTAATGGGCATCTCTATTGTGTGTGTGTGTGTGTTTGTATGTGGTTTGCAGCTCATAGAAGCAGGGAAAGGTGAGGCCATTCGAATCAGGGCCATCTTGAGGTCTCTTGTTCCCAGAGAGGATCTGGAAGGAATCATCAATATTCCATTCAGTTTACCTGTTGTGAACTCAGGTATTTTGTGTGTGTGTGTGTGTGTGTGTGTGTATTATGAGAGAGAGCTGCCACTTTAATTTAAGTAAATATACATTTACTCAGACTCTTAAATTATCTTTCCAAATCTATTTATTTTATTGAAGAGCCATGAAACCCCTCTCTTTCAGTTCAAGTCTACCTCAAAAGTTTTGCAAAAAATGCTTCGTGATGGGTGTGAAGTGCCGTGAGCAGAGGAAGAAGTGGGCTTGGCCGACAGAGCAGGGGAAACAGAAGAGCTTTTTTTTGGCTCACCAGCTCAAGATAAAAAAAAATCTGATACAAAATGTGAGGAGATGCATGATTTTAGAGTTTACAAAGTTAAAATGCAAAGAAATAAACAGTAAGTAATTTAATGCTGTTTTGTATAATATAGGCTGTTTGTAATTTCATAATGACCACAATTTGTTATATCATTATAAAGATAATCATGTTTATTGAGGAGGATTTCTCTCCTCCTAAATTCTGGATCTGAATGCAGACAACATGGATAGCAGTACAGCAGGTCTCTTTCCTTGTCTATCCTTGCCGATAATCTGGAGGATTTTAAATATGTGCAAACACGGCAGCACAGATAGGCGATGTGTCTGAATGGTAACAAACTCAACCGATAAAAGAAAAAGTACGCCATTCTCCAATTATCGTACAGCATGGTGACAGCATCATGAAAGCCAAGCAAAAAACTTTGTGAATCATGGAAACAAACGCAAAGACCCTTCATGAACCACTAAATACTGCATGTTGTGTTCTGTCTTAACTTGGCAGGTCTGTCCATATTAGTCTGTCATCAGAAAGCATGTGCAGTCATGAATAATTAAGAAGCAGGGTCTTCTCATGGGATAAGAAAACTAAGCTATGAATAATAATGAGAAACCGACGCACCATCACTCTACCAGCAGATGCGCTCTACATCACCGATTTTTAATCCCATCCCAATAATTATTTTAAACCCGGAAGATGAAATTAGCAGACAAAAGCTTCAAATGATCCATTTCCCCCCACAATTAAAGCTAACAGGTGCTAACATTGTCTTAAATGATGCTCAGCACATACAAATCTGTTAAAATCTAAAAAAAAAAAAAAAAAGTACTACAGGGTGTCTTGAACCTTTAAAAACCGTGATCAAGTTAAAGGGATTGTTCACCCAAAATGAAAATTACCTCATCATTTACTCTTCCTTTGAGTTTCTTTCTAATGTTAAACACAATGGTTGCCTGATCCATTTGACTTCCATAGTATTTTTTTTCTACTATTAGGATGTAAATGGGTTCCAGTAACCATCATTCTTCAAAAAGTCCCTTTATTTATCAGGGGTCGCCACAGCGGAATGAACTGCCAACTTATTCAGCATATGTTTTACACAGCGAATGCCCTTCCAGCTGCAATCCAGCACTGGGAAACACCCAGACACTTTCATATTCACACAAATACACTGTGGCCAATTTAGTCTAATCAATTCACTTGTAGTGCATGTCTTTGGACTGTGGGAGAAACTGGAGCAACTGGAGGAAACCCATGCCAACACAGGGAGAACATGCAAACCCCACACAGAAATGCCAACTTACCCAACCAGGACTCAAACTAGCAAACTTCTTGCTGTTAGGCAACAATGCTGACCACTGAGCCACTGTGTCGCCTGTGAGGAATTATAAAGGTTTAAAACCACATGAGGTACAGTGAATTATGAGGGAATTTTCAATTTAACGTGAGCCCTTTTAACGAGGAAGTCTAAGTTGGGTTTTAAATAGTTTATTTAGTTGCTGGCAGAGTTATTTAAGAAGTCTATTTGAAGTCTATTGTGATTAATTGGTGGTTGAAAATATTGTGTGCTGGTTATACTCAGATGGTCTAGTGGTCGAACCGGACATGTCTCGGATGTTTTGTCCGGATCACAAAGCAGCCATGGTGCTGTTTTTGGACCGGGTTTATGGAGTTCAGGATCAGCAGTTCGTGCTGCGTCTACTGAAGTTTGGTTTCCTGACGGATCTGAAAGCTGCTGTTAACATGGATACTGTAAGTGGAGAGATATTTCATGTAGGTAAATGTTCTGGCAAATTTAAGTAATGTTAACATGTCATTTCAAACCGATATGACCTTTATTTCATCTGAAAAAAGTCATTTTCAAAGTAAATGTTTCAGATGTCTGTGGTGCCTTTTTCTGTATAGTGTAATCTTGATCTTCAAAAATGTCATAAAGCATGACCAAAGCAGTACATTCTACTCATGTGCTGTATTACAAGTGCTTTGAAGTCAAACTATTGTTCTGTGTGAGGAACAAAGCTGAAATATAAGACCTTTGTTTACTAAAAATTCTAGAGCATGTGGGGTCTAACCCATCTAATTAAGGGTCCAAGCCCTGCAGTAGATGCCAAAATAAAGGTTAAGGGGGTTTCAAAGGGGGTTTTATTCTTAGTTCTACATATTTCAACCGCTCTGTCTGTTCAACATGTTTCAACAACTCTTTATGCAACAGAAAAGAAATCAGTAACCTCTAAAACAAGTCACACCATTGCTTTATGCGTCCAGTAGTTGTAAAAATAAGGACATTGACAGAAGACAGTATCTAGACGTGAACATTGAGTCTCATAATAATTCATGTAAAATCACCCAATAAAATTCATGAGAATAACTTTAACTGTTGTTGTGTATACACAAACTGTCGATAATATAAAAAAAAATGCTGATTTACAAAAATGTTCTCCACATAATTCAAAGTTAATTTATTTATTGATGAGACAAGCTGAATTTTCTGCAGATAATACACTAAATGTGTACTAAATTAAATTAAGCAAATTCTGCTATAGGATGTTGTTATTTGACAATACCAAAACAACCAAATACCCATAACTCAAGACCACGCCTTTTTAATATATTTGCTATAGTTGCTAGACATGCCCCTTAATGCTGAAGTCTGACACTGTGGTGAAAAATAGTTTCTAATATTGCTTATTCCACTTTGATGTGCTTTCTGATAATCCGCCTCGTTTCAGGATGTGACTGATAAACGCCAGATCAGTGGTAAATAAGACTTTAATAATTAATGAACTTTTTTCATCGTGCGATTTGGATTTTTTTATTTATCTCCTAGCTTTGGCTTACCACTGGAGATCAAAGCTCTCTCTCTGAACTGCTACCCCTGAATTGTTTGTTTTTAAACTCTCCTTGTAAATCTGGTCGTGGTGGAGGCCTAATCTCTATTTTTTAAAGACATTTTTCCTTGCCGCTTAGTTGTGACAAATGACTATCGGTCTTTTGAGCTGCAGTTGTTTACGTTGGAGATGAACCTCACGCTTTTGGTTGCTTTGATGTACCGCCCTCCAAAGCACAACACAAACTTTTTAAATGAGTTTGCTGATTTTTTAAGGAGGACTTCTCACTGAAACATGACAGAATGTTGATTCTTGGTGATTTTAATGTCCATGTATGCTGTACATATAGGTGATTGACATAGGTTATGTCACAATCCTCCAAATATCATCATATCTGCTGCTTAAGAAACTTTTATCATTACAATTATTGATTACCAAAGTTTTTTTTTGTCCTTTAACATCTTAATGTGTTTTCTGTTTGCAGACAGGGTTAGGTGGAACAGACATGGCACTGGCCATCAATCGATACCTATGTGTGGCCGTTCTGCCGCTGCTGAGTAAATACTCGTCTCTGCTTTGTGACTCCTCATCTTCACGGAGCGGGCCGGTGGACGAGCTGCTGCAGGGTGTCTATAGCCTCTCTAAAGCCAGCGGACTCACCAAGGCCCAGAGAGAAGCCATACAGGACTGTCTGCTGGCAGTGTGCGGGTCAGCATATTTGACCTTGCTTTTTTGTGTTGATCATATGATACCATAAAAGCCATTTAAGGCTATGTCCACACATATAAGTGTATTTTTTTTATCAAGAGTTTTCCCTGCTTTAATTTTTAATGAAATCATTGATGCATGTTAAAGGGAACAGGCGGAGATAATGAAACTTTTAAGTTGGTTCCACAACAAACAGGGAATTAAGTATTTACATGTACATAGTCATTTAGCATTATTTAGTCTTTAATGCTTTTTATCCAAAGTGACCTACAATTGACTCACAATTGGCTAAGCCACACCCAAAAACTGCCAGACATCAATTATGGCTTAGCAACTGTAGCTACGCACTGGAGGTCTGTCAAGCTTATGAGCAAGGGAAGCAAGCAAAAGGTTGTGCATATGGATTGTGCAGATCTGATACCCGGTATTCTAAAGTTTGGACAGGGTGGTAGATTTTTTTCCCTTTCCAAAACCTAAAACCCAAGGGGAGAAATGCCAGCGTAGATCAAGCTATGTGAGGGGCCGTGAAAGCAGCACAATTCAGCCATATTTCAATCTGTTTCGTTTATTCACTCATTCGTTTTCTTTTAAGCTTAGTCCCTTTATTAATCAGGGGTCACCACAGTGGAATTAACCGCCAATTTATCCAGCATATGTTTTACACAGCAGATGCCCTTCCATCCGCAACCCATCACTGGGAAACCCATACACACTCATTCATACTCATACATACACTATGGACAATTTAGCCTATCCAATTCACCTGTACTGCATGTCTTTGGACTGTGGGGGAACCCGGAGCACCCGGAGGAAACCCACGAAAACGCAGGGAGAACATGCAAACTACACGCAGAAATACCAGCTGATTCAGCCGAGGCTCGAACCAGCGACACTACGTCGACCCATCTGTTTCAAGCTACGAATATTTAAAATTACATATCAACAACAAAACAGAGATGTGATCACAAACTGAGCACTTGCGATCAATATACTTTACCTGCAGCTGTTTTTCAATCATTTATAACCCTCATGTCCATGTTAGAGCTACAATTCGTCAATGTTTTTGTCTGGCTTTTGGAGATTTAGTCTTTGGTGACGGCGTTATAATGGGTTAGTGTCTGCTTTTACATTTGGTGACAGATTAATATTTGCTGGTAGGGAAAATCTATTTGTTCACTTCTGCTATTTATACTTTGATTTGCATTTCAATTTATTCATTTCTTTAAATTTAACTGCAAATTAGAATAGAAACTGTATAAAAAGCACTCAAACATATTGACAGTTATAGGTACTGTACATTGCTATTGTTCAATGAGGCTAATATTTGGCACATATTCTGATTTATGTAGAAGCACTGTTCATGCGTGTTTCCTCGTCAGCCAGTAACGCTATGTTTCATTGCACGATTAGTTTATCAGGCTTTTTAGCTAAAAAAGAGAAATCACAGTTTAATTTGTTGTTATAGATTATTTTCACCTATCCTGCTATGCATGAACTAAGCTGTTGAATGGTTAGTGTACGAGGCAACGAGGCTTTAGCTTCAGTTTTGAATCAATTATTTTGTAATCGGTTGCGTATTATGTCGTGAACATACCCCTGTAATACATACTGCAGTCCTTTTTTTCTGATTTTCTAAGATATCTCACCTGTTAGCCAAAAATTACTAATTCTATCCCTGCGAATGTCTGACACCGATGCATATATATATATAATTTTTTCCTTATGTAAACTTTATAAATCCTTTGGCAATACATTTGTAACATTTGTCATGGCAATACAGCAATTATTGAATTGAAATGTATTGTACAGAGAAAGAGAGAGAGAGAGAGAAAGTGTTTCTACACGTGGTTTATCAAGACTTCTCAGCTGTGTAACGCACACTTCATAAATGCACAATGTTTTTTTTTTTTTTTAATATAGAGTAATTGTAAAAATGTGTCTGGTCAGAATGTGCAAAATGGTGCAAGTGTCAGAGTGTGTTTTTTGTAAGTAAATTGCATACAAGTCAATGAAAATACAGTGCGAATGTCATAGAATTCACAATTTGTTTGCTGCAGAGTATCTGTGTTTGATGTGAAATCAGTTGTGTTAGACAATCAGAGAGGACTAAACAGTGTCTCACTGATGTCCTGAGGTGAAAACTTTCCATAAATATTCATCCTGGCTGGAGTTTTCAAAACATTTCTGGTTTTAGTCTGTTTGTTGTGAGGACAAACAGCAAAAAAGCATATAAAAAAGTGCAGTTTTAAAAATTCTCCTGGTTTTGTTGACCTAAAATCAGACATATAAAAAAAATTCTATATGGCATTTTTATGAATTCTATATTAATATTTTTCAAATGAAACTTTGTCCCCACAGAAAGCTAAAGCCCTCCATGGTGCAGCCTCTGTTGCGTAATCTTGTGTTTGACGTCCCGCAGCTTCCAGAAAACTCCAAAATGCCACTTAAGGTCTAAACTAAAGTGAAAACGAAGCATTCAATAAAAGCAAAGCTCATGGATTTTTTTGTACTTATCACTGTGATCTCTTCTAATTGCAGCTGTTGACCAATCATTATGAGCAAAGCAGGAAGTACTACTGTCGGAGTTATGGATTTGGTGACTTTGGCTCCGCCTCAGAGGAAGAACTTTGTCTGACCAGGAGGCTGTTTTGGGGGATATTCAGTGCTCTTGCCAAAAAAGTGAGAAAAGACAGAAATCGCTTTCATAATATTTGTTTTTTTTACACATAGATCATGTAAACGGGATACAATTAACACCAAAGCCCAAAAAAATCAGCGCTGGATAATAATTTTTAATATATTTTTTATTCATTCTGAAATTGCCTAGGAATGCAATATCAAATCACAAAGACTGCATCATAGTTACATGAATATGTAATTTGATTCACAGCACAGTGAGGTTTGTTCATGATCAGCTCAAGATAACAGCGGTTTCAGTAAATTTGTTCACAGTAATGACAAATTATTCCTTAAAAATAAGTCTCCGCAAGTGCTGTAAGTTTGGGATGATTAATGTCGATTCGAAAATCCACCAGATGCCAAATATTCTTCCTGATTTGGAATGAGAATGTTATAAATAATTTGTCCCTGTGTTTTTTTCCAGGAAAAAACAAAAAAAAACATTTGAAAACAAGGCAAATAAACATTGCATATTTGTTTATTAATAAATAAAATATAATAATTTTTTAAATACTATATAAACACAATATATATAAATATATATACAGTCATTGGCCACTTTATTAGGTACACCAGTCCAACTGCTCGTTAACAAATTTCTAACCAGCCAATCACATAGTAGCAACTCAATGCATTTAGGCATGTAGACATGGTCAATATACTCAGACCAGTCAGATGGGCTAGTCTGAGTATTTCAGAAGCTGCTGATCTACTGGAATTTTCATGCACAACTATCCCTAGGGTTTACAAAGAATGGTCAGAAAAAGAGAAAATATCCAGTGAGCGGCAGTTCTGTCAACAGCATGAAAACATGGATCCATCCTGCCTTGTATTAGTGGTTCAGGCTGCTGCTGGTGGTGTAATGTTGTGAGGCCCATTTTCTTGGCCCACTTTGGGCCCTTTGTTACCAGCTGAGCATCATGTCAATGCCACAGCCTACCTGAGTATTGTTGCTCACCATGTCCATCCCTTTATGGCCACAGTGTACCCGTCTACAGGATAACGTGCCATGTCATAACGCGCAATTCATCTCGCACCGTTTTTTTTAACATAACAATGAGTTTACTGTACTCGAATAACCTCCACGGTCCCAGTTCTCAATCCAAACGAGCACTTATGGGATGTGGTGGAACAGGAGATTCGCATCATGGATGTGCAGCCGACAAATCTGCAGCAACTGCGTGATGTCATCAAGTCAATATGGACCAAACTTTCTGATGAATATTTACGGTACCTTGTTGAATCTATAACACAAAGGATTGAGGCAGTTCTGAAGTAAGGTGTACCTAATAAAGCGGCCAGTGTGTGTTTTTAATAGTTATAAAATAATAATGATCATGATAAAGATACACTCAAAACAATGATGTTTGTTCAAACTACTCATTTAAAATGAGCTGAAACAACAAGGTTTTTTGGGGGGGACAAATGAATTGTTTTCTATTTAACCCGCTTAAATTTGTTCTAACTAATAAGTTAACTTAAATTCCTAATGTTGTCCTAACACAAATCGATTGTAAGAATTTTTCACAGTGTAATTTTATTAATAATATTAATTCCTTTTTTAGCATCAGATGTCTGTTAAATGTAATGCTCCGCTTGTTTTGCACAGTTACAATGTTTTTGTTTTTTTCTCGACCACAGTCTTATGACGCAGACCTGTTCAAACTGGCTCTCGGGTGTCTCAGTGCAGTTGCTGGAGCAATTCCTCCTGACCACCTTGACCTGAGCTGCACCGGCGGAAGAGAGAGACACTCAGTGATGGATTCAGAGAGAGGCTTTTGTCCTCAACCCCTGGACACCTTAAAGTAAAGGGCTAATAAACACATGAGTTCAATTTAATGGTCCATTAACACTGATCTCAGAAGTCCACTTTGTCCTTTTGAGAAAAGTGTAGTGTGAATTGCTTGGAATGTAATATATAATAATCTAGTTTTCTCATGCGTTTTAGTGTGACAATTCCAGAAAGTCTGGAGTTTGTGGTGAACAAATATGCTGAACATACACACGAGAAATGGTCAATGGAAAAGGTAAACAGTTTCTTACTACAAAAGTTTACCTATGGATGACAGCCAGAAATACGGTCTTTAATACTATGTTTGATGGTTCTTTCCCCAGTTTGGTAATGGTTGGGTTCATGGAGAACAGCTTTCAGAGAGCTCTAAAGTTCATCCACTCTTAAAACCTTACAGAGCTTTGTCTGAAAAGGTAGACCTTAACCAGAATACATTTGTGCACATAATAATAATACTTTAGTATACTGTATGGAATGAAGAAAGCTCACATGCAGTATATTGCTACAAAATCAGTTTGCTCTCTGTTTTAGGATAAAGAATGTTATCGAGGGGTCATTAAAGAGACGGTGAAATGCATGCTGGTCTTAGGCTGGACCATTAAGAGGACTAACGAGGGGGAGTCACACGGCATTCACAACCCAGCTAGGAGGATCTCACAGTCTGGCAAGGTAACGGACACTTACAATTTTTTTATTATGTCCATTAATCTTTTAATTTTGACACTTTTTTCTTTCTCAAATGTATCTCTCAAGTGCTGTTTAATAATAATAATAATAATAATAATAATAATAATAATGATAATAATAATAATAATAATAATAATAATAATAATAATAATAATAATAATAATAATAATAATAATAATAATAACAACAATTCCTTACATTTATATAGCGCTTTCTAGACACTCAAAGCGCTTAACACATTGGGGGGAATCTCTGCATCCACCCACAGGTATGCAGCATCCACCTGGATGATGCCATGGCAGCCATATTGCGCCAGATCACACACCACACTCCAGCTGATTGGTGGAAAAAAGACTATTATGATATGGGGATGGTTAAGAAGCCATGATGGACAGAGGCTAGTGGGCAGATTTGGCCAGGGTGCCGGGGTTAAACACCTACTCTTTTTTTTTTAAGGACATTCTGGGATTTTTAGCAACCACAGAGAGTCAGGACCTCAGTTTAAGGTCTCATCCGAAAGACAGCACTCACTGAGCACTATAGTGTCCTCTTTACTATACTGGGCTGTTTGGACCCACCGAGACCTCAGGTTGAAGGCCCCCTGCTGGGCTCACTAACACAACTTCCAGTAGCAACCTAGCTTTCCCGTGTTGGTCTCCCATCAAGGTACTGACCGGGTGCAGCCCTTCTTAGCTTAATTTTGCAAAGCAAGGGCATTTTGTCAGTATTTACTATAATGTTCTTTTTTCTTCTGGATAAAGTCTTGTTTATTTTAGATTGGCTGCTTATAATAATAAAAGCAGCTTATAATTATAAAAAAGTGAAGGTAAATATTATTAGCACCCGTAAGAAGTTATGTTGTCCAATGATTAATGTAACCTAACTTGCCTAGTTATCCTAATTTACATAGTTTAAATTTAAACTGAAACTGAATACTAGTATCATGCAAAATAACTAGAACAATATGATGTACTTTCAATAACAAAATTCTTTATGTGAACACATTTTATGTTAAAAAAAATCAGTTTAAAAAATTAAACAGTACTTGGGAGATGTTTAAAAATAATTGAAATTTCAAAGGAGTGCTACAGGCAATCATTTTGACTTCAGTTGACCAATTGAACATCTGTGTATCTGGTTTATGTTTGCAGCACAAGAAAAAAGGCAATACTGTATGTGCAAAACCTCTGAGGCTAAGCAGTCAGTACCTGGATGGGAAAGCTAGGTTGTTGCCGGAAGTGGTGTTAGTGAGACCAGCAAGGACCCACATAGACCGCTCAACCTGCAGTCTGTGTGGGTCCTAACACCCCTGTATAGTGACGGGGACTCTATACTGCTCACTGAGTGCCATCTTTCAGATGAGACGTTAAACCAAGACTCTAGCTTGTCCTGACTTTCTGTGGTCGTTAAAAATCCCAGGTGTCCTTCAAAAAAGAGTAGGGATTTAACCTGGCATCCGGGCCAAATTTGCCCACTGGCTTCTGTCCATCATGGCCTTGTAATTATTCCCATAATATTATTGGTTTCATCACTCTGTCTTCTCGCCACCTATCAGCTGGTACAATCTGGCACAATATGGCTGCCGTCGCGTCATCAGGTGGATGCTGCACACTGGTGGTGGATGAGGAGATAATCCTCCCAATAATGTGTAAAGCGCTTTGAGTGCCCAGAAAGGCGCTATATAAATGTAAGGAATTATTATTGTCATTATTATAAATCCTTAGAACTTTTTTTTACTGAAAGAACAAAACATTATAAATAAATTGTATGTTGTTGTTGATATTAGTAATATCATAAATAATCTGCTTGTTTAGTAGTGACGTATTGTTGATATATACTGTCTCTGGGTCCAAACTGCTACTTATTTGAATTAAGAAAATATTTATTTATGACCACCTTTTAGTCCTATCACACATTAACGAGAATTTTATATAAAATCATAGTGTACACATGAGTCTTCGGACTTGCTGCATCACAAATACCAACATTTTAACAGTTTTTAAAATTCTGGCCATCTGACATTAGGCATGGACATATATATTGCATCGGGATTTCTCTTTGTAAGTGTTTAGTATAACCATTTCATGAGTCTCTGAGTCTCCCCATACAGTTTGAGATAGAGCTTGGACCCGGAAGCCGCTTCGTGTGACGTCACACTTAACAAGCAGATAGGAAGTTTATTCGAAACAAAAATTAAAATCAAAATATTGCCACCTGCATAAAAAAAGTTAAATCATAGAACATGAACACCTGCTAAACGAACATCGCATGCTGTCGTCTGAAAATGACAGTGTTTACACTATGATATATAGTAATATATATCCATTTGCACACCATGTATGTTTTAACATTTTAGTAGTGTGATATTGTGTTTTTTTTTTTTCAATTCAACAACTTCTGTATATGTCAAAGCAAATTCTTTCTGCATAAATTGTAGTGGCATCTTTTTTGTATTACAAACTGGTATTCCGTGATTAGGATTCAGAATAGGTCTTGCGTGTTTGCCAAGACTGGATTAACAGCTTGTAGGCTTTTTAAAAGACATTTCTCATTCACAGAACATGGGACACATTCAAAACAGACTGCTGTGCTAGATATCAAACTAGAAAAATGCATTGTGTTTCTGCAGTTAACATAAGTTGTTTTGTCTGTTTATAGCTGTCTTTTGAAGGAGCCTCCACGTTCAGTCCAAAGCCTGTGGACACCAGCAGCGTCACTCTTACCTGGGATCAGTATGTAAGCAGCTTTAAGCATTTTATTTTTATAGTATGAATCAAGTCCATCAGAGCCTAAAGGAGATATTCCCTTGTTAACCACTGATTACTTTGTGCATTCATTGATTGATTGCTTTTACAGTGCAGATAAAATAGCTGTAATTTATAATACATATAGCAGAGCATATTTTAGAAGTCCTTTTAGGAATTGCCTCATTAATACTGCCAGTTGGCTCCGTACGTTAACAGGATTAAAAATAACTACACTTTCAATCTGGTGTTGAAGGCTATGGCGGAGCGGCTGGCTGAGAATTATCATCACATCTGGGCAGCCAGGAAACTGCAGGAGCTGGAGAGTAAAGGTGTGTGTTACAGACGGCCACTGCGAGAGATCATACTGTAAATTCAATTAGGCTTTCTGCAGCCACCTGCGTCTTACAGTGAAGCAAGACTCTGTGAAATAGCAAAACTGGGTTGAGGTGTAGATACACACAGTACAGGTATATAATAAAGAATGTATGCAACTAAAGTAAAAATATAAATATATTATTTTATTAATAAACATACATTAAATTGATCAATTTATATTTATAATGTTGATAAAATACAAACACACATAACATGCATTCAAAATGGCAAATCAAAATTATAAAAACAATGATCACGAATAAATGAATGCTTACAAAATGTAGCAAGAAATTATTTTAAAAGTTGTTTAAAAAAAAAAAAACAAATGCAAATAAATATGTTTTCATAAACCTAAATACAGTGCTCAGCATAATTGAGTACATCCCATTTTGAAAATGAATATTTTTATTCATTTCTCAGTGAATATAGGCAATATATTTTGGTGCATTTAAACAAAACAGATTAGCTAAACAGAAATGTTTATTAAATTATTATTTTAGTCACCAAACATATTTAGAAATTGAAAAATAATACAATTAAATTTAAGCAAAATATTGCAAAAAACAAAAACAAAACATTTTACATAGATTTTTGATACATAGAGTCTCATGATTCTTGCTCTTTTTTTTTAAAGATATTTTTCTATAACATGTAAATTTGAGCTACTAATATTTGGACTGTTATTGTAAACTATTTTGTTAGATTAGCTCTAGATTTGGCTTCGTTACTGACTAATCTAATGTATATGCACAAATATAATATTGTAAAGCATCCTATTGAAAATATTAATTTAAATGAGAGATTTATGAGGGGTATACTTATATATGCTGAGAACTGTATAAATGCTTTTGACAGTATTACAATTTCAAGAATCAATGTCCATCATTGCTGGAAAAGGATTTCATCTGTAAGTCTGCGAATATTTTCTCATGATCAGAATCTGATTCAGTCTCTGTGTCCATTCTGTCAGAATAGGTTGGTACATCTTCATCCAGTCAGGTTATTATCTTCCTAACTGTTAATAATAATTGGAAAACCATCTAGTAGAGTTGAGTAATGGGTGCACTTGAATATCACGTTGTAAAAGTTTACAATAAAAATCAATACCTTTTATTACTTTTCATTTTACTTTCAATTCATCATGGAATCCCAAATTAAGTGTATTATTATACAACAAATATATATTAAGAGTTTGATCTCTCAAATGATTTATGAAAAGATCATGTGACTCGGTTGTACCATCACTGCAATATCTTAAAAAAACATAGTCTCTTAAGTTTTGATAATATTATTAAATATTTCAATATTTGTTTTGTTTTTAAAATTATTCACAATCTTTCTGCTCCACCTTTAAAAATTTTTTTAATTACAAATCAGACAAAACATCGCGAGTAGTAAGAGTAGTATAGTAAGAGGGGATTGTATTGTCCCTAGACGTAGGACCTCTTTTGGTCAATCCTCTTTCATTTATAAAGCCACAAATCTATGGAATTCAATTTATGTAAAACATATGCTGGATAAGTTGGCGGTTCATTCTGCTGTGGTGACCCCTAATTAATATATATATATATATATATATCAGGTAAATAGTACTTTCAAACTAACAGCACATCTGAAATAAACTAATATACTTATTATACTATTTATACTAATATACTATAGTGACCTGTAATTCCAAAATACAGTGCTCAGCATATATAAAAGTACACCCCTCATAAATATCTCATTTAAATTCATATTTTTAATAGGAAGCTTTGATTTTATATTTCTGCATTTACATTAGATTAGTCAGCACTGAAGCCAAATCTGGAGCTTATCTAACAATATAACTTAGAAATAGCAATACAAAAACTAGTACACCCAAATGCATGTTATAGAATAGAAAGGTTATAGAACTATTAAATATAAATTTACAAAAGAGGAAAAATCAAGAGAAGCAAAAAATAAAACAATTGATTCAAAATTTTGTAGGTTGTAATTTTTTTTGCTTGAATTTATCTTTCAATCTTTCAATTTCTAGATATGTTTGGTGACTAATTATTATATTAATAAATATATCTGTTTAATAAATCTGTTTTGTTTAAATGCACCAAAATACATTGCCTATATTCACTGAGAAATGGATAAAAATATTTATTTTCAAAATAGGGTGTACTCAAACAAGGTCAGAAATGTATTGAAATACTGTCATTAATTGAATTAATTATAATGTGTTGTATTTATATGATTTTATTATTATTATTATTATTATTATTATTATTATTATTATTATTTACTAATTACAGGTGATAAAACTGTCAGGACTGAAATGCTGCGCAGCTGTTAATCTTGCTCTGTTTTTGTCCAGGAGGGGGCAGTCATCCTCTGCTCGTCCCGTATGATGCTCTGAGTGTTAAAGACAAGAGTCGAGTCCGAGACAAAGCTCAGGATGTTCTCAAGTTCTTCCACGTCAATGGCTACTCAGTGAAGAGGTGATGATGCTTTCCTGCTACTGGACACTAAAATGAGGCCGATGCCTTTGAAGTGTCTGTTTCATTTTCACTGACTGGATTTTCACTGCACAGGAACAGAGAGGTGGCAGATGCTGATTCCCCAGCGATCGCCAGCCGCTTCGCTTACGGCCTGATCCAGCAAGCCCTCCGTCTCACTGAACGAGCCCAGGAGAGCGTAATAGAGCTGGGTTAGACTTACACACACACACGCATTCAGAAGCGCACACACGTTTACACGCTCATGCTTACACACGTACACACACAAACACATGCACATAAACTCACACACATACACACACATTTACAAGCGCACACCCACTTTTACAAACTCGAATACATGAAATTCCAACACAAAACCACACACATGCACATGCACACACACACACAACCACACACATTTTCACAAGCGCAAACTCATACACACACACATATTTGCACTCATACAACACATTTACAAGCGCACACTCATTTACACTCATCACACACACTTGCACACATAAATTCTCAACACACACACAACCAATCGCATACATACTGTACATGCTCGCACACATATACTCTCTCGCACGCGTATAACAACACACTCTTACACATACAACCAAACACACACTCACTGACATTCAAAAAAGGCACACACACTCATACACATTCTCAACCTCACACACCAACATACACCAACACAAACATCACACATTCACACTCATACACACACACATTCACAGGCGCACAAACATACATAATTACACACACACTTACACACATAAACTCTAAACACACACACACACACACACACACACGTGCACACAACCACACAAATACACACGCATGCTCACACACAAATACTCTCTCACACACAACCAAACACACACTCATTGACATTCAAAAAAGGCACAAACATATACACACACATTCACAAGCGCACACACATACATAATTACACACACACTTGCATACACATAAACTTTCAACACACACACAACCACTCACACACGTGCACACAACCACACACATACAAACAAACTCACACACATATACTCTCTCACACACATAACAAAACACACACTTACTGACATTCAAAAAAGGCACACACTCATACACACTCTCAACCACACACATAAACACACATACACACCAACACACACACATATTCAAACACATACACACACACATTCACAATCGCACACACAAATACTCTCTCACACACAACCAAACACACACTCATTGATATTCAAAAAAGGCACAAACATATACACACACATTCACAAGCGCACACACATACATAATTACTCACACACTTGCATACACATAAACTTTCAACACACACACAACCACTCACACACATACATACAAACTCACACACATATACTCTCTCACACACATAACAAAACAAACACTTACTGACATTTAAAAAAGGCACACACTCATACACACTCTCAACCACACACACAAACACACATACACACCAACACACACATATATTCACACACATACACACACACATTCACAATCGCACACACATACATAATCACACTTACACACATAAACTCTCAACACACACACACACACACACACACACACGTGCACACAACCACACACATACATACATGCTCACACACTTATACTCTCTCACACACACAATCAAACACACTCACTGACATTCAAAATAGGCACACACACACTCTCATACACACTCTCAAACACTCTCATACATACTCACACACATGCACTCAACACACACACATGCACTCAACACACACACAATCACACACACACACATGCACACAACCACACACATACTCACACACATATACTCTCTCACACACACACATAACAGCGCACACTCACACACACAACCAAACATACACTCACTGACATTCAAAAAAGGCACACACACTCATACACACTCTCAGCCACACACATGAACACACTGTTCTTCCACTCTACTTCGCTCCAATTGCTTGTTTGCACATCTGTCTTTTTATATAACTGCCCAATAAATGCAAGGCCTCACTAAGCCGAAAGAGGTGTTGAAAGGATAGTTTACTCAAATATGTGAAAATTCTGACAACTTGCTCATTCTTTTCCACTCTCATATGACTTTCTTTTCTGAAGTGAAAAACTTTTTTAATGTTATCAAACTGGATGTGGACTTAAGCTGTTAGCATAGGCTAAACTTTGAGAACATGATAAGATCTGAAAGTAATAATCAGGCGAGGGCTTTTTGTTTTTTGGATTGCTTTTTAAAACAGATGGTTGGGTTTAGGGAAGTGTGTGGGCGTGTCAAACTGTTTTCTTGAAAACACTATTGGTTGCGTTTAGGGAAGGAGGAGGGTGGGTCAGTCAGTCAGTCAGTCGACAGCGGCCTCTGGGGTATTTACTCGCGAACAGCGGAAACAAAAACGGCAAAAAAGTAGCTCCTGGAATGTATTTGGGACTCTCCAGAAATGTATATAGGGGTAAGTTTTCCCCCACAGTCCAAAGACATGCAGTACAGGTAAATTGGGTAAACAGATTTGGTCTTAGTGTGTGTGTGTGTGTGTGTGTGTGTGTGTGTGTGTGTGTGTGTGTGTGTGTGTGTGTGTGTGAACTTGAGAGTGTATGGGGTTTTCCCAGTACTGGGTTGTGGCTGGAAGGGCATCCGCTGTATAAAACATATGTGGGAATAGTTGGTGGTTCATTTCGCTGTGGTGACCCCAGATAAATTTTTACTAAGCAAAAGGAAAATTAATGAAAAGTAAAGTAAAAGTAAAAATCTTGTCTTGAGCACTATAAAACTGCAGAAAACTGTTAAAATATGATATTAGGAGCTGCTAAAATAATGTATTTATTTATTTACTGTATGTATTTTTTTCAAGCATGAGGTCTCATAACGTGAAAACCTTACATTAAATGTATGTGGTTTTTATTGTTTTTCTAGATGTTGCTCAAGCCCGAGGGCAGATTAACAAGGCTGAAAGAGTCCCTCACGAACAACAAATTCACTTCTTCATTAAGGTTAGTCATTTACTGCAGCTCAGACATTTGAAACAAAACTTCACACTGAAATCCATGTCACATTCATCCATCACACCATAGCTGTCAAATGAGTCAGGATGATAAACTTACTTAAATGCCTGTTTTGACAAATGACTTCAAACAATCATTACTGAATATGGATTTTTGAATTCTCTTTAGGACACTGCAAATGTAGATTTTGTGTATTGGGAGTGTGTTGTTTGTGTCGAAATTATCTCAAAACCTCAGCGCATTCGCCTATTTTTTTTTTTACTAACCACAGTAAATCAGTGTATTTGCAGTTAATTATGGCTTTCGTTTTGTTTGTCCATATGGTCACTGTTAAACTCATATTGAATAAGGTGTCATGGTTTGTTTTTGCATTATAATCTGAGACAAAACATGGGTTAAAGGGTCTTCATTCACACGTAAAAATCAATACAGGTGATTAGCAGTTCCCTGACAGCACAGCCATCAATCTCATTCACATGCTCTAACATCTTCACAGTAAACCCTAAAAAAAACTCAAAAAAAAAAACTCAAACCAACATTGCTTGAGCAATTTACTCCCTGTCTATCTTTTTTCTGTCTGTATTAAAGCCTTTTTGTCTTTTCATTCTAGGTTTTATTGCCACTGCTAGATCAATACTTCAAAAATCACCACCTTTACTTCATGTCCACTACAATGTCTTCCCTTAGAGATGGCTGTCAGTCCACCAGTAAAGAAAAAGAGATGGTTACTAGGTAATTTTCTGACTGCTATTTGCTTTGAATATATTAATGCTGTATTTGACTGACCTTTTAATGTGATTATTTGAGGCAATTGTTTCTTAAATAATTTAGCATTCACTGTGAGGGAAACAAACATTGGCCTAACCTTTGTGTTAGATTCTAAATTCAATCATTCCTTTGTTTATTCATTACGTTTTCGGCTTAGTCTCTCTATTAATTAAGGGTCGCCAAAGCGGAAAAAACCGCCAACTTATCCAGTATAGGTTTTATGCAGCGAAAGCCCTTCCGGCCGCAACCCATTACTGGGAATCACCCATACACACTTATTCATTGTGTCTTTGCCATGTGCTGTGTAAATACAGACAATCAGATACAAGTCACTATTAAAAGATGATGTAAGCAGGTCAGCATAAAAATCGGATACAGTCACAAAAATCGGAATTGACCATTAAGATCTGCAGTGTAAATGCAGCCTGTATAAACTTTGTTACTGGATAGCTGAACAGTTGACATAGAATGCAATAGCATGTGGAAATAACAGATGTATTAAAAAATTTGATATGATCAAATTTATCAGTGTCAAATCTTTGTTTGACACTGTGATAAATAAAATTTAACTAGAGGTCACTAAAATGATAATAACTAATAACACCCCATTATTTGGATGCTTTCATTTGTGGAATAAAAAATTGTCATGCATGCATGTACTGTATATAGAATGCTGATATACCATCACAATCAACAGCTGGAGTGCCACACTATAGACGGCACTTTATCATTTAACTTTGAGAGTCACTTGGACTACACTACCCATTATCTTTTGCCCCAGTCACTCCATTACAGCTGTTGCACATCATCGTTCACCTCTTCCACATTACATTGACTGTTTTTCTCACTGTTTGCCTGATTGTTGTATCCTGGACTGCATTGTGTTTTGTGATTGTTTGCTGGCTGCCCTGACCTCTCACCTGTCTTACATTGATCGTTGTGGATTACCCTCAGAAACTGTTGTTTGTGTCTGTTTTGTGCATTTTTATTCTTAAATATGCATTTGGATCCTTACCTCCTTTGCACACTCAGTCCTTTACATATGAGGAGTTCAGATGCAAAAACCTTCAAGTGCCATTTAAAATTTTCGTCTAAATAGAGCATTTTTCAATTTCACTTTTATGGCAAAGAATAATTTACTTTTAATGCTTTTAATGTGAAATAACTAATCAAAAAACATGGGAGTCTAAGAAAAATGCCATTTAGAAAAAAAAGGAAATGTAGAAGTTTATGTATTCTTCATATACAATGAAACTAATATGCATATCTGTCATATGGTAAGTGAAAAAAAGATAATTTGCTTGTAAAAAACAGACAATAAAATCAATTGATATGTATGTGTGTGCGCATATTTTGGGATGAAATTTATGAAATTTGTGAGAAGTGAGCGAAGACTATCTTTTGGGATTTCTTGATTTGAAAAAAAAATTGTAACATTAAAAACTATTCTATATATATATAGTCTGTGTAGTCTGTGTCTCCATGTTCTGTGTCTCCATGTTCACCTTTGCTACTCTGTCATTATGTATTTTCAGTTCCATCTATCTTATTTTTTCCCATCCATTTCCCTCATTCCTTCTCTCACTCTTGTCTCTCTCCTGTTTTTTTCCTAGTTTATTCTGTAAACTCGGAAGTCTAGCCAGGCGCAGAATCTCTATCTTTGGTAAGGTTTGGTGTGGATGAATGTAATTTTTCATAGCCCTTCTTCACTTGTTTTTTATTTTGATTTTGTTTTATTAAAAGCAGCTTTTGATTATTTTGCTAGAAACCCTTTTAATTTGGAAGCACTTTGTATTCATCTCATGCTCTCTTAGAATCATTGTCTGCCATTGTTCACTCAACCCAGTCTTGTCGTGTTGAGGTGAATGCTTGCATACCTCATTAGTTTTATTAACCCATCCTCCACCAAAACATAAATCAGGAGCTTGTGCTTTTAACTGTCTGGATTGCATTGAGCTCAATGCCATGTTTCCTCTTAGGAAATGATGCCCTTGCTTTGGTGAACTGCCTACAAATCTTGGCACAGTCCCTGGATGGAAGGTAATGAAAACCACACCATGTGTTTGTTGCACTGATAAACAAGAAATGTTCTGTATTTAAAAAAAAAAGTTTTTACTGTGTGGGACATTTTGTCTGCTAATTATTTGAGAAAATAATTACAAAATGAATATCAATGAAACTGTTAATTAGATTTTTGGATTTTTTCCCCAATTTCTGTTTAACAAACAGAAGATTTTTTCAACACATTTCTAAACATAATAGTTTGTTCTGTACACTATCGAAAAAATATATAGCTTAAAGGGGCTGATAATTTTGTTCTTAAAATTGTTTTAAATTGTTTTAAAATCTGCTTTTATTCTAGCCAAAATAAAACAAATAAGACTTTCACCAGAAGAAAAAATATTATCAGACTGTGAAAATTCCCTTGCTCTGTTAAACATAGTTTGAAAAATATTAAAAAATAAAAAATAAATAAAAATCAATGTAAATCAAAATTCAGGTCATGAGCTGCCTGTACATTTTTAGTTTTTTTTTTGGATTTGTTTCTCAATGTGGGCTTTTTTTTTTACAATGTACTTTTTCAAAACCTAAATAATGTCAGTTAAAACCATTAGAGATCAAACTGTATAGTTTTAATCGTTCAAAGTAAAAGCAAAGTCCCACAATGCATTTCAAAAGTGAAACTAAGTAGAAAAAAACAATGAATCACACAATGTAGGAAACTGTTAATTACAGACATGGTTATAGTTTCTATAGGCTGATTCTGATTCTGAAATTGTGTTTTTATTTGTTTGAGCGAGTGAAATTTCGAAAGTAAATTTTATTTGACTTTTTTGTTTATTCTGTAGAAACTGATTGCGAGGCTGTTCAGTATTCACTTAATTTAGTTTTTTCAATTTAGCTCATTATTAAACTTTTAATCAGCAAAACTTTATTAGATTGATCAAAAATGATGTAAGGACAATCCTGTTCTTACGGTTAAGCGCTTACTGTTCAATAAAAATTCACAAAAATTGATCACAGCTGTATTTAAAATTAAATTTAATTGAAAGAGTTTCTTGAGCTCTAAATCAGTATATTAGGATGTGAATGATGGAATGATGTGTTATGTGGCATTGAAGACTGAAGTAATGACTGCTGATTTTATCTATATGTAAATGTAATAATAGTACATTTTATTTTGTATATTATAAATTTTACATTAAGTGTGTATTATAATATACATTTTATTAAATATAAAACAAATTGTTTATTTTAAATTGTAATAATATTTCATAATATTAGTTTTTACTGTGTTTTAATCGCAGGAATGCAGAAATTAAAAAATAATTCAAATCACCCCAAACGTCAGTAATTTGTCTATGCTTGTTTATCTTTAGGATGCTAATGAAAACCACCAGTGAATCTGTCAGAGGGTCAATAGGGTCATTTTTTGAAGCTGCAGCAGAGGATCTGGAGTTAATGGTGGAAAACGTGACTTTGGACGGCCTGAACCGAGCCCAGAAAAGGGGCGACCCTGAGCTCATAGCATACACCACCACTGCCCTGATTCCGGTACTCAGCGCCATCTTCCAGCACGACTCCCAGAGGCAGAGCGGAGCTGGACTGATCCGTAAGAGAGAGCAGAACAGGGCCAAATGCATAAAAAAATGGCAGCAGCTAATTGGATGAGTAATGAACAGATTAGCCTGATGAATGAACGGATGAAGGGAAAAAAAATGGAGTTTGTGGAAAAATGTAGCAGATCACTTCACTTTCCGCTTCTGTTTTAGCCAATTAGACTGACTCCTGACTTTCTGTCCGCACAGTATGTAGTGTAATATATAGGATCCTGTGTTTGACCTCTCTTACAGTATATTTGATCAAGGACATGTGTGTCCTGCTGTATATTTTAATAGGGAATATGCAGTACTGGCAAAAGCATTGCAAAACGCCTAGACAGGCCTCTTTTATGAACTCTAAAGAGGTGACTACTCCCTCTATGTTTGGTTTGTGGATTCAGTAAAGTTTTGAAATGTATAAAAGTCTAAAGAAACCAACTGTGAAGAAACATGTACTGTTTCCCCACAAGTCCAACAGCATTCAGACTTCACACACTCTGTAACCGAAGAATTTGCTTCTTGAGCATGACCCTATGTTACTCCCATAAACAATAATCTTCACAAGTGTACGAGCAAAAGAAAGCGCTGTTTATGCCACTCGGCGGGACTACAGCAGGCTTTACTGCGATAAGAATATGTTTATAGAACAGCAGCATCATGTGTTGAATCATTCATACTGTACATTTCTGCTCTCTGTGAACTGATAAGCATTTTATTAGAAGGAATTTCACACAGTTTACTCCTCTTTTGCAATTCGACTGTATTATATGAATAAATCTCACACGCAGTCGGGATGAATCGTAGCCTATCAGTAAGGATGCAAGAGCGCTCGGATAAAACGCTTTAATAAAAGATTTGTTTTTTGAATCTATAATGTGTATTTTTCTTTCAGTGGATGAAGTGCAGTCCTGTTGTTACAGAATCCTCAGCAGTCTATACATCCTTGGCACCTGCAGCGGCTCCTTTATCGAGAGGTAACACTCTATCACTTAGAGATTCTTTTTTTCTTTGAAAGGTCTGTCACTGTTTGCTTTCCATCATGTCATTCCAAACCTATATGCTGTTATTCTTGTACTGAAACAGGAAAGGGAACTTTGAATATAGCGCATGTCTTTAAAAGGGGTTTAGAAAGGGTCTTGCACTTTATCACCAGGGTTGGGCGATGTGGAAAAATTTGGCATCGTTGGATGTCTAATGTGAAATATCGCGATGGACAATGGCATCGTCATTTTAGTTGGTAGTGAATTAAATATTTATGAATAATAAATTAATTAATAACACATTAATTATTTGTAGCCCACCGTTTCAACTTCTTGACCCGCATGGTCTTTGTTTTACCCATAACTAAATCATAAATAAAAAAAAGATAAGTTACACAAAAATTACCACCTGTCTATCACTTTTTCTGTTAGGACTCTGGCATGAATAAGCAGACTGATCTGTGTCATTATAATGGCATCGACAAACTGGGTTGGTAAAAAAAGGTGCACAACCAACCGCAACCAACCAACAGTATCTGAGGTTTTCGCTAAAATTACTAAGTACATGCATGAAAGCGAAAGGTTGAAGCAGTGTAATGACGCTGTGACAGTTTACCTGATAGATTTAAAGACCAAAGAGTCGTCAGATAGAGGCAAGACAAATATACACTGTTAGACCTTACCAGGGTTTTTTACAGTAGAACACTGGCAACACTGTTGCCAGCCACTCACTGTAAAAGTTTGGTTACAGTAAGTAACTGGCAACAGTGTTGCCAGTTAATTACTGTAACTGAACCATTACAGTGAGTGGCTGGCAACAGTGTTGCCAGTTATTTACTGTAACTGAACCGATACAGGGAGTAGCTGGCAACAGTGTTGCCAGTTATTTACTGTAACTGAACCGATACAGGGAGTAGCTGGCAACAGTGTTGCCAGTTAATTACTGTAATAGAGCAGCAGTGGTAACTAACTGGAAACTGTGTACAGTTAATTACTGTATTGTAGTGTTACAAATCACAGCATTATACTGCATACACATTAATAGTATGTCATATATAGTTATTGTAGTGTTACTAAAATTAATCCGTATTCTTAGCTGTTATTTAAAAATAGAAGGCATAACATTTTTCAGACAAATTTATTTTATTGTTTTGGCACGAAACAAATAACAGAAAAAGTATAACAAAATTAAGAAATCAGCAGATATAAATATTGTCTTGCATATTACAGGTCTGCACAGTAAGGCTGCAGTCACACTAACATTTGAGCAAGCAAAATTCTGTCATACTGAACTGCGAAGTGGAATAAAACAAAGCGAGTAGTGGAATTAAACAAAATAATTAGAGATTGAAAAAGCAAGCCAGAGAGGTCATGTTTTGATCTTTGATTGGTATCAAGCAATCACATGATGTGATTGCGCATGTCAGCGTTCTCCAAGCTTGAACTTTCAAATGCTGCGAATTATGAAATTTGTCGCATGAGCTATCATTCCAGGTCTGCAGTACTCACATGAGTATGAATGGAAGTCTATAGGGAGAAAAGTGCAGTGTGACCGGGACTTTAAGCTGTAGCTCTAATTAAACACACCTGATCAAACTAATTAAGACTTGTTAGAAATCTACAGGTAATGTTGAAGCAGGGTGGGTACTAAACTCTGCTGCGATGCAGTTCTCCAGGAACTTGGAGTTTGACCCCCATGGTATACAGCAGTGGTGCTCAATCCTGTTCCTGGATATCTACCTTCCTGCAGATTTCAGTTGCTACCCATATCAAACACACCTGCCTGTAATTATCAAGTGGTGTTCAGGTCCTAATTAATTGGTTTAGGTGTGTTTGAAATGAATAGCAACTGAAATCTGCAGGAGGGTAGATCAGCAAATGAACAGCAAAAAACACAACATAATTATTTTAAAGTTTAAAGTTTTAAATAATTAAAAACTGTTTTAGATCTCAATAAAAAGTTTAAAGTAATTATAAAAAATAAAGTTGGCAACACCGAAAAACCAAAGGATCCAATCTTTTATTGTTATAATTATCTCATGACAACAAACTTTATTATTGTTTCTAATATAAATTCATAGGTGGAAACACTGCTCTGAAAAATACTTAGCAACAAACTCACAACCTGGGACTGGACAGTGGAGCTTTTGTGTGTGGATGGCTATGTGTATCATGTTTTTGTGATTCCCTGTGACGATGTGCACAAGTTACCTTACTAAGATGAAGGAATTTAATGTTGGCTTAGTTGCCAGAAAGATACATACAACTGTTAGCATCTGTACATTATGGCAGTATGCAATATCCAATAAATACTTAAACAAAAGTAATGTAAGAAGTTATATGAGGAGAGGCTAACTAGCTAACAATGTAGCTTTCAAGTACACAGTTCAAGATAACAACAATATAACTTAAAATACAGCCTTATTTTAGAAACCCTCAAAAACATTTGAACACATTTTACTTTCTCATTATAGATTCTTATTTAAAGCCTAAAACATATCAGACTCTACATCTGAATTGATGGACAGAGAATAGAGCACACTCAGCAGTAAACAAATCAAACACCTGGCTCCCTTAAAGGGCCGGCATTTTCTGAAAACTCTTTCTAACACCTTTGTGTTTAGAATAAGACAGACAGCCTGTGGGAGTGTATGGTGATGCCTAAATCATTATTTTCTGCCTTTAAAATGCACGTCTCTATAAATAGCAACATAAACCATCAGAGAATTTATTGGAATTAATTCTTTGCACTACACAATTTCATACAAAGTCTACTCCTTTCACAGTAAAATAATGTGTTAATAAATAATAAATGTTTTCTTTTATTACAGCAAAACACTGGCTATTTTGCAGTTATTTACTGCACAATCTACAGAGTAACAGTGCAGTTATACTAATTAAACACACCTGATTAAACTAAATCTAAAGGTAGTGTGTTGAAGCAGGGCTGGAACTAAATTCTGCTGGGCTGCGGCCCTCCAGGAGTTTGACATCCTTGGTACATAGCATATTTTCAAAGGAATTGCCTACATTTATCACAATCATGCACATATCATTGAATAAAAACAATAATATACAAACAATATACAAACGTCATCCAAAGCAAAAAAATAAAAAATAAATAAATAATCTGATCCTCATGTTGTTCCAAACCTGTAGTAATAATAATAATAAAAAACAAATAACCTGATTAATACATTTATTTAGGAAAGTCTTTATACTATACTGTTAATGCCATTTTTACCAACTTCTCCAAACAAATTCATTGAGTCTCTGCGAAAATGTATGTACGTGCTGTTTAACATATTTTTTAAATAACACATTTTTATTTAGCAAAATACTAATATTCAGCTTAAAGTGCAATAAAAAAGCTTAACTATTGGCTAAACTAGGCAAATTAAATTAATTATAGAAAAGTAAACAAAGTTATAAAAATGATTGTGATAATTTGGTTGCTCTGTGTGAATATTTTTGCCTTTAAATGCATCTCGTCGATATCTTTACCTTTTAATTAGCTCTGTGACATTGACATTGGTTGACTCCTGATACTCAATGTTAAAAACATAAAAGGAACCAAAGAAAACACAGAGATGGCTGCAGAGAAATTTAGCTTATCATCAATGCATTGTCTCACTTTCTCCTCAATACTGACCATACACATACCAAAACTGAACAGTATGTATATATATATATATATATATATATATATATATATATATATATATATATATATATATAGCAACATAAAGCAGTACATGGGGTAATAATGGTTGAGCAGTAATTTACCATTTATTATCACAGTAACTATCTGTAATGGGTACATAAAGTAAATTACTGTAATTTATTCTTTGCACTACAAAATTTCATACAAATCCTGCTCCTTTTACAGTAAAATACTGTTTCCTTTTAATCCAGCAAAACACTGGCTATTTTACAGTTATTTATTGCATAATCTACAGTAAGGGTTAACAGTGTATATTACGTTTAACGACTGTAGTGAGACGTGATACAGCGGTACATTCTTGATAAACTGTCCGGGTTTTGCACCCCATACTGACTGCCTGGAGCTCTGCTACTAAAGCGCATGCCAGAGTGTGTATGTGTGCGTTTGGTCATGTGATGTGCGTTTTCAGCAGTATATTGTGGATATAGAGTTGTTCAGAAATGCTAGGTAAAATATAGTGTGGACGTGGATCGTCTTCATTATAAAATGTTAAAACTAAGACGTAATAGTGTAAACAGGGCCGTGTGTACAGTATTTTTCACAAGCGGGTTGCTGTTGCGACAGGGCCAGGGTGGAGGATTGCGTTGCTTTCATTGTCCATCGACCCAACCCTATTTATCACATATATTTACAAAGAAGCGCTTTATTGCCTTCCAACCTGGAATTATTTAATGAAAAATCTAATATATAAGTGATGTTGCAAAACAATTCAAAACATTGTTTTTCTATTTAAATATGCAGTTTAAACGTAACTTCATTAAACTTAACTTCACATGACACTGATCCTACAGAAATAGTTGAAATATACTTGATTTGGTTCGCCAAACATTACATTTTATTTATATTAAAATAACAACATTGCTTAATGATTTTGTTGAAACATTACATACTGTACGTACTAAGATTCTTTGATGAATAATTATCAATCAAACTAGCATTAATTTGAGACATCTCAAATGTATCTTTTAAATAATATTTTTACTAGGAAACTATACAATAATATATTTGTGCATATAGATTAGTCAGTATTGAAACCAAATCTGGAGCAAAATATATATCATACAAAATAACGGTCCAAAAACTACACCCAAATTTATATGTTAAAGAAAATATTAAATGCAAGTTTAAAAAAGAGAAAAATTCGAAAGACACACATACAAATTGTTTTTAAATTTAGTTGTAATTTAGTAGGTTGTAATTTTTATTTTGTTTTGCTATATTTTAATTGAATTTTATTGTATTATCTTTCAATTACAAAATATGTTTGGTGACTAAAATATTACTATAATAAATATATCTGTTTAATAAATCTGTTTTGTTTAAATGCACCAAAATTCATTGCCTATATTCACTGAGAAATGGATACAAATATTCATTTTCAAAATAGGGTTTACTCAATTATGCTGAGCTCTGTAATTGTATAAATCACTTTATCCCATTTATTTAAAACAAATACAATTTTTACATATTACTATGAACTGTGCAGAAAAATAGCTGTTCTAAATACAATATATAAATAAATTATCTACTGAAAACTGTTCTTCAGAAAAAAACAAACATGCTGATCTGAAATGACATGATGGTGAGGAAAAATCCATTTTGGGTGAATTCGGGTGTTTGCCTCTCATTAGTTCATTCTGATTGTTTTTTTTCTTTTGAAACTTGTGCGCTCCACAGTTATTAGCTCATGTCTAGGTTTACAGCTCAACTGTCAATCGGCCTTTATCTTTGTTTTGATAGGCAGAGGTCGGTCTTGGGGGAGTGTCTGGCCGCATTATCTGCAGCCTTTCCCGTGTGTTTCTTGGAGCTGAGTGACCTTCATTCTCACTTTGACACTTTGAGTAATGAAGGTATAGGTAAGAAAAGTTCAGCTAAGCACCAAAACGTTCAAACAGTCACGCTTCCACATGCAGTTTTTCCCTCACAGATGTCAATGTGCTTTTTCTAGAAGAGAAAGCCTGTAAGCTCCTCCCCAATTTGCATGAGGCTTTCTTAGAGGTGGAGGAGCTGGCAGGGGCGGGGTCTTCGGCTCGCCATGCTCTTTTATTGAGGGTCACAGAGGTCACACTTCCGCTACTGTGCAGTTATGTCTCTCGATGGGGTGAAGTTGATAACCAGGCATCCCAGGAGGGCCACTGTTCCTCTGTCACACCCCAACACGCTAATGCACTGCTGGGTTACATCCTCTCTATCATCCACGCTCACCTGGGGACTTCAGACAGTGCTTGGATGAAACGCCTTGCAGGTGAGTCAGATCCTCTAGAGGAGTGATTTATCAAAGTTCCCAATGTGATAAACAGCAACTCTTTCACCACCAAAAAACAAAACAAATGCAAGAATTGTATTTTTTGTAGTATTTGGCCAGCCCATCATCAACAAGGCAGAGCCACACCTCCTGAAAAGACACTTCCTGCCTCTGATGGAAAAGTTAAGGAAGAGGGCGGAGTCAGTGCTGCTGGAGGAGGAGCACTTGAAGATGGAGGGGCGTGGCGATGTCTCAGAGCAGGAGTTAGACATCCAGGAGAGGTTTACTGTGTTGGTTCAAGACATCTATGCGTTTTACCCTTTGCTCATTCCTTTTATTGACCTCCACAGGTGAGAAATTACACTGGCGCAGTGTTGATTTTATTTATCGCCTGCTTATTTATTACTGACACTGTTCAATTTCTGATATTTGTCAGAATGAGTTGGCTGAGAGAGGTAAATGCAGATGCTGAGAAGCTTTTCTCCCTTGTGGCTGAAGTGTTCATTTTCTGGGCTAAATCTCATGTGAGCATTTATGATATTTTATTTTATTTCATTTTTCTTTTGGCTTAGTCTCTTTATTTATCAGTTTTTGCCACAGCAGAATGAACCGATAATTCTAGCATATGTTTTACACAGCGGATGCCCTTCCAGCCGCAACCCAGTGCTGGGAAACACTCATACACTCTCACATTCACACACATACACTACAGCCAAGTTAATTGATTCAGTTCACCTTTAGCACATGTTTGGTCTGTAAGGGAAACTGGAGCACCTGCAGGAAACCCACGAAAACACAGGGAGAACATGCAAACTCCACAAAGAAATGCCAACTGATCTAACCATGACTTGAATCAGCAACCTTCTTGCTGTGAGGTGACATTGGTAACCACTTAGCCATATCTAATATCAACCTCTTAAAGTGGTCATGAACTAAAAAAACTAAATTTCCTTGATCTTTTGATATAGGGGAGGTCACAATATTTTAAAAAACATCCTGTAAGTTTCAGAGTTAAAAACTTTGTTGTTACTCTAAAAACAGCTTATATAGAAGGCTGTCTGCTAATATGACAGGAAATGGAATGTTCTACTCTGGGAGGATAGGCACGGCCTCCTTAGAAGATCAATGGCTGTTTCTCAATATGCGATCTTCAACGGTCTTACAACCTCGTGTTCTCGTGTAACGTCATCCTCAGCTGCCAAAGTTCAGTTTTACTAATCAAGACGGCAAGAAACGGAGGACGCTTGAAACTTCCCGGATGTGTTCTTGGTATTGAGGAGGCATTGATGCTGACTTGAGCACCGAACTCGCTCTTGAAGTCCCGGAAGTTATTGCGACTGGAGGTGGGAAGCGCAGCATTTTATATAGATTTATAATCAAAGTTTAGAGATTTAACTTAATCCGCTCGTTAAGTGTGACGTCACGCGGAGCGGCTTCCGGGCCCAAGCGCTCTATTCAACTGAATATGGAGACTCATGAAATGGTAATAATAAACGTTTATAAATGGATTTAATACTTTCGAAAATCACGATCGCAATATATATGTCAATGCCTAATATCCAATGGCCAGAAAGTCATTCATTTTTTATAAATTGTTAAAGTTTTGGTATTTGTTATGCAGCAAGCCCAGAGATTGGTGTGTACACTATGATTTTATATGAAATTAACTTTAATGTGTGATAGGAATAAAACGTGATCATAAACGAATGATTTCTCCACTCAAATGAATGGCGGCTTGGACCCAGAAACATTATTACATGCGTCCCCACTTAACAAGCGGATTGCCTCAGGAGTATCCCTAAATGAGAAGGTGAAAGTAAACATTACCATGAAAATCTCAATAAAGGCATAAACACATTAAGGGTGTTTATTTGCTGAAATTTATATTAAAATCTTTTTTATTTATATTGTGCAATGTATATTTTATAAGGTCTTTATGCATACTAAATATTTTGAAAAGGGGAAAAACTATAAATCGTTGTATGAATGCTGTAATGCTTAAATAAATTTCCATAAAAATGCATGAAGGTCATGTGACCATCAGGAAGAACACAGCATCTCATTTCTCACAGGACTTGTTCTCTGTTCTCATGGTCTCCCAAGTTCGTTCTTTCGAGGACACCTGGCAAGACCGGTCTTCACAAGAACGCAAGTCCGTTCTCGGCATTCTAGGAATTGAGAAACAGCCAATGTGTACTTCACTGCCTGTTCATCCATATTGATATGCAACATTGTAAACCAATTACAGCAGTGGGTGCTTACTTCTGTGCCTACAATCCGCTACACACATACAAACAGAGTGTACTGATGTGAGGTCAAAACACTACATTACTTCTAGGTTTTGATCAATTTTTTTAAATATAAAAACATGGTAAACCATGATCCCATCATATCATCAATTAAAATTTTCTTCTGTATTAATAAAGGTGTTTGAGTAAATTTAAAGTGTGCTGAAAAGTAATATTTTGCAGCTGAAATGTCTTAAATGACATAAAAAAATGACACGAGAAAAAATAATAGATATTTTAAATATAATTTATTAATTTCTCCCCATCTTCATATTATTTTATTGCCTTGTTTTACTTGAATCAGTTTGGTTAATTAAAATTGACTGTAAATTAATAAACTGTTTGTGACCGCAATATTTTTTTAATTTCTTGATTAATTATGTACTGTATATATCAGTGAAAACAGAACTCTTAAAATGATATCACCACTAGTGCACACAGATAATTTTTTGTTGACATACTTTTTTATTCATTGATTTATTGATTCATACATTATAGAGGTTGCCACAGTGGAATGAACCACCAACTATTCCAGCATATGTTTTATGCAACTGATGCCCTTTCAACTGCAACCCGTATTGGGAACCACCCGCATTCATTCACACACAGTCTCATACATTACGGACAATTTCGTTTATTTAATTCACCTATAGCGCATGTCTTTGGGCTGTGAGGGAAACCGGAGCAACCGGAGGAAACCCATGCGAACACGGGGAGAACATGCAAACTCCACACAGAAATGCCAACTGACCCAGCCAGAACTCGAACCATTGACCTTCTTGCTGTAGGGCGACAGTGCTAACCACTGAGCCACCGTGCCGCCACATACTTTTATTCCTTTTGTAAATTCATTGTACTTATTTAATGTTTTAATTTAATATATGTTTAATTTTTATTGTAATTTTCTATTGTCATTTCCTTTATTTAGAATTTCAAATGGGAAGAACAGAACTTTGTGGTTCAAAATGAAATCAACAACATGGCATTCCTGGTGAACAGCAGCAAAAGCAGAATGAACAAGGTTTCTTGTGATTTTATTTATACCATATTAAATAATTCTTCCCCACCTTTCAAGTCTAACCGACGCTCTTTTATAGTAGTTATTCTCATTCCTCATTGCATTTGTTTTTTCCTCATTTTTCATTTTATTCTTTGAAAAGGAATTAATCTTTGGTTTGTAAACAATGAGCTCCGGAGTGACTTTAATAAATGGCCACATCAATATTCAATCCAAATATGCCGTTCAATATATTGAATGAATGTAAATTATATGATTTTTCCATTAGGGAGGAGTGTTCTGCCAGGAGAGGAGGAAGGTGAAGAGGAAAGCCGATCGTTACTCCACACACACCTCTCTCATTGTGGCTGCCCCCAAAAAACTCCTTTCTGTAGCCATGAATGGATGTTGCCATGGCGATCAGGGCCTGGTCAGCCATGCCAAAAGTCGTTTTGCTCAGGTACACCAGCTCATGCTGATCAATAATGACAATGTTTCCAAATCAATCTTTTCTCATCTTGAAAATATTGTCATGTGAAACATTTGTCTGTTTCTAGAGGGACACAGAAGATGAGGTCCGGGCATACATTCACAGCATCCTACAACAGGTGAGCCAGCAGGCAGCCTGTGAGAGTGATAATAATGTCCTGTGAAAATGCTATTTGTGTCTCCTTGGATTCATATTTCCTTTTTTTTTTTTTTTTTTTTTACCAGGATCTGTGTGGAAACTCAGTAGATCCCCTCAGAGTTGAGAGGATCTTGAGCATCGCTCGTGTTCTTTTCCACCTCGATCAGGTTAGACTGGAAATTTATTTCCGCCGCTGATTGTAAATGTTGATTAATGATGCATTGGTATTATATGTAAATTGATGTAGATATTAGGGCTGCACGATATTGGAAAAACTGACATTGCGATATTTTTTATTTCTGCGATACATATTGCGATATAAATATAATTTCACAACATGACAGTAACTGTTTGGGAAGAATTCACAATCTTACATTGATTGGGATGATTTTGTGGGAGGTGCATCTGCATAAAATATAAATCTGCGAAAAAAAAAAAAAAATATATATATATATATATATATATACATATATAAATCATGTAATTAAAAGAATAAAGCATAGATAAAAACTAAACAAATAGTGCTTTATAGTTTTTGATATTACACCTGGCTCAATGTTACATTAAGGGACATGTAAGGGACAATGTAACGTTAACACATGGCGAAATAAAGTCAGAAATGATATTTATTTTAACACATTTTGAAAAAATATTCAATCAGTGTGAAAGACAAGTGAATGGATGCGTTAAGTGTTGTCAGCGCTAGAGTATGGATGCATAACGAAAAAATAAAGTCCAAATTGAAACGCAGCTCTGGCCAACTGCCCAAACAGTGAATGAACAGTGGCCCCAACAAACTCTCTCATTGAGTTTAAAAAAGGGCGCTGACCAGCATCAGGTGCGCTGAAGGCATGCCCCCAACCTAGAACAAACAAAACAAAACGTATAACAGGTGGAATTTTGCAATATTTAGGTGAAGAAATTCAATGATCAAATCTAAAATAACACTCTATAGACTTCATTTGATAAATAATTAAGCACAGTCTTAAAGTGGCAAACTTTATATTTTTTGGTTCCCAAGTAGTTTAATATTGCTTTAAATCTTACAGTCACAGGCTTTATAAAACACATCTGAGTACAAAACAAATCACACTAATATTCATTCATTTTCTTGTTGGCTTAGTCCCTTTATTAATCCGGGGTCGCCACAGCAGAATGAACCGCCAACTTATCTAGCAAGTTTTTGCGCAGCAGATGCCCTTCCAGCCACAACCCATCTCTGGGAAACATCCACACACACATTCACACACTAGGGACTATTAAGCCTACCCAATTCACCTGTACCACATGTCTTTGGACTGTGGGGGAAACCGGAGCACCCGGAGGAAACCCACGCGAACAAAACTCCACACAGAAACGCCAACTGAGCCGAGGCTTGAACCAGCGACCCTACGACCTTCTTGCTGTGAGGCGACAGCACTACCTACTGCGCCACTGCTTCGCCCATCACACTAATATATTATGGTTGAAATTCACAATGACTCAACAAATCATGTGCACTGAACTGTGATTTTTAGTTAATTATAATCCCAACTCAACATCGTACATCCTGCAATGTCACTATTGTGGATGTGCACATTGCAATATCGATGCGGAGGCGATATATTGTGCAGCCCTAGTAGATATAATGTTTGGGTTGATTATTCTTTTAAAAGGAACCCTCTGTGTAATAAGATTTGTATGGATTAACGTAACACAAAAAGGTGTACTGATGTTACTAAAATATGTACTAATACCCACCAAAGATTTATGTTATTTAAAAAATTCTCATTCATTTTGGACTAAAGGTGCTGCGGATTATTTTAGGTGCACTGTGATTGATGCCAGAAGTACTAGTACTAGTGCTGCCTTTAGCTGTTTTTAGAGAAACACAACTCAAAAAATTAAATACTAATACAGTATGATGCCAGATTTCAGGTTTATTTTTCAGTTTAAGGACAAGATACTACAAGGTTTTGGTTCATTTCCTTTCAGAATTGAGTTGGAGAAAGAAAGTTCTATATAAGTATATAAGCATGTAGAAAGTATGGAAAGTACTGTACAGTGTAAGTGTACAGTGTAAGTACAGTGGTCAGCATATATGAGTAACCCCCTCACAAATCTCTCATTTAAATGAATGTTTTCTATAGGAAGTTTTACAGTGTTATATTTGTGCACATACATTAGTTCTAGATTTGGCTTCAGTACTGTCTAATCTAATCTAACAAAATAACTTACGATAACAGTCCAAAATTAGTACACTCAATTTTGTATATTAGGAAAATATATTAGCTTGTAATTTGTTTTGCAGTGTTTTACATCAATTTAAATGTAATATTTTTCTATTTCTATAGCTGTTCGGTAATAAACATGTTATTTTGATCAATATTTATAATTATTAAATAAATTATAATAAATCTTTTTTTTGAGTTTTTTAAGCTGAGATGCTTACTCTCTAAAAATTTTTTAAATAATTTTTAATTATTTTAATTATTGTTTTTTTTCCCCATCTGTATACAGTTATTCTTTGATGTTGTGTTCTTATGTATTTAATGTGCTTAATTTGATATTTATTTATTTATTGTTGTTTTGTTAATTAAAATAATCAATAATAATGAGAGGTTAGGAGATGGGATTAACAATGGACAATACATTACTGTTTACCTCTCAATATTTAATTTGTGTTATCATACAAAAGACCAATAAAAAAAATAGATTGAAACAATAAATCTGTTTTGTTCAAATGCACTAAAATATAGTACTAATGTTCACTTAGAAATGAAAAAAAAAACATTTATTTTCAAAATGGGGTGTACTCATACATGCTGAGCACTGTATATACAGTTAAAGACAAAATTATTAGCCCTCTTGTGAAATTTGATTTATTTTTCAAACATTTCCAAGTGTTTAATGGAAAGAAGATTTAACACATTGTAATAAATATATTGAATTACTTGTGAATTTTCTAATAGCTAATTTCTTCATGGTGATAGTAAATAATATTTTACTAGCTATTTTGCAAGATATTAGTATTTATCCTCAAATGAAATTTGTATACTGTATATATAAATAGAGAGAATTTGCCCCAAGCCCACAAATAGGTATCCAATGAACGAGCACAGTTCAGTGGAAATTTCAGAAAAATAATTGTTTGTGTGGCTCTGTTGTGGTAATTGGCTTACATCTTGGTTGTTTTCTGTCAGGTGGAGCACCCTCAGAAGATGAAGAGGCCAGTGTGGTATAAGATGTTGTCTAAGCAGAGGAAACGCGCTGTAGTTGCCTGCTTAAGAATGGCTCCTTTGTACAATCTCCCCAGGTTTGCTGCTGCAAGAGTTATGACAAGCCCATTTCTTTTTTATATTGCAGTAGGAATTATCCAACTTATAAAAACTGAAAGGCTGCAGAAATACGTTTGAACTGCAATGCTGTTGAACTAACCCTGATAAAAAGGCTATTTGTCATCTTCCTTATGTTTCAATGTGCTGAAACCAAAATTAATTGCTTGCTTTTAGCGTGAGATTTGTCTTTTTGCTCAGGCACCGAGCGGTGAACCTCTTCCTGCAGGGTTATGAGCGAGTCTGGCTGAAGGCTGAGAATGACTCACCTGAGGACAGGCTAATTGAAGATCTGGCTGTGAGTGTGTTTCTGATTGGCTCTGTTCCCTGGTTGAGCTGTTCAATCATTGTGCAGGCCAATCCCGAAGGCTAATTCACAGCAGGTTCTCTTGTGAATTTTTGTAATGGATTTTTAGAATAGAAGTTTTTCGATTTATGAGTACAATTATCATTACGGGTTGAGATTATCACATGTCTTATTGCTGTTTAAATCACACATAGGCACTTAATTTATATTATTGTGTACTGTTATCAACAACATACATGATAAAGTATACTTTTATACATACAATATAAGTACCTGACAATGGAAAACATATGTGAATTATAATATACAGTTGAAGTTAGAATTATTAGCCTCCTGTTTATTTTTTTCTCCAATTTCTGTTTAATGGAGAGCATATTTTTTCAACACATTTCTAAACATAATAGTTTTAATAACTCATCTCTAATAACTTTATTTTATCTTTGCCATGATGACAGTAAATATTATTTTACTAGATATTTTCAAGATACTTCTATAAAGCTTAAAGTGACATTTAAAGGCTTAACTAGGTTAATTAAGTTAACTAGGCAGGTTAGGGTAATTAGCCAAGTTATTATATAACGATGGTGTGTTTGTGGACTATCAAACAGAAATATAGCTTAAAGGGGCTAATAATATTGACCTTAAAATAGTTTTTAAAAAATTTAAAACTGCTTTTATTCTAGTCGAAATAAAACAAATAAGACTTTCTCCAGAAGAAAAAATATTATCAGACATCCTGTAAAAAAAATACTGTGAAAATCCGTTAAACATCATTTGGGAATTATTTTAAAAAGAAAAAAAAAAATCAACGGGGGCTAATAATTCTGACTTCAACTGTATTAATATTTCTTGAGCCTTTTTGGTTTATGTAGTAATAAGAATACATTTATATCTCTCAGAAAGCAGCTCATGTAGAGATCCTGAAGGAGGGAGCAGAGCAGAGAAACCGCATTGATCCACTTCATCAGCTTATCAATCTCTTCAGTCAATGTGCCTTGACTCAGAGAAGGTTTGTGTGCATACTTTTTTGTATGTGATGAATTCATACAATTGTGTTTGCATATAGATCAAGGTTAACCAAAAAACAAACAAACAAACTAACAAGCATTTTAACACTCCGAAAGCCTTGTACATCGGAAGCAACTTCAATATTTGATTAGATTAGATTGGATTGGACTATGGGTTTTTTTTACAGATGGATTTTCTATGAACATTATATACAGGTTGTATCAGCTATGAACAGAGATTAACAATAGATGAATATATGTACAAGTTGCTATGAATAATCAGAAGAGTGCAGATAGATGTGAACATAATTACTAATGGATATGTACAGTAGGTATGTACAATTCAAAATGAATTGAATGAATTAGTTTAATGAATATGTGCACATTTTAAGTGTGCAAATATTAAAGTGTGCAGTGATTATGGAGAGTATACGTTATGAGAGAGGCAAAAGAGTGGGGGCAGAGTTCAAAAGGGAGACAGTTCTGGGCAAAAAGCTGTTCCTCAGTCCGGGGGACCCTGAAGCACCTGTCGGAAGGTAGGATAGAAAACAGTTCGTGAGCAGGGTGGGAAGAGTCCTTAAGAATACTACGTTCTCTGCGAAGACAGTGTTTCTTCTGGATGTCCTCAATGACTGGAAGTTGGGTCCCTGTGATGCGTTGGGCAGTTTTCACCACCCGCTGCAGTGCCTTACGCTCAGCAACAGGGCAGCTTCTATATATAAGGCACAAACCATAGATTTGCTTACAGATAATTGCAATTAGCATGTGGGTTAGTTAAAAAAAAATCAGTACTCTATACTAAAACTACTTTTATGTCCAGTAGTATGTTCCTATTTAGATTTTTTTTCTAAGAGATATGAAATTGAAAACAAAAGTAGCTGTGCAGTGAATCTTAAATGTTACATTGCATGCCCATTTTGCACAAGTACATATGATTCGTCAGGATCTTAATGGTAAATCTTTAACTTACTTTGGTTAAATTTATCAGTGGTAAATAAATACCCTTTTTACCCTTTCGAAACACCATAGTCCACATAGTCATTTTGCTTTATATCTCTTTAAATGAGCTGCTGCTCCCCCGACCCTGTCTGAAGCTGAAGGATCATTTCTTGTGGAGTAGCTAAACCAGCGCAGCATATACACAGCTCTCAACCAATCCTTGCGCTCCTGCTGACTTAAGTCTGTATGACTGATATGGAGAATTTGAAACTTTTTCCACATTATAATAGCAAAATGTAAGACCACACAAACCTTTCACCTGAGCAAATAAATGCCATTTTTAATTTAGAATTGCTTGACATTGCAGCCCACCATTATCAGTGTATAATGCATTCAAAGCGCTGCAGTTTCTGAGCTGGTTGTAAACCAACACACTGACAAACACAGCTCTTCACATGAAGGATTATGATTCTAAACATGAATGAGCTGAAACTGGTGTTTGCTAATTATGATTAAACGTGAATTAGTTACATAAAATTATTTACATCTTTCAGATCAATTGTAGGCATAGCTAACTCCTTTAAATTTAATCTTGATGCGAGTCCAGCTCCGAATTGCCAAACGCTGAGAAGTCACTCTATTGTTTAAATGCAGAGAAATGAAAGGCACCATTGCTAGCCAATTAGCTGGGAGACAGGCATATTGAAAGAGCTAGCTTGTTGCGTATAAACCAGCATAAAATTTAAACAGGTTATTAAAATAAGCTGCATTTTTTACTTGTTTGACCTTACAGACACAGCAGAAACCAAAACTAACTAAAGTGAAAATTGAATTCGATGTCACCTTTAACCCTCATGGTTAACTCTTATTGTCTGTGTCTACAGTAAACTTGAGGAGGATGGTCTGTACATGTGCTATGCAGAAATTATGGCCAAGGTGAGAAGCACTGCTGAGACCTTCTAAACAATGCTATTGCTTTGGCCACAACCACAGATTGAACTTTAACTGTGTTGCAGAGCTGCCAAAGTGAGGAAGAGCAGGATGAAGATGGCCTGAAATCATTTGAGGTACACAGTGTAAATGAATGGACTCTGAAAGTGTCAAGATTGGTTATAGATTTAATTTGTTCTGTAGTAGAAAGAGTTGGAACTTTATATAGTGGAGGATTCTGACTGATTTCTGTACTGTATTTTTATGTTATTATGTAAAAATTCTGTAGTTATGCTTGAGCAACAGCTGGTATTTTTGTGAATTGATTGAGTAACTTATTATTGTCTTAGGAAAAAGAGATGGAAAAACAGAGGCTGCTGTATCAGCAGGCTAGACTTCATGATCGTGGAGCTGCAGAGATGATCTTACAGAAGCTCAGCGCGAGCAGAGGTATCAGTCAAACACATCCAGCCCATTCATCTTCAAACAACCCCAGAAAACAGGGACAAAACTGGGCTGTCAAATGATTTTAGGATATTTACTGTATTTTTAGTGTACGTAAGTGTAATTCTGACATCGAATTTGATATTACTGTTTATTATGCGTTCTAGAACCGGTTGTAAATTATGAGATTATGAATAGGTAGTAAATGGTCATTTATAGATGAAAATATACTCTATTTTTACTACAATTTACTAAACATATAGTATATATGATTATATTATAATAGTTTATATCAAATGTTTATTATAAATTGGCGGTTCATTTCTGTGTAGACCAATGATAAAGCAGGAAATGACCCGAGGGAAAGTAAGCGAGTAAATTTGTAAAGTTCATTTTAAAGTAATAACAATAAAATTCTTTATCAACATTTTTTTTTTGTGTAAAACTTTGTAATTGCTTATTTATGTATGAATATACTCTACTTAAATTACCATTTAAAAAACATATTGTACACTATATATCATTATAAATAGGATTTGTAAATGTGTTTATAAATATGAAACATTGTAAATGGTTATTTATGGATGAAAATATACTCTATTTAGTGAAGTTTATTCATAAACTAATTTCGAGAGGATCACGTGCTTATGATTTATCACGGCCAGTCTCGCATTTGCTAATCACTATCTTCCAATCATATGAGCCCTAAGCCACTATAAATAGCCTCAGTTTTCAGTTCACTTTATCTTCGTTTGGAAGAAACCCCCCTCCTCCCCTATTCTCCTCCCTTACCTGTGATTGGGCGGCACGGCGGTCCAGTGGTTAGCACTGCGAGCCACACAGCAAGAATACTGCCGGCCCTAGTTCCATAGGACCGGTGGGTGTTTCTGTGGGGAGTTTGTATGTCCTCCCCGTGTCCGCGTGGGTTTTCCCCAGGTTCTCCGGTTTCCTCCCACCATCCAAAGACATTCAACATACATAACAATCAAGCTTGTCTAATCCCTTACGTTCCCTTAGCTACAGCAGCAGGGGAGTTCTGAGATCCACCGAGCTCGGGCTCCCTTCTTGCTCTGCCAACGGAAGGAAGCCCTGGGCTCGAGGAGCCCTTGAGCTCAGGGCTCTCTCCCGGGACAGCATGCCAAATAAGCTTTGTAAATCATCAGCTAAGTGTGAACTCTTGAACTACCATAAAAAAACATAGTACAGTGCATCTGGAAGGTATTCATAGCTCTTCACTTTTTCCACATTTTTTATGTTACAGCCTTATTTTAAAATGAATTAATTCATTTATTTCCTCAAAATTCTACACACAATACCCCATAATGACAATGTGAAAAAAGATTTGTTGAAATTGTTGCAAATTTATTGACAATTAAAAACCTGAAAAATCACATGCACATACGTATTCACAGCCTTTGCTCAATCCTTTGTTTATGCACCTTTGGCAGCAATTACAGCCTCAAGTCTTTTTGAATATGATGCCACAAGCTTGGCACACCTGTCTTTGGGAATTTTTGCCCATTCCTCTATGCAGTACCTCTCAAGCTCTATCAGGTTGGATGGGAAGTGATGGTGTACAGCCATTTTCGGATCTTTCCAGAGATGTATAATAGGATTTATGTCTGAGCTCTGGCTGGGCCGCTCAACAACATTCACCAAGTTGTTGTGAAGCCACTCCATCGATATTTTTTGGTGGTGTGCTTTGGGTCATTGTCCTGCTGGAAGTTGAACCGTCGGCCCAGTCTAAGGTCAAGAGCACTCTAATGCAGGTTTTCATTCAGAATGTCTCTGTATACTGCTGCATTCATCTTTCCCTCTATCCTGACTAGTCTTCCAGTTCCTGCTGCTGAATACATCCCACAGCATGATGCTGCCACCATCATGCTTCACTGTAGGGATGGTATTAGCCTGGTGATGAGCGATGTCTGTTTTTTTTTCAAACGTAACGTTTGGAGCATTCACTTCAAAGAGTTCAATTTTAGTCTCATTAGACCAGAGAATTTTGTTTCTTTTGGTCTGAGAGTCCTTCAGATGCCTTTTGTCAATTTCCAGATGGGGAGTGGCTTCCGTCTGGCCACTCTACAATACAGGCCTGATTTTTGGATTGCTGCACAGATGGTTGTCCTTCTGTAAGGTTCTCCTCTGTCCACAGAAGAACGCTGGAGTTCAGACAGAGCGACCATCGGGTTATTGATCACCTCCCTGACTGAGGCCCTTCTCCCCAATTACTCGGCTTAAATGGCCGGCCAGCTCTAGGAAGAGTCCTGGTGGTTCCAAACATCTTCCACTTATGCATGATGGAGGCCACTGTGTTCATTGAAACTTTCAGAGCAGCAGAATTTTTCTAAAATCTTTCCCAGCATTGTGCATCGAGACAATCCCGTCTCGGAGGTCTTCAGACAATTCCTTTGTCTTCATGCTTGGTTTGTGCTTTGACATGCACTGTCAACCCTAAGACCTTATATAGACAGGTGTATGCCTTTTCAAAACATGTCTAATCAGCTGAATTCACCACAGGTGAACTCCAATTAAGCTGCTGAAACATCGCAAGAATGATCAGTGGAAACAGAATGTACCTGAGCTCAATTTAGAGCTTCACGGCAAAAATTTATAAATTTGCAACAATTTTAACAAATATTTTTTTACATTGTCATTATAGCTTATTGTGTGTATAATTTTGTGGAAATAAATTAATTGAATCCATTCTGGACAAAGACTGTAACATAAAAAATTGTGGAAAAAGTGAAGCGCAATCAATACTTTCCGGATGCACTTTATACATGATTTTTAAAAATTTGTAAATATTTTAAAGGATTTGTAAAACTTTGTATATGGTAATTTATGAATGAAAATATACTCTATTTAAACTACCAGTCAAAAAACAAAAACAGGTGTATCTTTTTATTGTGTTAATAAAAAAAGAATCTCAACAAGTGTAGTAATTTAATCAACTTAGTTCATTAGTAAATGTTGCATGTTATCAACTATGTATTTTACTGTCAATTGTACACTTTGTCAGTATATCCATACGATATTACTATGCATATTTTATGTCAATTTATGTTTTAACTTGAGAACATACCTTTAGGGAACAGTTTTCTATTCACAAGGATGTCATTGGCATCAAAAAGATTGAAAAGCCCTGGTCAGAGACACAGGGCACCATTCATATCTTTATCCTGATATTTGAAGTCAGCTGGCTATGACTTTTATTATTGTTAACCCTCAAATGTTACGCTGTTAAGTTGGATGTGATATTTGAAACCAGGTGATATGGGGCCTATGGTAGCAGCCACATTGAAGCTGGGCATTGCAATCCTGAATGGAGGAAACACGTCAGTCCAGCAGGTAAAATTGAAAAGGTCATGTTGGATTACAGATATGTTCAGATGATAACACCAAACCCCAAAGCTCTGACATTTCACACCAAACCCAACTTTTAAATAAGAGTTTCTTCATGTTCGTTCTGTCTAGAAAATGCTGGGTTACCTGCGGCGGAAGAAAGACGTGGGCTTCTTTCACAGTCTGGCTGGCCTAATGCAGTCTTGCAGGTTCGACTGTTATTTGCTAATGCATTGTGAGACAGAAAACAGCTGTTCAAATCACCTAAAAGTGCAGAAGTGCTTTGTTCACTCATTTATCACCCGTCACCTACCTCCTGTGTTCAATTTTCAAAGTTACGTGGTGTAATCAAGAGAAAAGAACATCGTTTTACATCACTTCTTCCACCCTTTCAATCTGATCTCTTGACTGTAATTGGTAGTGCCTGTGTTAGTTTGTGTGTTTGATGTTGCTCTTGTGATTCTGCGTGTCACAGTGTGCTGGATTTGAACGCGTTTGAGAGGCAGATCAAAGCTGAGAGTTTAGGAGTGGGTGCGGAGGACAATTCAGGTACATCTCTGACATCCAGCACAGCTTTGAACAACAAATGAATCCATCGGAAAAGGCTGAGTTTTCTTTTTATTGACATTGATTTGACTGTACTGTGTTTTGCTTCCACTTTCCGTCTCTCGTTCTCAGGTGATAAAGTAATGGCAGATGAACAGCTGACCTGTGATCTTTTCCGATTCCTCCAGCTTCTATGTGAAGGCCATAATTCTGGTCAGAACAATTTAATAATGCATGGTGTCCTTTTACCTACAGTTGTCAGTAAGGGAAGCATTAATACTACAGGGTGATTCAAAAGGAATTTCACAAAATCTGCATTTAATCAAAGAAACATGTTGGAACCTTGGGTAATTAAACAATGTAAAGAGTACTTAACCAAGTTTTTTTTTTTTTTTTTAGTAGAAAACAAGCATAGCATAGATATTCATTATGACCCCCTCCAGACACTCGAGTGGTATCAACCTGATACTCGAACTCGTTCCACACTCTCTGTAACATGTCGGGCGCAACCGTTTGGATAGCTGCAGTTATTCCTTCTTTTAGTTCCTCAATGTTAAACTTCAGAGCTTTTTAAATAGACGTCAGAAAGAGCTAAGCTCTATTTTACTTCTTTGCAGCGTTTTCAAAGTTGTGGTATTCTTTTTTAATTACCCTGTATAAATAAGCCATTTTTTATCTATATGCGCCCGACACTTTCCAATAAACACTCCAAGTTTACTTGCCAGTGCACCACAAATCATATTGCACTACTTGTGTTTAAACCTTAAATACCACTTTTGCATAATATTTTGCATAATATTGTACAGTATTATGTACGACTGAAGTAAAGTTTTGTGCAATAATGATGCTATTTGAAATAAATACAAATTAAATCCAAATTCAATTTTAAAATACAAAAAAATAATAATAGTAATAAAATTACTGTTACATTTACCTTTACTTTAAATTTAAATAAAATAAAAAATACATTTAAATGAAAATTAATAATTATATACAGTACCAGTGAAAAGATTCAGGTCAGTGTTTCTTTAATTATTAATTTTATTTAATAATTTAAATAAAATTATTTTGTTGATCAAGGCAGCATAAATTAAACATAAAACAAATATGGTAAATTGTTAAAGACTTATTTATTAAATATTTATGTTTTACTTATTGTATGTAGTTTCAAATGAAGTTATTACTTTAGTCATTATTGCTTTTATTACTATTACCATTACCGATAATAATAATAATAATAATAATAACAATTTAAGTGATTTCTTAAGGATCATGTAAATCTAAATATTCATCATTAAAATCACTATAATAAATTATTAAATTAAACGATAAACTATATTTAAACAGTTATTTTATAGTGCAATAACATTTTACAATTTGTACTGTATTTTTGATTAAATAAATGCAGCCTTGGTGAGCAGCTTAACATAGACATTTTAGTAAAGTCCAGATTTACAGAGTTGAAGTTCAGTTTAGTTTAGTTCAGTTCAGTTCAGTGTGGTTTAAATTTCACAGCTGAAAATTTCACAGCTCTACAAGTCCCAATCCAAGCAAGCCAGTCCCAACAGTGGCGAGAAATAAAACTTTAATTGCCGAAGTCAATGGGAAAAAAAAAAAAAAAAAAAAAAAAAAAAAAAATATATATATATATATATATATATATATATATATATATATATATATATATATATATATATATATATATATATATATATATATATATATATATATATATAGCATCAACTATATATATATAGCATCAACTCAGGATACGGCCTGATATAATAAAGAAAATAATTAGCGTAGATGTTGTTCAAAGTGTATTTAAACGAGATGCAAAAATGACGTTAAAAAAATTAAAATAGTAGTTATATAAAAAAACAGAGACAAAAATGTGAAGCATATGAGAGTTTCTAACAAATGGTGTATGGTGCATTAAAACAGTGGGAGTGTGTTCTACAGGTGGTTGTCAAGCCAGCTCACCTGCTTGGAGCACATTCATTAATCATACCGATATGTGATGCATTGAGTGTATGCTTTACTAAAAAGTTTTAAGATCTTAAAGAGCAGGTTGGATTGTGGCGAGACAGAACGTTGGTTAGATAAACAGGAACTAGATTATTTAAAGCTTTATGGGTAAGAAGCAATATTTTATTATTAGTACGGAACTTAACAGGCAGCCAGTGTAAGAAAGATAAAATTGGGCAAAATATGATAATAATTTCTAAACCTGTTAGAACTCTGGCAGCTGCATTTTGCACTAACTGAAGTTTATTAATAGAGGATGCTGGGCAACCAGCGAACAGAGCATTACAGTAGTCCAGCCTAGAAGTCATTAAAGTATGAACTAGCTTTTCTGCATCTGAGATGAATAGCATACTTAGTGAATTAGCAATATTTCTCAAATGAAAGAAGGCGGTTTTTGTGACATGGGAGATATGATTTTCAAAAGTTAAAATGCTTTCTAATATAATGTAACTATATAAGAGTGTAAACTAAACCAAATAAAAGGATTCATTATTGATTAGTGTGGTCTAACAGACAGCCCTATTTTGCTCATATTAGTCTGACTCAGAAACCAGCACATGATTGATGGGTCTGTTACATAAGAACTGGAGGTTTTTGTCTGAAACTGCCCCCTCCCCCAACACAGATTTCCAGAATTACCTGAGGACTCAAACTGGAAATAACACAACGGTCAACATCATCATCTCCACTGTGGATTATCTGCTCAGGGTCCAGGCAAGCTCCATAACTCATCCCCAAACACCACATTCTTACATTTTTCATTTCACCTGGCTGTAATATACATGAAGGAGGACTTAAAATAAATGCATGTTTGCTGCTGTCAGTGGTTTGAGAGTTTCTGCACGAAATTGAGAAAGTGAGACAGAGCTTGTAGCCCAATAATGTTTCCATAAACCATTCGCCGCTGACAGGCCACCTCCATTTCGTTTGTCTGATACTGAGAATGATGGATGGTCTCATATCTGCAGGAGTCCATCAGCGATTTCTACTGGTATTATTCAGGGAAGGATGTGATTGATGAGCGTGGTCAGCACAACTTCTCCAAAGCCATCACCGTGGCCAAGCAGGTGTTCAACACGCTCACCGAATACATTCAGGTAAATGCACACAAATAAATGGCTCAGCTGTGATGGGGCTTGTGTGGTTAACTGTAAATCTGCTCGCTCAGAATGTAGAGGTAAGTAATATTGTAAGGACCCTGTGTCATTATATTTTCTCCACAGTTTTTTATTTGGAATAAATACTTCTGAGAGGCCCCTCACCATACTTTGTTGCATCTGTCCCAAAACAAATAAACCAATTAATCTCTTTAACTAACACCAGTTTAAACCTTTCATTGTTTGATTTAGGGTCCGTGCACAGGGAACCAGCAGAGTTTGGCTCATAGTCGTCTATGGGATGCTGTAGTCGGTTTTCTTCATGTGTTTGCCCATATGCAGATGAAGCTTTCTCGGGTTAGCCTATGGACAAATTACTTCAAAATCTCATGTGCTAATTTATTCATTGCAAAGTACAAATTTGGGAAATTCAAAGGGATAAAAGAAAGAAAATAGTTTTTTGTGTCTGCAGGATTCCAGCCAAATAGAGCTGCTGAAGGCTTTGATGGACTTACAGAAAGACATGGTGGTAATGCTGCTTTCCATGCTTGAAGGTGAGAGAAACCTTTCTGCTAGTGACAAATGTGTCAATTACACGCTAATTTAATATACTAATATCAGTATGTAGTGTCCCGGCTGTTCAATATAGGGCACAGTTTGCATGAATAACTGGAAGTTTGAAAGCTTTCATGCTGACCTGAGTGTGCACTGGAGGAATCAACACAAGAATACCTGTAGTATGAGGTCTGAGTCTTGTTGTGCTGGAATTATGGCTCAATTTGAGACCAGAGTGCAGATTTGTTCAGGAACTAAAGTAACCTGCATGTGTTTTAGCCAATGCCTTAGTTTAACACAACATGTAAGATTGTGATGTTTTTTGACAATGATTCTGCAGTGCAATTGTGGGGAATGATGAGTGCAATCAGAGTAATTATTCATCAGCTTTATTCTCAAAAGTGCATATTTGTGATGATATGAGATAATTACAAATGCATCAGTGTGCAAAGCAATGAGAATATGAAACCAGGTGTAATTTTTTAAGCTTGTTTTTGTTTTTGCATTTGGTTGCGAATTGTTTGGCGTGATATATCACATAGGCTCAATGGAAAAATGCCTCCAAAAACATACCGGAACATACTGTTTATTACAGCTGAAAGTAACAGTCACAGAAAATGTGAAATATAATGCACTCTTTCCACTCTATATGCACCAGACACTTTCTGACAAACACTCCTTGTCTCTAGAAAAACATTGCGCAAATGAGTTTGCAACACACAGGTGAGTGGGTGGAACAAACCACCTGTAGAAACACAATCTTCTCTCTTTATCCACCAGACATTTTACTCCTTGTTACAAGGACTCAATGACATAACACAAATGTTTATCAGTGCATCACAAATCATATTGCACTACTTGCGTTTAAACCTTAAATACTGTTTTTTTTTTTAAATGTTTTGCATAATATTGTACAGTTTTATGTACTCATGTGTTTATTTGTATAGTTAACTATTTATAGTATATGTACAGTTAGATTACCGCTTCACTAAGGTAGCTATATATAAGTTTGTGAACTAATTTCACAAAAGGGAGTTATGAATGCCATTACTATGTTATCATCTCAAAACACTTTTACCATAGTCTGTGATTTCTAAACTTGTAATTTTTGACGTTTGGATCACATAAGCCGCTCTATACAGTATGTGTGGCTTCTTTGGTAATTCATCTGCTCTCATTTCACATGTGTACATAAAACATAAGACACGATTCTGAATAAAAGACAACAAAGGCTCAATGTGAAAACGTACCCCCGTATACATTTCTGGATAGCACAAATTTTGTAGCCAGAGTTACGTATGGCTGCATTTGTCTCTAAAACAAATGCTACGGGTCGATATGACACCACCGATGGCTTCTGTTCCTTTTCGCTCTACCAGCTGACCGCTTACCTTTGTGTGAATGACTTTTCCGCTGTTGTCAGGTTGCCCAGTACCTCGCCATGTACGTCAGCAGACTTGAGACACAGAGAGGAGTTTGAGTTTGACGACGGGGTTTGACTATGGCAAAGAATGTTAGAAAGTGTTAGAATGTTAGAAAGTAGATAAGACAAAAACAAAAGGTAAAAATTAATAAACAAGTAAATAACAGGGTAAGAATGTGGTAAGATCTCATAGTGTGGTAAAAATCAGGCGAAGGTTTTTCTTTTTCTGGATTGCTTTTGAAAACAATGACAGTTGACTTTAAGGGAGGGGGATTGGTCAATCAGTGCATTTGAAAACACTATCGTTTGGGTTTAGGGAAGGGGTGATAGTGTGGGGTCAGCTAGTCAGTCTACAGCTGCCTTTGGTGTATTTACACGAGAACACCAAACACGAATGGCATGATAAAAATTTAGGATCCGAAAAAGCGTACACAGCACCCTTTGTGCATTCACGAAAACAAACACTGCAAAAAAAAAAAAAAACCCTAGCTCCTGAAATGTCTTTTGCAATCTCCAGAAATGTATATGGGGTACAAACCAATAATGAGCCTGGATTGATAAAAGAATTTCATCTCTGAACCAAAGAATGTAGATCTATTATTCCAACAGTCATTTTGAGCACATG